ACACAAACAAACCCGTCTTCTGAGTATGGCAACGTGCGATGGCGTATTTGTCCGTTATCCTGACCATGAAAATAACCAAAAAAAAAAGCTTCTAAATAGATTAAAGTTGGCTTGAAAATGTAAAGACTACGGTCGTAGATAACCAAAAGAGTCATGTTGATAAAATGTAGTTTCATAAGAATCTTCAGTCAAACTGATAAATTACATTAGAATGAACTGCAGCTCCAGTCGTCATGACTGTGCCAACTCCAATCTCTCTGTAATTATGGGATAAAAAAAAACATTCTCCACAGGAATAACAGAAAAGAACTGACCTTTTCAACAAGTGCCGTCAAGTGTTCAGCTTTTAATACCAGTTGGTTATAAAAAACATTCCCCTTAAAAGCACACAGACGGAGGAGCTCCTATTTTAGAACATCCTTTTAGAGCTTTTAGACTAAATTATTGAGCGTCCATCAGACGCACCTCTGTGATGTGGCGCTGGAACGCTCTGTATCTGCCGGAGCCCTGGTTTGATGCTGACAGCCAGTACAAAAAGTAACGCAGTAGTGATACTGGGATGTACAGTAGCAGTACTTTGAAGTAGTAGTAGGACTGGTCGACAACAACCAAACAAGTCGCATCAGTACAAGATAAGACAATAAGTCACATTTTTTCCCATACGTTAGCCGGGTTTACGACTTATACTGAGGTGCAACTTATATATTAAAATATATAATCTCACATGTTTATGTTCACACTGACCACCGCTAGAGGGCACTCTAGGCTTGTGTACCAGTATCTACTACTCCTGTACCACTGACAATTTACATGTTCGTTGTGTACGACTTATACTCCGGAGTAACTTATACATGTGTTTTTTTTCTTCTTCATTATGCTGTTTTTGGCTGAAGTTTCTTCTTCATTATGCTGTTTTTGGCTCAAGCGTCTTAAAGTCCCGAAAATACGGAAGTTGTTCGTTCTCAACTTTCAGCCACGTTTCACCGAAATGGACAACATTTGACAAGAACCTCATTAAAATCTCATGGTTGTAGTATTTACAGCAACGAGAGACACTGCTACGCCTCCTGCTGAAGTTGAGTACTTTTCTTTTTTTTTTTTTTACCTAAATCAGATCTTGGCAATCTTCAGGTTGACAGACAACAACCTGACCTTAGATGAGGAGAATGTTTTCGTCCGCATTTCGATCCATCATGTTGTCTCCGGGCTGTTAAAGGCTGCAATTCTGAAAATGAACAGAATTCACCGGGGAGTGATGGAAAGAATCAGTTGAGCAGCAGAACGCTGGAGACTTGTATTAGACTTTAAATCAAAGCTCAGACAAACACCTACAGAATAATGGGATTCATTGTTTTTTTTCCTGCATTATGTAGAAAATGGAAATGAGGAAACCATCGCTCCATCACAGACAATTACCATCCTTTGATGTCGTTGTAAATCTGCAAAAAAAAAAAAAAACATCGAAAAAAAAAAAAAAAAAAAAAAAAGAAAATCCAATCAAGCTCGTGCACCGCAGGGCTAACTTTCCTGGCATATGCCAGAGGATTACTTTAGTAATAATCTGTTAAAATCAGCAGGGGGTCGTGTGGAAGCTGGGACGCAGCATCAGTAACTGTCTCTCTCTCTCTCTCTCTCTCTCTGCCCCCTCCTCTGTCCCCATATCAATCAAGTTTCAAAATAAGGGTCCCTATAAGTATAGTGATGCCAGGATCTAACGTTAAGTTTCACTGAAATTTTTTTTTTCACAACGACTGTATCTGTTATAAAAACCAAACACAAATACCTGAAATCCTGCTTCATTAGGACCAGGTATTGGTCTCTACAAGGACTGGAAACACACACACACACACGGCAGCATCTTTCCCATGACATGAATATATATATATATATATATATATATAAGTCACCATCACACATGGACGTGCCCCTTATTTCCATTCAATTTCACTCCCATGATGCCCGGTGTTAGCCGTGTAGGCATGTTGTATGTGATACTCATAACAGTAAATGACTGGTGAATAATTCAAGACAAGAGCTCTCTCTGTGTGTGTGTGTGTGTGTATGTGTGTGTGTTTGTGTGAAGCAGATGTTCTGCACGTAGATGAGGTCTGGCGGGTTTGTGTGTGTAATCCTGGTGTTACTGAGAACAGCGAGGATTTATAATCATACACACAGCTACCCCTCAATAAAAAAACAAGCTGGAACTGGGGAATGGTAATCTCTCTCTCTCTCTCTCTCTCTCTCTCCTACTTCACACATTTCTCGCCTCCCTTTATTCTCCTCCTCCTTTATGTAACTTCCTTTCATCCTCACGTCCATCGCTTCCCTTCTGTGCCATGTCGGAAAAAAATGGAGCAGAACAAGGAAGAAGGCCTGCGTGCAAAAAAAAAAAAAAAAAAAAAAAAGTTCAGGTTAAGGAAGTAGAAAAGGGCTTTAAGTAGCTTAGCTCAGTTTAGTCTGTGGTGTAAAAACCAGACAAAAAAATGAAAAGCCAGCAGCACTGAAGGCACTGACAGGCCTTAGTCTAAATCCTCGACAACACACAACCAACTTTCTGCTCTTTCATATATACTTATATACTTGAGTTCTTCTCCGAACTTCGTCAGATACTTTCGAACGTCATTGCTCTAATTTTGGGAGTGCCAATAGGGGGTGCACAAGAACAGAAATGTGACGGCAGTTTGGTGTGGTTCTTTTTTTTTTGGTGGGATTTTTCCACACAATAAAAACGTGAATTAACTTTTCCTTTGTAAAATTTGAAAACAAATGCTGACATTTTAATTATAAAATTGAATGTCATGTTCTCACATAAGTCACAGAAGAAAAGTTTTATTCAAACTGCAGTTTTCAAGGTCGTCCAGGTCACGGGAGAAAATATTAATTTGAATTTTTATTCATGTTTTTGTTCGAGTCAGAGTCATCATTACAAAAGTCCAGATGTCATAAGTCTGGACTTGAGTTTTGATGCTTGATACATTTCCTGCAGCTCCCAGAGAAAGTCAAAAAAAAAATCAGCCCAGACTCAGGATGCAGGTACGACACATCGTCCTGTGTCTGTAAACGCCGACCACTTCCTCGGCATATTTGCTAATTGAAAGGATTCTCATTTTTATGTGTTGCCCTGTCGTGGCAGGAGAAACTCACGGCACAAACGTCAAGTTCAGGATCTGCAATTCCACAAACGACAAAAGTCTGATTATTTCCAGGCTGTGAGGTCTGGATGTGAGGCATTGATTTCCAAACATCTCCAGCAGAGACGGGTTTCATCACATATTGTATGCATTCTAAATGTGACGCTGTGTTTGTTGTCCTGTCAGGGTTAAAGGTGGAGGAATGGAAAATGTATTTTCTCAAAACCTGCCTTGTTCCTGTTCAGGTGTTGGAAAAGTGTGAGAGGGGGAAACAGAAACGAAACAAACCAGACGTTTGGCTGCGGGCTGGTTTTTTTTTTTCAGTACGTGTCCTTCAGAAAAAATAGCACAAATTTAAACACATACATAAAATGGTTCACTTAGAATAAAATGATTTGCACTTTTCCCAAAATGCAGTACTTGACTTCCACAAAGTGGTTTCTGTTTCGCAGACACGGCTGCAGCTGCAGCTGCTGCTGAGTATGACTCACAAAAAAATGAAGTTTTATAATCCCAGCGTCGAATGACGTCTGAAGTGAACCTGTCAGGCTGGATGTGATTATGACGCAGGTGACGCCTCAACGTCCCAGAAAACAACACTGTGGAGTTTAGGACGCTGGAGTAGGAATTCTAAACTCGTAGCTTGAGGAGTTGGAGGAGTCTCCTCGGGACAAGGCCAGGAAACCTGGACGTCTAAATGTCAAAACTAAAGCCTGGCCTGACCTTCACATCTCTGTTTATACAACCGAGGCCGAATGGGAACATTTTAGACCCCAGTTGTATCAAAAATATAAATTCTGTATTCTGTTCTTTTCACATATTTGAATAACTTTAGTAGTTTTTATGAAAAAAACTGTTTTGTCCAACTGTTGGAGCAGATTGAGACGATGTCAGACGTCCTGCACATCCTGCCTCAGTGGCATATTTGTCACAATTCGTATAAAACTGATAGATGTCACAACAGACCACAGGTCTCTAAAGATGCTAACTCTGCATTTAAAGAAAATGCTCGGGTGTCTTTAAAAAATACAAACAAATAAACGAAGCCCAGTCGCCCTGATGACGAGATCTTTTGAAATCAACCTGGGATCACAGGATCCTCAGTTGTCTTTTTCAACACCTGTCTGTGCTTAAGCATTTGTACCCAGATCTATTTTCAGACCTGACTCTGGGATGTACCCAGATCTATTTTCAGACCTGACGGGTTGCCATTTTTCCATCTAAACTTGTCTTTTTTTTCATCTGTTTTTCTTTTTAGTTGAAATGTTGATACATTTTGTCAAAGAAAAAGATGATCAGTAACAATATAAAAAAAATCTGATGAATTATTCTGATCTTTGTTAATGTTTGGTGGTTTTTAAAACAGCTGGAGGCTCTGGGTCTTGTCACATGCCACAAACTCCTCTCCTATAGAAATGCAAACATTACAATACCTGGGGGAGTGGGATTTTTATTGCTCTTTCCCATCATGCAGCACTGCATCAAATACCCGAGCAGCAGTTAGCGCAAAGCCAGTGGAACACACCGCTACATGGAGACGACGCCTTTGTCTCTTAATTGGACCAAACCTGTTGCATGGAAGAGAGAAAACGAAACACGAGTGTAGAAGAAAAGCCTTGGTTACCATAGGAATGTCAGGTGGTCTGCGTGTTTATCCCTGTAGGTTGGGACGACAACAAAAGAAGTTTGTGTCGTGATTGGTTTGAGGGGCGGGGTCCTGGCGGCGTCTCCTCGTTAGTCCCAGACACTGGGAGAGAAATGTGAAGCGTGAACGCAGAGAAGTTGGACCAACGATGGCAGTCAGCCTTTTTCTCCCACATCCAGCGCTAATGACCGGTCAGCTGTGGCCTAGAAGATGTTGTTAAGAAATGTCACTGCTGGCAGCCGAGTGTGGAGCGTGGAGGAAATATTAATGCTCTCCATTTGAAACGTCATCTTCATTCCTGTACCTGTGGCTGATGGGAGTCGTGTCACAGATGTTGGCCTTCACTGGCACCGGCCGCGTCTAATTGATTATGTTTCTCCAAAGTCTGGCGACACTGTTAAATGTGGACATGTTTTTGACGGCTGTGGTATGAATTTTAAAGTCTACTAGAGACAAGAATGATTTTAAATGTTATTCATTCCTGTCCTGAAACTAATTTAAGTGACAGGAGAACTACGACTAAACACTAGACAAAAAAAAAAAGAAGAAATTCTTGATTATCTTGTTCTCCTGGTCTTTTGGGAGAAACAAGAAACATCCGTTGTTATTTATTATAACATTATTTATTCAGCCTAATAAATGAGCTGGAATTTCTTAAAAACTAACATAATTCTAAAGCATGACATATTTACTTACAGACTTACTTTCTTCCTAAAATTGGGCAAATTCTACACTAAATTCTACATTTTTAGATTTTGGTATTTCTTATATGTTCTATTATTTAGCTTTCTTTGCGCTCTGTAGCATTTTAGCAATTGCTAAGCTAATTTTAGTGACAGTGCTTATAATTAGATTTCAGCTCATTTTTGCATGTCTTTTAAAACCTACATAAGTTTTGTTTGCTCTTCTTTTACCATCTCCTGATCTAAACTTTATTTTTGCATTTAAATGAAAAAATTGGAAATTCCAAAAAAGGTAAAACTTTTCATCAACATAAAGTGCAAAAGAAAATAGAAAGGAAGAAGAAACGCAATCTTCCCACGGTAAACAAAATGATTACCGTCAATTCTGTTGAACTACAGATGTGAAAACAATCTAAGATAAAAATCTGTTTTATAAACTGGATAATATGAGAATATCTGTAATTATTTTAATATCGAATGACCTTGGTTTGATTTTCCTTTGAATATTGACAAAATGATATAAAATGAGACACTTTTAACTCACCACCGCCACAAGTGGCTGCACGCTCTGTTAGAAGAATGTGGCAGAAACATGTGAGAAAAAAAACAAAAAAACCGAGAGAGGAGTGACAGAAGAAGTGACTTGACGTGATAGGATTAAATATGTCACGGGGATTATGTAGCTCATGTCGCCTGAACTCAGATTAAATTCAGCTGAGTGGCCCACGCTGTACCTGAGACTGGAGACAGGTCGAGTGACTTACCGTCATGACTTTGTCCACATACAGATTCACAGACACAGACGGACAAAAAGACGTTCATGGCCCAGATTCTGGCGACACAGTACGGGCCACGAACCTAATGCTGAACTACAGAAGTTTGTCTGTCAACACAGCACAGTCATTGATTAGAGGCAGACGAGGAGCTGTATATTTCAAACCATCTCAGCTCAGCTTTATCTGAGAAGAAATAAGCCATTCCCCTCCTGCTTCATCTGGAGACACAGACTTTCTCAGACTCCTGTTGTTTCTGTGTCTCAGTCCTGCAGGAATAAGGTTTCAGAAAGTCTCTCTTATTTCCCCAGACGCTCTTATTTCATGACTCACCCACAGGAGAGATTGCCGCCGCCGCACAAACACATGTTCTGACCTCGGCCTCGAACCCGATCACTGACGAAGTAGAGGCTGACGTAACGTTAACATAGAACGATACGACAAAAAGTTGAAGAAAGGTCTGTTATTCAGGTGTCTATGTCGGCCACATGTGATCGTGTTCCGTCATTTGGTCGGTGATCTAGTTGAATATTGTCTGGAGTGTGGCCCACAGTCTGGAATTATATATGTGGTGTGACCCATATGTACTGAATATTGGCCAGATCAGGGCTAACGTACCACTGTTTTGCCGGTGAATCACAGCTAAAGGGGCAACTCACAACCAATGTGTCATGTGGCCCATGTGGACACTTTGACTGGGTTGGCCGACGTTTGGTTATTTTTATTTGTTTTGGTTTTTTTTGTTCTTCTTTTGTGGCAAACGATTGTGACCCAACAAATCCTCTAACTGTACCGTGGGCAGCCGCGAGCCTTTTCTTTTTTATCTTTTTCACTTTAGTCCTAATCTAATCTAAGTAAGAACTTGTTGTCGTCAGTGTTATTTTTAAGTCAAAAACCTTTCTTGATTATTAAGGCCTCAGGCTGAAGAAGATAACTGAAGAAACACGTTTGTTGACCTTCACAGATGTTTCCAGGTTTTTCGCCTTAAACGTCTAATTTTTATTTTTTAACTTTTGATTCTTTATTTACACAACGTCCCCATGTCTTGTTGCCGTCATTGTGGATATAAAAAGCTAATTTGCCACGAGGTCCGGGCAGAACATTTCACCATGGAGTCGAGTACCATCATCAGACAGAACTGTTTCATTCGCATTTCAGTGTCAATAAACGCTGTGCACTGCTGATTGTATGAATAATAAATGTAGCAGCGGTGATTCAGGGGAGAGTGTCTGGAGGACTCTCACATCTGCTCTGGTTCCTTGAGCTCATAAAAGAGGAGCCTGTAGGGACTGGAGGTGGACAAGTGTTTGCTACAGGCTGGATAATAATCTGAGGATAATAAAAGTATATGGTAATGTATGTTTTTAATTAGTTTCTGCTGCGGGGTCCGTGGTGTAATTCCATAAATGTCAAGCTCTATCCAAGGATCAGGACCAGAGACAGCGCTGCGGTCATAGATGAGTGGGGACGGGTCTTCAGCCACAAATGAGTTTTTTTTTATGTTTCACCCAGAAAATATGACAATGATAATAAAACACAATTGATTCGTTTTATGGAAGTTCGTGATTGAAGATTCAATTTCCAATAATAAGAATTTTTTTTTAATTGGAGACCCTCCCTTAAGAAACATCACAAAACTGTTCCTTGAATATCGTTAGCGTTCTGATCTTCTCACTATCCACATGAGATATTTTTTATTGTCTTGTCTCTGCATCTGTGCTAGTTAGTGTGTTGAAAAATGAACCACGCTTCCTAAATGCTGGACCTTCATTATCTGCCGATGGTTCTCGGCCTTTCTAGGTGTTTCTGAAACGCAGCCCCAAACCATTCCAGAGCTTCTCCATACTGAGGTAGATTCTAACAAAAGACTTTAACTACATGCATTTGTCACGACATAAATCCTTGTGAGGAGTCAGACTCATATTGATACTTTAAAACCCTACTTCCTGTACACAAATGGTTGACTGTCCTGTCATGGGCAGTTGTTTCTGATGTAGTCTGTGGTTGAGATTGTTTCTAGCACTAAAAAGTAGTACAAACATATTCCTTGATGTTGGATTCTAAATGATTGTTGTTGAAAAATAACTGTTTAGGCAGATGATGGTGAAAGATTAGCCTCGTGACATTTACCTTCTGTTTAGGCAGATGATGGTGAAAGATTTACCTCGCTGGCTCTAGATCTAATCCTAATCCTGTGTCACGATCTTTCAGGGTAAAACATAAAAACCAAACGTGGCCCCGGGACTTAAACACGACACTCCATGTCTTTCTGTGTGCTTATTTGAACCCGTCCCAGCCCGTGGTTGGTTCAGATCCAGTAGAATCTCTGTTTATTCGGGTCGCTCTCCTGGCTCTAAGCGACACCAGGTTCAGAAGTCTCTCCAGCTCATCTCCTGAACCTCCCACGCTGCAGGAGTCCTGTCCTCCAGGATCTGCCTGCGGTTCCCTCCACTCCCCTGTCTGTAAGTCCCAGGCTCTCAGAGGAGGCAGAAGCTGAGCCGGGTGCAGATTCAGACCTGCGGGGCTCGATGGATATCCTTCGTACGCTCGCCTCGTCGGGGGTAGAGTGTCATAAGGGTTCTCTGTGTCTTCGCCCTGCTCCAAGTCCGGGCTGCACTCTTGGTATTCCTCGTACACAGGCGAGGAGGTGTCTTCACCGCTGTCGTGTCCCATCGACGGCGGACGATCTCTGGTCCTGTTCCCTGCTCCTGCCTTCTGCTTCCTCTTTTCATCCCTGTCCAGGATACGTCTCCTTTCCCACTCGCCCGACTGATTCCTCTCCCACTGGAAGCTCCTCTTCCCGCCCTCCCATCCCTGCTCTCGGCCTCCACCCAGCACTTGGCAGTCCAGCTGGAGGGAGTGTGTGCTGCCGCCTCGTCTGATGCTCTGCTGGCTGTCGCCGAGGTCGTAGTCACTGTCCGGTGGACGGAGACGTGACGGAGACTCCCAGAGGGATGCTGAAAAAAAAAAAAAACAACTGAAAAAAAAAACAAAAAACAACAACATGATGAAATTATTGAGACAAACAGTGTAAACTTTATCAAAGAACAAGCTCAGGGAGGCAAAGAGTAATCTGAGATGATTGTGTTCCGAGCCTGAGGCTTTGTTCTGTGGACAAACGTGTTCTGCCACATCACAGTGTGAGTGAGGATGTGATTATCAGCCTAATAACACCGACCAGCCCAAAGTGTTGCACATACAAATCACTTGTCGCATGCAAAACAGTGCAGTTTAGTGTCTCTGAAGGAGCTGCAGGCTGAACAGTGAGTGCACTTTGGTGTGAAACTAAGTAGAAGGATGAGAGTCTGCTCTGCTGAAGCTGCAGTTTCTGATGGAGATGTGGCCTCCTCGAGTCTGAGCCTTTAGCTACACGTTAGCTTACAGTGGTCTGAAAAACCAAAGCCAAAAACCAACCATGTCATGGTGAGAACATGAGAACAAACCAGAGAAGCTCCTGTTGATACAGACATGTCCAAATGTTGCCCCAGGGGCAACTGTGGCACAGTGGTGGTGAATCCCTCCTACGGTATCATTTAAACATACCATTATATATGTGTATATATATGTCTTTCTAATATATTTAATTTGTGTATCTGTAGTACACACTCTCCATTTTTGCTCCTCAGTTTGGATCATTTTCAAGGAATTATTGGAGTCATTTTTTAAAAAACGATTTCTTATTTAGCTAACTGGTGTGAATGAGGCAAAAATAGAACGGCAGCAACATATGGCATCTTAGAGAAATCTGACACGGGGAATTCTGTCTCATAGATGTTAGCTCCACTGCTGATGTAAAATCTGACACGGGGAATTCTGTCTCATGGATGTTAACTCCACTGCTGTCGGTCTCAGATGTGAGCCGTCTGTCGGAGTAAAGGGGAAGAACGAAGAACGATTGTCACAGCGACTTCAGGAGACGAGCTACAGCTTTTTCTAGCAATTTTTTGTGATGATCACAAGCAGCCGGCTGAGTGAATTCGACTCACACCGGGGGCACAGTTCTACAGAACCGGAGACTGATTTCATCGATTTCAAACCTAATAGAACATTGAATAAAAGACACATTCTTTAGCCTGCACCTAAATGTCAAGGTTCCATTTTGACAAACCAGGTAAAAATGTGTTTAGAATCTGCCTTTTTAAAGACTACCTCTCCAACTCTGTGTAATCCTCTAACACCTACAGTGTGCTCGCTGTATAATTTATGGCTAAGTTTATGAGCTTTGACGGAAACAAATATCATATTAATGAAGTGAGTGGAGGCAGAGGGGTCACCTTCTGTGTGGGTTAGAGGGTACATTCCATTAGCAGCGTTAGCCCACTGTATAAATGGCATGACGCTCGTGTTGACAGGAACATCTGCAAAAACGCTACACTCCACATGTGGGAGGTTCCCGACGCTGAAGTTTCCATATTTCAGGATGAAATATTATTATAGGAAAGGTTAAAGGAAGACGAGGAGGAGGAGGAGGAGGAGGAGGAGGAGGAGGAGGAGGAGTGTGCTAGGGGAATGCGACGTGGAATAACAACAAACTATTCTTCAATTAAGTCTACACATATTTCATCTTTGCTCTGCAGGTGGCGACCCGCTGTCATCCAGGCGGAAAGAACACAAAACAAATATCTCATGGGACGAGGAGCCTTTGATGGTGAAACATTCCCCGCATGGAAAGCAGTGAAGGCGGAGGAGAAGCCACGGAGGACGGGAGAGCGACTGCTGGTACGGCTTTTACTGTAACGTCAACGCTAACACATGCAAATGCACAAAACTGGAAAACAAACACCAGAGAACCTCGTGCACACGTGACATCAGGAAACACAGAGAAATGACAGAGAGTTTTCCATGACGACTCATGACGATGTCGCACGTTGATGTAGAGCTGATCTGGATTTTACTGGTCCATTTGAGCCACAGGTGTAACGGTGTTATTGGCTGGGCTAAAGTGTTTTAGTAGAGCGTTATACGTGTTTGTAAAATGACCTATAAATGTGGTCTCCTATAAAAGTTTCCTCCCACTACTGATCATCCTGCTGGGCTGCAGCAGAGCCATTAGCAAATTAGCTAAAAACATGGGCTAAGCAACAAATCTCTACTGATGTGGCCGTTATTATCGTGATGGGGGGCGACAATGTTAATGTTTTTGACAGTAGGTGATGAGAGAGGAGGAAAACGTCTGCTAGTTTCAAAAGTCACATAATAAGGTTCACTATGATTCACAAGTGCAGTGTTTTATCACCACAAACATGGATTACAAGGGTCTTATGAATCCAGTGACCAAACCTAGCATTGGTGTAAACATCTAAAAAAATGTGCGGGCGACATATGGCTGTAGCAACACTGTATTGTGTTCTGAACTTGCCTCTAAATAATAATCATTAATTTAATCAACCTAATACCAGATCCTAGCAAATCAGAGCTGCCGCAGACGTGCAGTTTCCTGACGGACAGATGGACAGGCTCGCTGCCAGGCTGTTTTCCTCGCACATGACTGAACAAAGCAGTTTTAGTTTTCTTAGACTCTTGAGAAAACTTCTTGTGTGTTCAAGCCTTCAAAGACAAAGACATAATTATTTTTATTTGAATACTAAAAAACTTGGAAAATTGTTTGTGTATTTTTTAAGTTTCTGCTTTTTGACAAACTCATTAGTTTTTTGACCTGAAACTACTGCAAATCCAGTTGATGTTTTTTTTTTTTTTTTCCCGGCCGTGTTTAAATCTGTGCTGTCTGAAACAAAGCCTCTTGTTTTCATCTGTAGTGTGTCACCAACAGACGGCCTCACACTCATTAACACGGGCCTTTTTAGAACTTATAAATTGAATTGCGATTGACAACAAACAACAAACAGACTTGTTAACCAGCCGCCAATTAAAAGCAGTTTAAAGGCTGCAGCCCCAACAGCTGGTTTAAATAAACATGAGGTTGTTATAGGGTAGGATCCACTGCGCCCTGCATCAGTTTTTTTTTCTTTTTTCTAACCGTTAGACAGGGAAAAAATAGCCATTAGCTGCGGCTGATGCCCTCTTTACTGGTTTTCAAAAGGAAGAAAAGTGTTTGAAGATGTGGGGTTTGGCTCAAAGTTTCCCTAAAATCCAGTGTGACCTTGAACAAAGTTTATCCTAAAACTGCATACAGCTGGTAAATAAATACAGATCTAGAAAATATAGAACTTAGATTTAGTATAAAAATCAACCTGAAAACGACTAAAAAAACTAATCGAGTTTAACTTTTTAAACTATTTAAACAGCCTTGTAAATAGCTGTAATAGCTCTTTGATAAAAGATGGTTAAAAAAAAACAAAACTACAGAAACACCTTTAAAGTCATCTAAAGCTGTTTGAATTTGAAATCATTGACCTGGAGTTTACACTGGTGACGACAGGCCTCAGAAAGAAGAGAGCGACTGTTACTGGTTCACACTCTTTCATGTCCCCTTCCAATTAAGCCTTCGACGGTGTCAAGTAATTACGTTCGTCTGAGTGGAAGCCAAAGTTACACGTTTTAATCTTTCACAACAACCTGCAGATGCAGCCTGGAAATTAAATCATCGGCAAATGATGGATGATTCAATTAGTTCTGCTCCGGTGTTTTTAATTTGATTAAGTATGTGTGAGATCACCAGACACAGGTATCAAAGACAGCGGTCGTGACTGAGTGATGGGGATATGAAGTGAAATGACTCAGTCATAACTGGGAAGAGTTCTGATTGGAGGAACAGAACTCTGATGCTAGCTGCTGTCAAACCAGCAGACATACAGTTGATCTGTTTAATTATATAATTGTTGACCAGGGTGTGTGTGAAATTTCAAAGAAAAATTAAGAAATGATGAACAAAAAAAAAGAAATCCTTCGTTCAGAACTAAACATTTCTTTGGGGGGTTTTGAATGATTTTTGGTGGTAAAAAGTGACTGCAATTACATCAAAAACCTGTTGCATGGCGTCAGAGGTCTTAATGGGTTTTCAGTGGATTTTAGTTGATGATTTTTTTCAACAGAAATTTAATGTAATTTAAATGTTTTGCTGACTTCAAAAGTGTTGAGCACATTGGACGAACGCCAAGCATTGGGTTATTGGGTTTTTATTATCGATGAAAAAAGCTGATATCCTTACCAATGTAATATAGTTATGCTAATATCGGTCCGATAATATCAGACGGCCGATGTTATTGGACAGCTCTATCCGTTGAGCGTGATTGAAAATTCTAAAGGAAGAGTCGGCGCTCGGGAAAAGTCTGGATTCCCCTGGTGTAGAACAAAATTAGATTTAAATCTTAGCTGGCAAAGAAAAACCCGACAAAACATCCAGACTCTGTGTGGACCTTCATTAACATCATTGTTAACCAGTGCCAATAACTGTACTTGGATTTGTGTAAATGCTGCTTGGCAGCCATAAAAAAAACAAACAAACAACAAAACCCTAACAATTTCCTCAATCAGACTCAACAATTATTTGGTTTAATTTAAGGACATTGTCTGAGCTGCACAGTTGAGCTCACACATTTATGTAATATTAACTGAAGGAATTGGCAGCCATAAATAATAACCAAAAAAAATCAAAAAAAAAAAAATCCACCAAACGTTCTGTTCTTGGCTTTTTTCTTCTGAGATCAAATACACCATCCCACAGAAAGCAACTCAGCTGGAAGTCAGAAAAGTCGAGCTGCTGCAAACCCGTAGCCTGTGCTTCGTGTTTTTTAAATAATGCTGGCAAAAACAGAAATATGTGCAGATGATAAAAGGATCTGGATTTAAAAATGTAAGGAATACAAAAAGGGTGAGTTTGAAAAACACAGCGTGAGAAACAGGTCAGAGGGAATGAAGGGTTTTTGTTTTGGTTTTGTTTTTCTCACTTTACATCTCACTCACCAGGGTTGTTCCTCTGCTGTTCTTTGTCCATGTTCGACACTACAAAAGCAGAAAGACAGAGAGAGAGAGAGAGAGAAAGAGAGAGAGAGACTGAATCACATGTGATATGGAGAACAAATGGGAAAACGATAAAAACACAGAGGAATCCAGTGCCAGAAAAATCTGAAATATGAGACAAATGTTTAATTCTAACTACGAAGTGGAAATGGAAACGCAAACATGAGGCTGTATTCAATACGTAGTACAAAGTACTTCGCTGTAACAATGGCAGTAACGGTCAGATCACATGGGATTTCACCAATAAATCCCACTGACTGTTGACTGTCTGAGACCAAGTCAGTGAGAGACGTCAGTGTCACGGCATTGGCAAATGAGGAGAACACAGAGGAGGATCTTGTCGTATACCTTCACTCTCGATATCGGCTACGGCGTCGTTGACGAGACGTATGACGGTCACTATAGAAGCTGGAGGCAGAAAAACAGGAACACAAGGGGAAACAATGTCAGAGCGTTAACGACGAGGGGAAGGAGTCAGGTGACGGAGATGAGACGGAGGCGAGTGGGTGGGCGTGTGTGTGTGTGTGTGAACACGTGTGCACACGTGAAGACGCCAGAGCAGAGATGTTAGTATTGCCAACACGTTTGAGTGTGTGTGTGTGAATGTGTGTGTCCATATCCCATTAGACAGCAGGAGATACACGAGGACTAGTTCAGTGCAGGCGTGCTAATTAGACAGGAAACAAAGAGTCTGCATGGGCTCATAATGTGCAAAACAGTCGCCCACACACACACACACACACACACACACAAATACATGCTTGATTATTAAAGGAGATCAATGGTATCGAGTGATCTGGGGAAAAGACACCCTATAGATTCTGAGAACGGAGTTGAAGAAGCAGAGTTTATGTCCCTCCTCGTTCATGCTCATGGCTGAGGATATTTAACTGCATCATCAATGTTCCTCAGGCTAATGAACACAGAACACTACACTTTTACTACAAAACAATCACCTCTGCGTGTGCTGAGTGAACATGTAACACGTTAACTGTGATTTGGAGCTGCCCCACCCCCCACTCCTCCCCCTGCTGGACCCACTCGAGATTGAATTCCAGGCAAACAGAGGTGGGGGTTTACATGTCTGTGAGGGTTTGTTAGCTTTTTACCAGGATCACGAAAATCCCAGAAAAAGTCAATTATAGATGACACAGAAATCTAAATAAAATAAACTGAATGAATCAACGAAGGCTAGAATTTTCTAGAAGTAGTTTACTAGAAGTTCCACACAAAAAGTAATAATAATAATAATAATAATCATAATTGAGTCCCTTATTCATCTCACAATGGGGAGAGTCACAGCGTTGAGTCTTTGCAACCCACACAGGCTGCCACTAGAGGCGCCATTAAGTTTGTGGTTGCAACTCACATAAGGAATATGTGAGATATATAAATATATATATATATATTTGTTATTTATGATGTGTTTGTGCTTTGCGACAAGTTTCAGAGGAAAAGCGAGTGATGAAAAGAGACGATGGTTTGAGATTCTTTAGCAATAAAAAAAAAATCAATCTTACCGTTGTCGTCAAAGGACTCAGACGTGTAGGAACTGAGCGACTGCTCCTCGGGGGTGCAGTCGGTGCGACACCCACCCCTGTCCGCCATACCTTATGCACAAGAACACACACACACACAAACACACTCACTTTTTCTAATTCAAATGTGAGGCATTGTCATGACCAGGATCAGAACCCATGACCATTCAGACACGTCCACACTGATAACCATGATAATCAGCCCCTCTCCCCCTCCTGGCCGTGAACACACTCAGTCCTGGACCAACTCCAACTCAACACGTCCTCGGAAGCGAGGGCCAAATTTTATGGACGTCCAGTTCATACGGCTGTCTTGATTGAAGTGGGTTGAAGTCATAATTTAGCTTAGCACCTGAAGCCTTAGTGTAGTACTTTGACACACATACACACACACACACACGCGCACAAACTGCAGCCAGGCATGAAGTGCGCTCCGTGTGCGTCATGTGTGTATTCAGCTGGAATCACTTCCATCATCCTGTGACGCCGACACCAACACGCCATAAAGCTAATAAATGCATGACCACGTATACATCACACATCTGAAGCGTCTTGATGTCGTGGGATATTGCAGCACACGCTGAGCATTCATCATGTTTACAGACGGGACTAAGGACGTCGTAAAGACGTGTCCGCGGGGCTAGAAACCACGGTTTACTGCTAATCTAACTGAAAGCAAAGCTACTGTAGGTGAGAAACGACTGCCTCACATCCACAAACCCCACAATGTGAAAACTCCAACACACTTTTCTGTTGCTTTTTATTTTTTATTTTAAACATAATCACACACTTTTCTGTTGCTTTTTATTTTTATTTTTATTTTAAATATAATTCCTTGTGTGAGTTATTGGTTTAAGCAGCTTCTTGACTGGTTGGATCTGTTCATAGTAGATACTTTTTAAAAAATGCTGGTTGGATCTGTTCATAGTAGATACTGATTAAAAAATGCTCCTTCCCACTGAACGTTGTTTAGGACAGACTCCTAAATCCTTCAAACACATCAACGTCCACGTCTTCATTTTTTATTAGTTGCTTCTTTTATCAGTGCCTCATGCATTTGAGTCTTTGTTCTTGCAATAATGAAAATAACTTCTATCGGTTTTAACTCTAGCTTTCTCTTGTTGGCCTCTTTGTCATCTTTTTCCCTCTGTTGTCGTTTTTTTATTTCTTGTTTTTTTTTTTTTTTTGGTCCTTTATCTGTTTTTTCCTTTAGGCTAAATTTGAATTTAACGCTCTTTTGTTTTTGTCTCTTTGGCTTATTTATTCTTTTTGTGCTTTTTGTCTTTCTATCTTTTTGGAGTGTGACAGGAGAGGGTGTGTTTCCAGAGAACAGTGTGACCTGCAGCTCCATACAACGGAGCCAAACGCAGACTCCAGTTCAGCTAGGTTTAAGGAATCCTGACCAGATTGTCAAATTGAAATCCCACTTCCCTCTGCACCTGTGTCACACCTGACGTTTTGTGTGGACAAACAAGACAGGATTTTGAATTTCATTTGAAGTTGCTGCGCTGAGTTAACCTTAACCCGCGTATCCTCAGGGGGAAAACACTTCAAAAGATCCAGGCTCAGATCCCTGTCACCGCTCCTCTCGGCTCTGCCTGTGCTTTGGAGAGCTGCATTATTTAAAATCACACAGAGTTGCCTCTAAGTGATTGTTAGTCTAAGAAGTGCTGTAGGCCCAGAGCTGGTAACTGGGTGTCACTTTGCCGTGAGACAAGTGCAGTGTTAACAGCAGTTTGTTCTCTCAGAGACAGAGTATCTTTAAAACCGAAACTGAACTGCCTTAACAGACACACTGTAAACACGTCGGTCAGTTAAATACTGGGAAAACAGGTGACGGATTTCCCTAAAGCTGCAGCATTTACGGTTTTGACTGGGCCGAGAATACAATATATTTAAGTTGAACCATGGCTAATGTTTTAAGCTATATTTTCTAACTACAGGCTATCGCTAACTGGGTGTTTCTTGGTAAACTTTAGCTTTTTGGCTAACAGATTATGGACTTGTTTGAATCAGTTTAACTCTGGCTTCTTTACATATTCCCTGGTTTATATTTATCTGTCTTTTGCTAAACGTTTCAGCTCGCGTTGCTAATATTCAGCTAGTTAACTGACAATCCTTCTCTAACATTCACTAAGTGTAAGTACAATAAGTAGTTATGGATTTAATATAAGATATGTCAGCTTTTTTTTATTTAATATCTTTCATTTCTGTTGTTGTTTTATTTTATCACTTCTCTACAGTTGCTGCTCCCTTCAGTTAAGACACACAGCTGTAATACAAAAAAACATTCAGTCATTTTACTACAGCTCCAAGGCCTTTGGTCCCCTCCATCTGTCACGTCTTCGAAACTTTTAAAAAGTTCTTATGTTTGATATATAGTCAGGCAACAATTCGCCGTTCTGTGTTTGTGAGGTCAAGAAAGTCTGGACGTTGGCTCCGACTGTCTTAGCCTGAGTCTGACGGTTCTGGTCCAGTGTGCACACAACAAGTACAAGGAATGGGAGAAGTTAAACAGTACCATCAATCAAACTGGAGCCAAACACAGGAACGGCTCCGATTCTGCTTTTTATTGGATTCAGTATATCTGAACGTGATCCACCTAGTGGCCACTTCATTAGGTACACCCGTTCAACTGCTCCTTAATGAAAAGAAAAGCTGTTTAAGTAACATTGTTGTCACTAGATGATTATACAAAAAGCACACCACCATACACTCTTAGTCAGTTATCAAAATGACTAAAAAGAAAAAGGATTTTTTTTTTCCATTTTTTTCTGTGGTTGTTTTTGTTTATGTTAAACAAAAGAGGAAATTTCCTTTTAATAGCTTGTGATTTCGTCCTTTCTAAACAGATTAAATCTATGATGAAGAGAATGAAATCAGTACCAACAGAAACACGGGCTACAGTTGTACCTAATATCGTGGCCACAGTTTCTGTCCCAGTTTATTTTCCTTGCCTCACATGTTCATTCTTCCTGGTGCCAGTGTTGGCAGCCATGACTAAGCTTACAGGCCCGGCCTTTAATCTCTAATCCCAAACATTCTGCCAAACCATATTCTCATCCCAGCAGCTGAACTTTCTTTCAATGCCCTCCACACTTTTTCATTTTCAAGGACTGTGAAAGAGCCAATCACAGAACTTCTCAACTTGTGCTGAGGCCGACCAAACACTAATACAACAGAACTCACAAAACCCTTTAGATCCTATTACCTATAGTCTGTCCTTCACGTTTCTCTTGCAACTTTTATTTGCAGAACAGCCTCTTATCACTAAAGCCGACCTCTGACATCTTCCCCAAAAACACAGCTTTTTAAAAATGTCACTTCTACGGCAAGAGCTGCTGTAAAATAATCATCTCTATATTTGTTAATATTTTTATCAAACATGTTGAATTGAATTGAAAAACAAACTGTCAAAACAAACCGGCAGTATTTTTTTTAAAATTATATTATAAATTCTGTTTATATTTAAATGCAGTAAATCTTCTTTTAAAGAAAACTTTCTTCACAGAACAATAACTGAAATATGCAGTCTTTTGTTTTTTCAGCGGGAAGGTGGGAAAAAACAAATAAAATCACTTATTTCTCCAAAGGAAGAGATAAATATTCAACAGGTGCAAAGGTCCCTGCATTAATTGATCTTGATTTGAATTTTTAAGTGTTGAATAATTTTTGTAATCCATCAATAGCGCAGAGAAAACAGTTTCTATATGCGTTCTGTTACCATTTTATTTGTTTAAAATCTTTGGTAGTTCCTATATACTGTGAGGCCACCTGACTATTTCTACTTCTGTTTTTTTTAATTACTATATGTGTAAAGAAACCTGCTCTGTTTTGTAGAAACAAAATCAACCTTTTTTTTTTCTTCTGGAAACAGCAAAAAAATCAGGGCATGAAACATGAGCTGCGACAGACTCCTTTGATCGTCCTCTCAGAGGAGTCGATCTGATACGAGGCGACATCGACGCCAATTTCCAGAAGCCTAACAGAGACGCTGGCAGTACCGCCAGGTTTCTTCGCCCCCAGGAAGTAAATATAAAAACTAAAGTGAAATGATTGCAAAAAATAAATACACACACACAAAAATACAAGTTCTTAACCGCTCGTGCTCACTGCGAGCTGCTGCACTTTGATGTGTGTGATCAAAAGGCACAGATCAGTGTGAAATAAGCTCTGCTGCTGGAGATGATGGGTCGGGTGCAACACAATGAGTACACGGCCTCTCTCTCTCTCTCTCTCTCTATGTCTCTCTCTCTGGGTGAGTGTGTGTTTCCCTGGCATAACTGCACTTCTTGGTACATTTCCTGGACTGTACCACTGTTGTGGGGACACTTGTCCTTGTGGGGACGATTTACAGGTAGAATTAGGGACAGATTAGAGTTAGGGTAGAGATTAAGATTAGGCATGTATTTGTAATAGTTTGGATTAGGACAAGGACCTCGGGAATGCATCATGACTGTGGAGTGTGTGTGTGTGTGTGTGTGTGTGTGCTGCAGTCTTACCCCGTGGACTGTTATCTCTCTGTGTTCTCTCCAGCTCAAACGCTCTCTGCCCCCATTCCTCCTCTCTCCCGGCGTGCAGCCTCTCCAGCCTGTCCTCGTTCTCCTCCTCGTCCTCCTCCTCATCCTCCTCTTCTTCATCGCCTCCCCTTGCCTCCCAGGACACTTTATGAGCTGGACTGTGCACAGGGAGGCAGGCGGACGCTGAGGGGAGATTGGGTGCCACGCTGCAAACAGCAATGCCCCTCCTGGTGGTCAGGGTGCGGATATTAGACATGTTGGGGAGGAAGCTACTCAACTGCAAATACAGGAGGAACAGAGACGTGACATTAAATAATCTGAACGAACCAGGACAGCACTAAAAAGCAGAGTTAGTGAGGCAGACTGCAGGGTGACCTTTGACAAACCAGATGTACGTCTGGAGCCACGAGAGGCGTGAAAATCATTGCAATTTCCCTGTCACTCTAAAGAGGCCAATAAAATGTACAGTAATGTGTTTTTTCTGAGGGAATGCTGCCCTCTACCTGCGTGTTTTCACTTCTTTCTTATAACGTCAGTAACTAAAAAACCACTAGGTGGCAGTGATGCAACTTACAGCGTCATAAACCTCGGCTGTGGTGATTTTTTACCAAACGGGACATGAGATGAGTTCAGCTCCACATACCTGAGCACACTCACTGGAATTGACTTTGTCAGCGTCTCCGTTCCTCATGGTCTGGCAACTGAGTCCTCCAGGTAGAGGGGAGTGGGAGGTCGGGCGCACCATGACCTGAGGAGGCCCCAGGGTGCTGCTGCTGCTCCCCACCTCCCCGTAGGTACTGTTGGTCCCTGGAGACCCTGAAACTCTCATGGCTTTAAACTCGATGCCCTCTGAGCCCATGCGTGTCTTGTGCAGCATGTAACTGGTCTCTGAAGAAATGGCCGAGACTCCTGTCGCCGTCTGACTCTCGGCACCCGAGTCTGAGTCTTTACGGAACTTGATTTTTTTCCTGAAAGCGATGAAGAGTATGAGGAGCAGAATGATGACGAAGGCTAAGACCCCGATGCCAATGATCTCTCCTGGTCCTACGTAGGACAGAGGCTCGGCCTGAAAGAAAGGAGGGAAAAGGGTTGTGCATTAAGTGCAAATTAGTACTGTTTGTCATGTGACCTCAAGTGAATATGACAGCGATTGCTGTTTGATTCTGTGGAGGTAGTTATTCTGCCCACATAATTAATAATGGACTTCAGATGCCCCTTTTAAACTGCCATAAAAGCTAACGATGCAGAAGTAACAGCCAGGAAATGACAGGGGTAGAAGAAGTCATCGTTGTCAAATTATCAATCCATAAACAAATTAATGTTGTTGTGGATTTTTCTTCCTAATGAATCGAATGTCAAACACCTCCGAAGTCTGAAGCCGCCCTGATTGTTCTTCTCCTTGAATACTGATAACCTCAGAGACGGTGAATTTTCACTCCTCACAATGTGCAACACAGAGCGAGTGTTGGCTTTCGATACGAGGTACGTAGTGCACGTCAGAAGTCCAGAGCGTGGCGACTTCAAACGAGAGGCTCTGATTTACTCATTAACCACACTGTCATCCATCTGCTGTAGAAACAAACACACCAGACTGTGGCTGAAACATCTCAGGATGGCCACGCTCCACTCAGCAATACTGAGCAGCTTCACTGAGTCTAATTAGGAGCGAGCTGATTGGACAAAAGGGGAACGCTGTAGGAACGGTTTTTGAATGAATTTATTTCTAAAAGGTTTTTACCTGCATGTCATCCCCGAGGTCAGCAGGGGGCTGATCGTTACATAACTGACCGTCGTAGCCCTCGGAGCAGTTACAGAAGAACGAGCCGAAGGTGTTGACACACTCTCCTCTGTTCCCACACTCGCCCTGGTCACACTCATTAACGTCTTCATCACATCTGCAGGGACAAAACAACAGTTAAGGACTGGTGGACAACTATATTTCTGGCTAACTTTTAGCTCTATTTTTCTGATTTTTATTCACCTTTATGCCATCCAATGGTTAATCTATCTATTTGTTTTGTTAGTTAGGCCAACTATCTATCTATTTAGCTGGCTAGCTAGCTAGCTATGGAGCTAGCCATCTATCTAGCGATCCATCCATTCACCCATTTGCCATTTTATTTGTTACTAATTACTTCACTTACTTACACTTTTTGTGTAACATAAAAGTTTACATTTAATGCGTTTTTATTTCTCAGCGAACCTGTGGGTTTTTCTTTTTTCGTAGCATGCAATCAAAACCTCCCACAGCCACTGCATTGATTGTCGTTAAAACAAAAGACAAACAAAAGCAAAGAAATCACTAAGGCTTCAGACAAGAAGATGATCACTGTGGTTCATGGTACAATAAAAACAATGCACAATCACAGACCAACACACACGCACTACGTGTTTCGATTAAAACAAAACCCAATACATACATTTAACTCCTCAAACACACACCCAGACACATACTTTGGTATTACTAATTAATTTTAAATCGCAACAAAACCCAATACATACATTTAACTCAAACACACACCCAGACAAATTGTCGAACAACCTTTTAGCACTGTCCTTGATGAGATAATATTAATTTTAAATGTCAAAACATTTTTATTTTATGTGGTTTTAGTTATTGATAAACAGCGTGTATTATCATTTTTATACCCTTTAAAAAAAAATAAAACAGTCATTTTTCTCAGTTTGTTTTCTCCCTCATTAACATGCATGAAGTTAATTGAAGAATTCATGCGTGTCTTCTGATGTCTTCTATTCATCAGTTTGTAAAACCTCTTTATTTAAATCACACATAATAATTTAAAAACCTCAAACATTTTTTGACTTTTGACCTTATTAGTGTTTTATAATTTTTCTTTCATAGAATTGTCCAAATTTAAACGGAATCTACCCAAAGTAACCTTGATATTTTTTTCTTTTTGACTCCGGAATGTTTTCTTTCCCTGAGCAAAAAGTGCCCTCTAGTGGTGTCTTAGTTTAACAACAACCTCGGTGCCAGGAGTTTAATATTTAATGCTGTCACTGAGCTGTAACTAAAAAGGCGACAAGAGAATAATCAGAGTCTTTCCCTGTATAATGAAACCAAAATAAATTAGAAACATTCATTTATTTATACAACAACAGCTCAAAGACTAATGACTGCTGTAGTGGTTATGGGTATTAATGCCTTTGTGTTTGTGGGTCGCTTACAAATTGTTTCATTTTTTCGTAGAAGACTTAAACTGTTGCATTTGAACTGTGTTTTTGTGACTATCCTGGTGTTGTGGTTGTGCAGACAGGACACAGAATCTTCAGCTTCGACTTTAGGGTAAATATAAAAGTGATTCTGAGTGATGTTAGTCGGTCTTTCTTACATTAGCCCCCCCAGTCCTGTGGGACAGCCACAGAGGAATGCACTGCCCACGGCCTTGCAGTCTCCACCATTCTGGCACGGATTAGGCATGCAGGATGTCAGCTCAATTTCACAGCGCCCTCCAGTGAAACCCGTGCTGCAACTGCACACAAAGCCTGTGGGAGAGAAGTAGAGGGAAGAGTGAACAGAACCAAAAAAGTTAGAACTCATGTCTTATGGATGCATTGGTCAGTGTGGAAGTTCTTCACTGACCTCCAGAGGGCAGACTGCTGCAGACGGCGCCATTGAGACAGGGTTGACTGATGCATGGGTCGGGGTACAGCACGCAGCCCAGCTTCACCTCACTCAGCCCTGCGATCTCGGCGTAGAGACTCCTCTTGTTCTGGAGCGGCAGCTCATTACCGTTCAGCATCAGGGAGCCCAGGCAGCCCTGGAACCCGTCCTGGGCTCTGGGCGGGGCCCTTGTTCCACGCTCTGACATCGCCTGCATCCTACCTGGTCCAGGACTGGGCCTCTCACCCGGCACGGTGGCTGTTCTTACTTGAGCCCCAAAGAAAAACGAAGACTCCGGCCCCAGAGGCCAGAGTCGAACCGGAGCCCTGGCTGCTCGACGACGCTCCACGTAACTGTCGTCCAGAGACAGGAGCGTGTAGTTTCTGGTCAGCTCCAAGGCCACGGCGTGCCACAGGCCGTCGTTGATTGGTCGGCCAGAGATACCCATGATGCCCAGGGTGTTGTCACAGTCCAGCTGGAACCAGAGTCGCCCTCCTTCAATCTGTGCAGGGAAGTTTGATCAGACTTCATTTAGAAGAAAACTTCTTTTAAAATCAAATATTCAAATTCAGTCGGTTTAAAAATGTCTTTTGTATTTTGAAAAGTAGGTACTTTGAGCATGGTACAGGGGTTAACTCGTGTGAACATGATGACTCCTCTTCTCTGAAGCGTCCTGATCCTCAGTCCCAGCCTCATCTCTCCAGACTGAGTGCTGTCTGTCACTCTGTACTTGATGTAACTGTTTCCAGAGAAGCTCAGTGAAGTCTGTCCTGCAACGACACACAGCACAAGGAGGTTAGAGTGAGTGGAGAAAAAAAAAAAACAACTCAAAAGATCATGAACCGTTTACATGTAGTCCTGTTTGTAGAAAGAAAAGTTACCTGCACACTCGTCCAGTCGCTCAGGCTGACACTGGCAGACAGAGGGCGCTGTAGGACCGGAGCGGACACACTGCATGTCTGCGGGACAGGACTGACCTTCACAGAGCTCCACAGTTGTGGGACATGAACCTCCTGCACAGACACAGTGATGGCAGAATATTGTCAGCATCTTTAAAAAAAATCATTTTTATATTCTGGTTTCAGTCGTTTTCGTGCATTTAGTTTAATCTTATTCTGGTTTCAGTCGTTTTCGTGCATGTAGTTTAATCCATTAGTTGAAATCTGATTGATTTTTGCAACTTGAAAAAAAATGTGGGTCACGGACTGTGTGGTGAACTGACCAGGACATGTGCAGCCGTCTGTGTGTCTGAACCTCAGTGACACCAGACTCAGCTTCTCTGTGCTGTAGGTGACGGGAGAACGACCGTCCATCACCACTGTCCTCTCACAGACTCTGTCCCCACAGTCCAGCTCCTCAGAACAAGTCCTGTCCACCACCGTGGCTCCAGCCAGGACGCCTCGAACCCGTCCCCTGGTCACTGCGTTTTCCAACATATCAGATAACTCCTGCTGGGAATAGAACCCTCCCATTCGTCCACTGCCTGGTCGTTCTGGACGCTCCACCGCCACCAGTAACTCCGCGCCCGTCGTCCCACTCACCGGCTGCACACTGAGCACGTGCAGAGGGTCCGGTTGTCCTGGTGTCCACTTCCAGTTTGAGATTTCACGTAGCGTGAGTTTGATCTGAGTAAAGTGGCGAGACAGCAGCTCCTCAGGGGACAGGGAGCTGAAACGTAAGGTCAGAGCGCTGCGCAGCACCACGTCGGTCACCTGCTCCACCTGGACGGAGACGTCAGCGATGACGGCGAAACGCCCGTCACTCACAGTGGCGTTTAGCTGGTATCTATGGACAGAGGACAAGATAGTTTTCTAGTTGGTGTTTGAAAAGTTTGACTCAGGTTCAACTGTGACGTCTGTGCTGCATTTAAGTTGCTGTAACATCTAAGAAATCGACCTACAGCTAAATATAGCTGTATGGCTATTCCTTGGCTTAATTATTTATAATTCTTATATAGCTTTCGTAGCATTTTTGGCCTTTTGCTATGCTAACTTTAGCTTAGAATTTGGTATTTTTGCTGTTTATGTCTGGTTTTTGTCTCCTTAGTTTCCATTGTTTTAGCTCTGGTTGAGATGTTTCTGACCTTATTTTTATTTTATTTTTTATTTATTTTTTGTTAAGGGGATTATCACAAAAATATTCCTGGACTTACTTACATTACTTACATTGTATTTGAATTTTCTGGACCAACGCTTAATTATGTTTTTTCTTTTTCTTTATTTTATACAATATCTGGATTAACAGCAATGACAAAACCTCGGGGGATTTTTATTAGTCAAGTTTCTGAGAGACTAAAGGCTTCTACAGGAAGTTGTTTTACTGTTGTAAAACTTTGTTTCTGACTCGTCCGTGTAAAGCCTGAGGGCAGGAGAGAGGCTGTGAGATCTCCTAGAGTTTGTCTTAAACCCTGGGGTTTAGACACCCGTGGGATCCGGTCCATACCTGCCAGGCTCCAGTCCTGGCAGAGCGACAATGCTGCCGTCCTGTCTGCTAATGGCGAACATGCTTTTTGGCAGAGGCTTCTGGGTAAATGACAGTGCATCAGTTGGGTCGCGGTCAGTGGCATGTATCCGACCAATAGGTCCACCAGGGAAGCTGTCTGTTACCATGACCACGAAGATCTCCAGGGGGTAGACAGTGGGTTTGTACTGGCTGTTCCCGATGACTCTGAGAAAAACCCAGGAAGACGAGGAAAGACTTGGTTTACCAGAGTCACTCGCCTGAATTAAAAAAAAAAAAAAAAAAAATTAAAACAGCTATTTACCTGGAAAATTAAAAAGTTATTAATTTATCTTTTTCATTTGCATTCCCTCTTTCCCAAAATACACCCACAAGACCAGGACAAAACACAAACAATGACTGGAGATAATGAAGTTGACATTAGCAAACATTACAACACAAAAACAACAAGTTTCCGTGGCTGAGCTCATCATTTGCATGTAAATGAGAGTGACAGGCGCTGAACAAGTGTCTGTTTGGCAGAAAGGAGCATCAATTAGGACTGAAGGCTGAAACCCAGTTATTCTAATGTAATCAGTTAATGCTGTGTGTACGGCGGTGCTTAATGAGAATATTGCTGTTTCAATGAATACGTTGAGTAGGAGTACAGTGTAGTAGAAGCAGGTGTGTCTACGGAGTACGTTAATATCTGCAGTGTCTGGTACAACAAATACAACTGAATATTAATCGTGTCTACAGTAAGGGATTTTATTTAGTACGACATTTGAAGATGACGTAAGTTTGTCTTTTTTTTTCTTTGGCTTTGCTCCGCCCCTTAGTTGTCTTATTCAGCCAACTTCACTTAGTAAGGTGGGAAAAGTTCAATAGTGATGTGCAATCTTTATAAAGTTAGTTTCAAAACTTTCAATAGATATAAATTATTAGTGTAAAAACTGGTCTCCAACCTGAATTTCGAGAACAAATTCTCTGGGTACATCGGGCCCGATGTCACGGTTGGTTCTCAGAGTTCCAGTCTGGTCCAGCGAAAAGAAACTCCCCTCGTTTCCTGACAAGATACGGAACTGGAAGGGAGGACCGTTTCTTGGGGAGTCTTTATCACTGACAGACACCTTCAGCAGGGTGGTGCCAACGGCTTGATTTAGCTGGAAGTAAGAAGCGATAAAGACAGAGTGACAACATGAGAAATGCACAAACAGGAGCACGAACAGACATCCAGACAGTTACCTGTAGGACAACGGTGGAGTTGGCAGGGCTGAAGACGGGAGGATTGTCGTTTATGTCAGAGACGTCAATGTTAACAGTGACAGTGGAGGACATGGCAGGGGAGCCGCTGTCAAAGGCCTGCACTGTCAAAGAGTACCTGGGTACCTACATGGAGACGAAGAGAGTGACAAGTCATCAGTCACTGTACTGAGGACCAGGAGTTGGTCTGTGTCTGTAGAGGCGCTTTTATCTGTACTTTAGCTACAATTTAACAACTTCTAAATAATTGTAGTTAATTAGACCTGGATAATATTGGAAAAAATATTTGGGGAAAATATTAAGATATTTTTCAAAATATTTTGGCCGCAGTTTGACTAGTTAACTTTTAGTTATTTTTGCACATACTTTCCACATTTTCCTTAAAGTATTTTCTCTGGTTCAATTTGTGACTTTTATTTAGCCTCACTATTATACTTTTTTTTTTTTTTGCAACATTCAGGTTCAGTTAGTAATTCATAAATGTCCCCATTTATCTACAGGTGGAGCCAGCTTTTAGCCCCGCTAACCTCTGAGCTCAGTCCTTTATCTTTCCAATTAGCTCTAGCTATTTTAGCTATGTTTGTTTTGTACTGTCTGCATCAAATTTGTTGTTGGATTATCTGGCAAAAACGCTGAAAGGCAATTTAATCAAATCAAATATTTGCTTCTAAAACATTTTCCTCCAACCAATGAAATGACGCGATTTTATTGAAATATTCCAACCAGTTCTCTGTCGAGCCTTTTGTTAACTTTGAGCAGTCCGGTCACGGGGTCGATCCAAAAATGGTTGCTGCCCCTCAGGATGGAGTAGGTGATTCTGCCATTCACCTGACTGTCCAGATCTTCAGCTAAAACCTGAAGGAACACAAAAAGAAAACTCTAGAACCTGTAGAATTTAGACAGAAGGACACGTGGGACTGGATCTTACCCTGGTCACCGTTTGTCCTACAGATGCTTCCTCGCTGACCAGGACGTTGTAGATGTCTTGACTAAAGACTGGAGCGTTGTCATTGACGTCCATTAGTTGGACTGTCACCATGGTGGCAGCACTGAGAGGAGGACTCCCACTGTCCCAGGCCACAACAGACAGGTAGAAGTCCTTACACACCTCAAAGTCCAAGTCATCAGCCACAGAAATGGAGCCTGAAACACAAACACGAGGAAGTGTAGGAATTTAAAATTTGACTCTGAACTCATAACTGAAATGTTTCAAGGAAAAAAAAAATAAAGTTGGGGTTTTGCTTTTACTACTTTTTAACGACAGGAAATAATTAAAAAAAATATAGAACCCCCATCACATGGACCTCATCCTACCCAGTTTCCTGTCAATGGCAAACTTCCCCAACTCGTTTCCAGACTGGATTCGGTAGATGATATCAGCATTAGTTCCGATATCGGCACTGGTGGCCAACACTCGCAGCACCTCCGTCCCCAAAGCTGCATCTTCGGGGACAGTGGTGGTGTAGTCTTGTCTTTGGAACACCGGAGCGTTGTCGTTCACATCGAGCACCAGAACGGTCAAATCAACCTGAGGATAAGACACACAGACGGGAGAAGAAAACAGGGAATCAAGACAAACTGGAGAACATTCAAATATCAATGACACAAAAGGTAGTATTGGCCTCAGGAACGGGACGAAAGACAGGATCAAATCAATGAGAGTCTGTGTGCAACCAAGCATGAGAGGGAGTCTAATGGAGAGTGAATTAATGTCTGTTTGTTGAAACCTGGCATTTTACCTCTAATAGTTTATTCTGCTTTAGAGGCTAAAGTACCGTCTCCTCTTTTTGTTGTTAGCCTCCTCGTATATTAACAAAGACAGATGGTTGAAGTCGTGCTCGTCAACAATTAGTAAAGAAGAGTGGATTCTCAACGTGGCTCCGTCACGTCATATTTCACCGAATCACCCTCGCCTACTGAGAGTACGATGATGGATGTCGAGACACTTGTGATTAGTTTCAATGCAAATCATTGAGACGTTGACATTTGATGACATTTTTACTTAGTCCACCCTAATTACATGTTACATCTGCCTCTGTTCAGGCCGCTGACTGCCTCAATGCATCTTTTCCAGATTGCTCTCTCTCTCTCTCTCTCTCTCTCTCTCTCTCTCTCTTTCTTTCTTCCACTGTGAGTGTTTTTGATGAATGAAGTTTTGCATCGGTGCCAGAAATGGAACAAAGCAGAGTTCGTGAGCTGGACCTGATCCTGAAACTCAGAGTGACTCCGTCCATATGTCCAGTCCTGTCACTTTAACTGTGCCAGTTCAAATGTGTCTCATTCAGAGAGCTGCAGCCCCGGGGACCTGGCAAAGGTCAAAAGGTTGTTAATATGGGAGACTGTAGCCTACGGGGGACGAGGACATTGTGTCACCAACTGTCCTTGGTTTGTTCACCAATAATTTCAGTTATTATTTGTTTGACTGGCGTCTGTGGTCTGTGACTCATCAGATAGGAAAAAAATAAGAGCTAGGAAAAAATAGCAAATATTTTTTGCTACTTTTTTGTTTACCTAAATAGGACAAATTTTTTGCTACTTTTTTGTTTACCTAAACAGGACAAAAAAAATACAAATGAGATTTGAATGCTACCTGTGAGGACAGCGCCCCCCGTTGGCCAGCTTGATCTGCGGCCTGGACTTGTATAGTGTAAGAGTCTTGCGTCTCCCTGTCCAGAGACTTCTCCAACATGACCAACCCAGAAACAGGGTCGATGGAGAATAATCCGTCAAGGGAGTCCGCCAGGGAATAAACCACGGTGCGGTTCAGACCTGGAGAAGATAAGGTAGAAATGAATGAACACTCAACACTCCCTGGAGGCTTTTCCGCTTCATCTTCTTCATCTTCTTCTTCTTCTGTCTGTTCATGGCAGTCACCTTCGGATGAGAAGTGACTGATACGCGAACAAATGAAGTGTGACACATACGCAGTAGAGATTTGCCCTTGGCCAGACTTCTGCCTGCGCCCCAGTCAGCAGTTTGGAAGTGGGAGTGACAGGGTGGATCAGAGCTGCATTCATCACACGTAGGAAGCCGTAGGCTCTGTGGTTATTAGCCTCTGTGGTTATTAGCCTCTGTGGTTATTACCCTCTGTGGTTATTAGCCTCTGTGTTTCACGCGTCCACATGACTGACGTACAGTCGATGGTCACTGTATAAGGGACTATTAGCCTCTGTGTTTCACGCGTCCACGTGACTGACGTACAGTCGGTGGTCACTGTATGAGGAACTCTTATCTTGTTTATAACCAAATTGTATGGACTTTTTCTTTTGAATTTGCCTGAACTGTGTGCCATAGACACCGGAAAAAAATCTTTTTTAAAGGTTTTGTTTCACATTTACATGAAGCCAGAGGAAAAGTTGGCACAACTTTGGTTGATGCTCTGCTAAAATCCCATTTTAATACCTGTTTAAAATGCCTCTCAAAATGTCAGATGCTCAAAGTTTTTTTTTAAATTTTCACTTTACTTGTCCTTTGTCCTAACTTGTCTGTAATTGTTTCCGTCGTTTTGACTCAGTTTGTGTGTTAACAAATATGATCTACATTCATAATTTAAGATTTTAACTTTGCCTTTTGTTTCTGTTAAACGAAGGCTGAGGAGCAATACCAAATTATTAAACGTAGAATTTATTGCATTTTAACAACCCTACTTCAGGGTAAAATAGATCATTTCAACTTTGAGACACGGTTCATTACCTGTTGAAGGTAGACATTAAAAGATAAGAACACTCATAAAGGGAAGCGCGTGATGAGGAACAGTACTTGTTTAAGTTTTGGCAGTAAGGCAATGCTCAGTTCTCGGACACTTCAACGTGCCAAGAAAATGTTCCCACACCAACATACCCAGTTTGAGCCGATGGTTCAAAGATTGGTTGATCATATTTTTCTTGTTGTTTTCACCAAATTCTGGCCATTTCATCGAAAAAGCAACAGCAGAAATCGATACTCATCAGACCAGGCAACGTTTTTCCAATCTTGCCGGTCCACCCTCCTCCACTTCTTGTTGTGCCACCTAGATTGGTCCTCGGCAGCTGCAGGTCTGACGTGTTCTGAATTCACAGACGCTCTTGTCCAGACCTTGGTTTTACCAAGTGGTTATTTTAATTACGTTTGCTGTTTTGTCAGTTCTAACCAGTCTGCCCTACGGCACCAAACCGCTGCTCACTGGATTATTCCTTCTTTTTGGATCGTTCTCTGTAAAACCTAAAAATGCTACTGAAACTGTCAAACCAATCTGTGTCTGTTACAAAGTTACCAAAATCCTCTGTGGATGCTCAGTTTAAACTTCCGCATGTCTACGTGCCTGAATGTATAAGATGCTGCTCTGTGGTCAACCGAGCGGAGACATGCATAATAAAGCAGGAGAACAGGAGTAACCACTGAAGTGGCCAGCATCATATAACGCCTTACCTTCATCTGGGTCGCTTGCTCGCAGTCGGGTGAGCAAGGCCTTGGGGTTTGTGTTCTCGAACACACTGGCCAGGTAATGAGCGGAGGAGAAGGAGGGAGCATTATCATTCACGTCCAACACTTGGAGAGAAATGTCAGAGCGACAGAAGAGTCCACCTCCGTCTGTGGCCTGAGCAATGAGCTTGTAGGTCGGCGTCACTTCTCGGTCCATGACTGCGGCCGTACGCAGCTCACCTACAGGACATGATACCAAAAAAAAAAAAAAAGGTCAGTTTGGAGGTTGGGAAAAAAAAAAAAAAAAAGTCAGTTTGGAGGTTTGAAAAAGTCAAACTATTTAATCAAAATAAATATGCTCAGACAACGTTAGTTGCAGTACTGCTGTTAACCACTAGGGTAATGTATTGCTATTTAACGTTAGTTGCAGTACTGCTGTTAACCAGTAGGGTAATGTATTGTGCTCCCATTAATAGCTATTTATTTGCCATTTCTGTTTGTTTTCATGTCAATCTAACAAATCTAACGCCAACAAAAGAGAAACACTACCAAAGGCCTGATCCCATGTTAAAAAAAATCCAATAATTATAATAAAAAAATATTAAAATTCAAAAATAGTTTGAACTGCACCAGTGTTAGCATCCATGTAGAAATCCTCCACACCAATTCCAAACAGTGAATACTGAATCTCAGCACTGGAGCCTGAGTCAGCATCTGTTGCTCCCACTGTCAAAATGGCCTTGTTGATGGGAACGTCCTCAGGAAAGGAGGCGCTGTACACAGCCTGTCACACACACACAAACACACACACACACACACACATAGACAGACAGACACACAGAGACGAACACAGTGATGGTCCATTTTATGAAACAGTCTGTCCAGCACATCAAAAACACATTAAACTTGGGGGCAGTGCAGCCATTATCCCTGCTGACAGAATGAGCACAGCACAGCTGCAGCACAAACACACCACAGCCTCACTCGGAGCTCAGTCCCAGCTCCAGAGTCCGACACGTGGACTATTCTAGAACTTCCAAGGTCAGTTTGTAAGCCCTGCAGCAAATAACATTCATATTGGTTAAAAACACTCTGAACCTTTTTATCCAAATACAAGAAAAAATATATTTTTCACAATAAATTGTTCCGCTCGTAAATTCAGCCCAGTACGAGGAATATTTTGATTTATTTTATGTTTAACAACTAAACTTTCTGGGTACATACTCTTGGCCAACTGTTAGCCGTCTTCTCGTGGTTTATGCAATGCTAGGTTTGGTTTTTAACGGAATATTTGAGGATATTTCTGGTTCAATAAAGACACGGACTCCTGTGAAAGATATCGAATGCTATCCTTTGCTATGCTAAGCTAAGCTAAGCTAACATAGCTTTATATCATAGTCAATCATTATACAGCATTTACTATAATATATTGCTATACTACATTATACTATACCACTGTATACTTACATTAAAGGAATAAAATACTCATCATATACAATACAATATTATATTATACTATGTTATGCTATAATATACTATGCTATACTATTCACTATGTTGTACTACAACGTATCATACTACACTACACTCAACTGAATACCCATAGATACTTTTAAAAGCCCAAGCTAACCTAACTTAAAGTTTGTTTATCCCATCGTTCCTTCTTAAATCGACTGGCTGTACTGCAGTTATAGCAGTTGTAGCTAATCACTGTAGCCTCAGTTACACAGCTTACTCCAACTGGATTTATGAAAAGCAGCTTCAAGCAACGAAGAAAGAAGTCTTTCCAATAATAACCAATTTCCCCAGAAAATAATTGCTTTTCTTTACTTAGTGCTGCAGCAGTGGGTCAAAGGTAAACTGTGAGTAAACGGCCTCGTAATTGAAATTATTTTATCTTTTTATTGGTAGATAGCTGAAAGAATAGATTAATCAGTCCCTCATTTCTGCGGTGCTGACCGCTGCTCGGTTTATAACACATTAATTGAATATTTTTTGAATTATTAACGAAACCAACTCTGGCGTACATGCCGACACTAAAACAAACAGTATCCTCCCTCAGTGTCCATAGAAACAATCGATGCTGCGTCTGTGGGATGCCAGAGGAGCCACTTTGTTGTAACGCAGAGCAGACATGACTTATCTGAGAACACAGAGAATGTAAGAGGAAAACGGGGACATGGAGCGAATTGATTTCAAAGAGAATTAGTAAGAATTTAGACAGAGAAGGAAAGTTTCCCGACCAATTAGCTGCATTCACCAAACTCCACAATCCTGGCCGGATCCTGCTAAATGAAAAGCGATATTCCTAGACGTGGGCAAAGTCCAATTATATACAACTTTCACAGTGAAGGCGATTCCTTGTTTTAGCCCATGGCAAAACTGAATTAACTGAATTTTAGGATGAAAGTCCAACTTTCTTTAAAGCTGCAGAGCTGGAGTTGGAATTGTGAGCTACAGTTCTAATTGTGGTCATGGTTTTTCTCCAGCTATAAATGGGGATACTGTTGAGTTTTACTTAGTTACTTAAAAATGTATTAAATTATTAAATATTAAATCCTAAACAGAAGGTGTTTGAAATAAAGAAGGTTCAAGTTGTAGTTGCAGGTGCAAGAAAAGGTACATGACATTAAGCTAAAAAAAAACACCAGAAAAATAAAAAATAAGTTGGTTCAAAAGGTACAGATTGATGTTAGATGTTAGATTAAAAAAACAAAATAAAAATCTCACTCCTTTAGTGACAAGATAAACCTCACCTAGCTAGGTACAAGCTAGCTAAAACCAAGAAAAACTAGTAATAAATGCCCTCGTAAAAAATGGACTTAACCTAAAACTAAACCTTGCTGTTAAGCTAACGCTAATTGGAGACAGGTATTGAAACATCTGCTTTGAATATGAACTAGGACCAATGTTTGTTCCGCTGCACTGCTGCTACGTGCTGCCCTGGATGTCGTTTCACCCCCATTTCCATATTTTCTCATGCCTGACCTGGTTGCAGATGGGACTGTTGTCATTGGCATCCAGGACTGTAATTTCCACTGCAGTGCGAGCCACATAGAGGCCATCAGTGGCTGTGATGTTGAGCAGATACCAGTCCTGCTGCTCACGGTCCAGTAAACCACTCACATAAACCTTCCACTCCCCCTGCACCAGGGCCAGCCCGAACACGCCCCGCGAATTTCCTCCTGTAAATTATATAGACGGGGATTAACAGGGGCTGAGACTGAAACTGCAAAGACAAAACAAGGTGAAGATGTACAGCAACAAACTTGTAAAAAAACAGGGAGATCAAGTGATAGCAGTGGATTGATGTTCCCATATTGTAAATCCAAATGTACTTGTTGCACTCAATTTCTTATTTCATTTGCAAAGGTGTCTTATAATGAACTACCCTATAACCGATAAAAAGAGGCATTTAAAGTACAAGCGCCAGGCTGTTTTACATGTAACTCTATTATATAACTAAATTATACCAGGATCAGAAATGAGCAGAAGCTCAGCTTAAAATGTCCTTAAAACGTCCGAGACTAATCCTTAAATTTCAGTGAAGGAGTCATTTAATTATACCGTCAAATATAAAGCTAGTTTAAGCTAAATTATATTGTAAAAACGTCAGCTTGATGTCTGTAGCATTGTCTTGCAGCAAATCTGACTTAGGTGTAGATCTACGGCTAACCCGACAAAAACATGATGACGTGATGCAATGAAAAAAAGAGACATGTTTGAAAAATAGAGACAAAACTAAAAAACTATGCCAAAACTAGGTAAGCTAGATCCAAGTAGTTATGCTAACAAACATTAGCCTTAGCCTCTATGACCTATTTCACACAAATACAGATGAATAAATAGTTAAACGTAAGACTGTTTTATAAATTCAACAGATTTGTTGATACTGTGTAAAAATAAATTTATATTATCCCAAAAAAAAAAAAATGCCGTTTTTCTGACATGTACAGCTCAGGTGACAATTTTTTTTTTTTTTAATTTACCACCATCATTGTCCCTGTAATTAAAATTAATAGATAATCCCATAGGTGAAAAGGCAGTCATGTGACATTTTGAATAGAAATATATTAAAATTTTGACCTTTAGTAAAAATCTACATTATGGGTTTTTGAATCATTATTATGCATCTCAGCACAATGTCACTGCAAGGTTGGAAATTATGTTCTGAATTAAAAAAAAAAAAAAAAAAAACCTTCCCATGTTCCCTCACCTGTGATGTAAAAACTGACTTGTCGGTTTGGGTCAGTACCGTCTCGGTCTTCTGTCCCGAGGACAGCCACCACCTCACCCAGAGGGTCGCTCTCCGTGACGGAACCCATGTACAGCTCCTCCTTGAACCGCGGCGGGTTGTCGTTGACGTCAGACACGGTGACAGTGACCACAGCCGTGGAGGACAGGGACTTGGACTCTCCTGAGTCTGACGCCACCACCTCAAAGCTGTAACTGGAGCAGGTCTCGTGGTCCATCTGGGCCCTGGTGGTGATCCAGCCTGATTTACTGTCAATGGTGAAGATAGAACCTGTTGTGACGGAGTCATTGGCGGAGCCAGCGTCGTCTGTCAGGTCCAGATTAGATGTGAGCAGACGGCCGAGTCTGTAGGTAACCTGCGATGCAGTGTTGTCAGAACTCAAACCCGATTATCATCAAAGAATTCAATACAAACTAGAAGAACCAACTGGCTGTCCACACACCTGACCATTGGAGCCCCAGTCTGGATCCAGAGCCCGTACTTGAATCACTCTTGTTCCCATTGACATTCCCTCCATCACCGTAGCTAGATAAGTCTTCGTCTCAAACGCTGGACTGTTGTCGTTCACGTCAAGGACCTGCACAACACGACTCAGCTGTAAAATTCACTTTAAATGTTACAAAATGTTACCATGTGTGTAGATGGTAATAGACACTTATTAGGTTTCTATTTAATGACTGCAATAAACCGTTTCTTCATTTGTCTTTCTCACGTCCAGAACCTTTCGAATCATTCTTTTGTATTTTTGATTCATTTCAGAGGTGAACCGGACCAATCAGAGACAGCTTCACCGACCTTAACCTCCAGGTCCACGGTGGACACCGCCTCGATCAGGTCTCGTCTCACCGTCGCTGACACCTTAAAGCTGTAGACGTTGACCTGCTCATAGTCCAGAGGCTTGAGCACTCGGATCAGACCCGTCTCCCCGTCCACACTGAACGTCCCATCCTCGTTGCTGTCCAGGGTCTGTCCAGCGACTGCGGTAAAGGAAGCGGTCTGTCCAGGTCCGATGTAGACGGACCCTAAGGCCGTGCCTACTGCTGTGTCCTCGGGGATTGTGAAGGAGTACTGAGGCTGACTGAAGGAGGGGACGGAGGCGTCCGCGGGGACAACGTGGACAAAGGCCGACACCAGGGAGTGTTTGGGAGGTGAACCGCTGTCCGTGGCTTTGACAAAGAAAGACAGGACGGTACCCTGGAGGTGGTCCACGCTGCTCTTGGTTATCATCCAACCGCTGTCTGGCTCCACCTGGACACCACAGAAGACACTCAGGTATGTGTTTTAATCCAGCAACAATAGTCCAAGAACTAGAGCGTTGACTTACAGTAGCTGCGCAGTGTAACAGTGAATATCCATCCTAATCAGCCATGTCCAAGGTTCACCCTGGGCCACTTGAACAGACTTAATGTGGCCCAGGACTTATAATTATTTTTACAGCCTCCAATCAGTAATGGCTGTTAATCTTTTCGGCTGAGACTTTACTGCTTCTGTGACATTTATTTCCGGGACAGATCATTTCCAGTGCAATTACATCAATTTCTTTTTAATAATCCTTTGACTTCCTTTTACATTTCCTCGACGGTCTATACGTTTTCTACCTCTCATATAACTGTAGAATTTTTTTTTATCAACACCTTCGAGGGAAGTTGTGGCTTTTTTTGGCTTCAAGTGACTTTAGCCATATTTTTGAGTGTTTTATGAGTATTCTTTGGCCAAGTTTTCTTTTCATTTTTTTCTTTAGCTATTTCTGACCAAATTTAACACGAATGAAGATTCATGACTTCAAGTAACATTTAAGCTATACATGTCTTTTGTCCAACTTTTTTTTCTTTTTCCTAATCTTGACTTAATCTTTCACTCAATAAATTGATTTATTTCTCCCTAAATATTACAATTTAAACCCTTATTTTTGGTAATAATTAATTTAATAATTTTCAATTTTGTTTCTGAGGACCTTTCATTATTTTCATTGTATTTTTAACTGAATTTAGTTACTTGTCACCCGAACGTGTTTTTACAGCTACGTTTTCTGTTATCTAAAAATACCTTCCTGATGTAACAAAGGCATTTTAAGCAGGTAATTAATTAGTTAAGGACCAGTTGGCTCTCAGATAGTTTAACATTGTGAAATCTGTCACTGCTGGAAATATTTGTGGCCAAGAGACCTGAAGAAAAAAAAAAATTTAAAGCCTTGGGGGAAAATTTGTTTTGCACATATATGCGTGGATTTTTCCTGATCGAGCTAATTTGGAGGCTCTATAGATGGACTCCTTTTGTTATTTTGTCTCCCACTTCTAATTAGATTTATAAGCTAATCCTCTTTGACATTCTTTGCAGTAACACAGCCTTTCTCTGCCGCAGTTTAATTGCATTTCCCTTTTTCTAGCAGAGAAAAGCAGACTGGAAGCATCCATCTTGGTGCAACGTCATTTTGATTTGATGAGCTCAAATGTATAATCTCCAGCAGACAGATGGTTGCTCACTCACTGAGCTGAGGAGAGGTGTGTCAGCCCAGAATTTATCTCCTAATTGAAAAAGAAGAAGGTAGCAAACGTGGCTTTAAAGTTTGACTCCAGTTTCCCACCATTACACTCATTCGTTGAGGTTTGCTTTGACTTGCGTCTAATGGAACTGAGAGTGAGTTTGCAGCTCTATTAAAGCAGCTGTCTTCAAAGTGAGTGAAGAGTAAAAATGAACCAACCTCCAGCACATCCACCAGGGATAATCGCGCCTCGCTGTAAAGAGAGTAGGTAATTCTTCCATTTGATCCGGCATCGGGGTCCGTGGCTTGGATCTGTGTGACCAGAGCACCAGTGGCAACGTTGGCTTTGATGCTCAGGCGGTACTCTGCAGCTCGGAACCTCGGGGCGTTGTCGTTTTCATCCGTAAGAACCACTCGCACCGTGCAAAAGGATGCGCGCCCTGAAGAGAGGACGTCATAAACACGCAGGCTTCCATGTGTACACTGAGATGCAAAATGGCCTGACTTTAATGTGGTATTCAACAAAGGTTGTTATATGTACCATTAACTCCATAAGGAATGTTGAAGTGGATAATAGTCTATAACCAGCTCTGCTTTTATGGCCTATACTAAAAAAAAAAAAAACCCGAATATACTTAGAAGCTAAACATTCGACGTTCTCATCTTTCAGAAGAAGTTTTAAACTTGTTTTACTGCTGTAACATCCTACAACAACCTCTTAGTCTTCTGCAGCCATTGATGCCTTTACTGTCCTAGGAAACATGGGGAAAAACACCTCGGCTTGTAATCGTTCATCTAGACCTAATAAGAAATGATTGAAACTTAAGAGTCAACAAGTGGAAAAGGGCCAACAGGACCACCATCCTCCAACCCACGGAGAAAGTTAGCCAGTCATGCCTTTACTGTCCTAGGATAAAGTTAGATTGGATGGCTCTGAGATATACAGCTGACCTTTAACTGATTAATCAAAGACAGATTCAACTAAAAAAATCGAATTAAAACATGTTTCCAGGCCATTGTTTTGGAGCTAATAGTAAATCATCTGGAAGGGCGGGCTTTTTCTGTTTTTTTGTAATCTGCTTTCCAGAGGTTAAATATAAAAGAATGACTTTTGTATAGCTTTCACTGTGGATTTTTCTCTATATCATAAACCACACACAGAACATTTAAAGCTGTTATACCTCCACCATCCAGGGCCATCACAGTCAGCACCATGTCCTTGTTTACTGGATTTTCGCGGTCTAACTTCTGAAGAGTAGAGACGACTCCCTCCGCGTTGATTACAAACTGAGTTTTTCTCAGGTCGTTGACGAGAGTGTAGCTGATCTGGCCAAACAACCCAGAGTCCTCATCTATGGCCTGGACCTGGTGGTCCCAACACAAAGTACCCAGGAATTATGACTAATAATGCAGAAGGCCGGAGGGGACATGTAAGGAATCTCACGTACCTGGATGACCTTAGTACCTGGGGGGGCATTTTCCTGGACCTCAGCCAGGTAAAATCTCTGGCTGAACACTGGGCTGTACAGGTTTGCTCCCAGAACTCTGATAATCACCTAGAAAGAAAGAAAAAAATGTCACATCACATTTGTCTCTGAGGTTGGTTAACCCTCCTGGAAAAGAGTTTAAAGTGCAGCGTTGTAGTAGAGGCAGCAGCTACAAATAAATCATTACATACAGGGACAAACAACTGCTCTGGTCAATTTAGAAAAAAAAAAACACACCCACAAACAGGGAGGAAATTCAAACTGCTGGGATCAGAAACAAGGAAAAACAAAAGGATCAAACCAGCCACCCTCAGTTGATCTCAGTAAATCCCTCAGCAGATTCCTCTAATTCAAAGTTGAGGTTGCTCACTGCTAAATCTCCTTCTTGTCATTAACATTAACATTAACAGTTTCTTGGCCAATCACTGACTAATGAAGTGGGACAGGATCATGATGGGATTGGCTAACGCCAAACGAAAAGTTATCTAAGAACATTAACACTGAGAACATGCACGGAGTAAAACTGAAACTAGTAATGCTTTTACTGTCCTAGGTAAAAGTGGGCCATGCTGGACCCTAGGGTGAAACAAGGGGGGCAGTAGAGGGACCTCTGTCTGACTCTTCATTCACTACTGCTGTGGTTAGCTCTGATTAAAGCTTGAAGTGATTCCTCTTCTTCTCAGAACCTTAAGACAATGGGGTAAAAGTTTATTGTAGTTTCTGATGGTTACTCTAAAAGAAAGGTTTGTGGGTAAAAAAAATTTGTTTTTTTTTTGCTCTGATCATTATCCATAATGTTTTTTTTTTTGCTCTGATCATTATCCGACTCACTCTCAGAGGTGGTGTTCAAAGGTTATTTCAAGACATCAGCTGTTGTTCTGTAGGTAGAGTGCTTTGTTTTTCACTAACTGATCTGGTTTACATGCCAGTGTGTCCCCTGACAAGACCGTAAACCTGAAAAGACAGCTGTTTTCAAGAATGAAAGATGTGTGATGGCAGATGGCAGTACTGCAGGCACTAATGCTTTATGAGGGTTAGTGTAAATGAGTGTGAATGGCAGAATGAAATGTACTTTAAAGCTCTCTGAGTGGTCATCATAACCAGGAAAGCACTCTATAAGTGCAGCCCATTTACCACATCATTTATCCCTGCTTTTTTTCACCGGCATTTTGCTGGTGCCAAAAAAATCAATCTATTTTGACGGAAACAATTATGTAAAAGCATCAGGCTGGTGTCAACCAGCTGCTGATTGATGTGAGTTAAGATGTCCTGCTGGTAATTTACACTTGGCAGGGATTCCCACGTCTTTAAATGAATTAATGGCTCCTGATAAATAGTGTAATTGTTTAAAGGCATTTTTGATCATAATTATAGCAGCTGTCCTCAATTTTGGATCTTTTGGGGATCTCATGTTTATGCTAGCTGTGCTAATCTAAAGCTATTTCTGGCCTGTACTTTACCTTTGAAATATTACTTTTCTGCCATATTTTTTGTAAACATTTAGCCTTAAAGACTTTTAAAGACCTTTTTTTAGTCATTTTCCTAAATAATATAGCTTTACTTGGCTAACTTTCAAACCCTAATGCTGATTCAAACGTTATCTTTTGTGTATGTTAGCTTGTATCCTTTTTATAGCTCAATTTAGTTTACTTTTTAACATGTAATTTAGCTCGCTAAGGCTATTTTAAATAACTTGTTAGAGTCCATTTTCAATGGTTTTACTTTTCAGTCCTGTTTTTTTTCCCCCTCCATCATGTGACATAAAGTGCACAGGAAAAGTCAATAAGCTTTGTAGAGTCAGGCCAAAACTTTGTATTGACTATTGTATTACCAGGTAAACAACACAGACATAAGTGAACATATTTACTTCCAGCTGACACCTCATCCCTGTAAGCAAATCTAATGTGACATGAAAGCACATTAACCTCTAACTGCAGAGCTGATCTTCAGCTAACGTTGGTCCAAATGGAAAAGCTGCAAATGCGTCTAATAAATCTGTACCGGGGGTCGGGGGGGAGGGGAGGGCAGACTGCAGTGGGCCACAGATGCAGAGGCGCCGCCTCACCTGAGCGGTGTTGGTGAAAACTCCGTCTGACACGGACACATTAAGTTGATACACGGGTTTCATGCCTTGTCGCCTCTTGTTAGACAGACTCAGCACTCCTGTATCTGAGTCTATCATAAAAGTCATCCTCTCATTCCCTGAGATGATGCTGTACCTGAAAGTGAATGTGACCCACATTAGCATAAAGATGATTGTGTAAAGTCCCAACAGCAAAGTATCTAGAAGTATGGTTATACTCTAGTATAAATACTGGACTTTAGGATGACAAGCCTTACTGATTTACGACTTTAGTCGTTCTGAAGTAGAGTTCCAGTATTTAAATAAATGTATACACATTTTTTTAAATTAAATTGAAAATGTATTATTCATTTTTTATACGGACGTGAAACCAAACCAAAGTCATAATTTGACATTTTCTAGAAAAATTCTAAATTCAACCAAACATTTGTATTTAATTCGTGATTTGTTTGCCTTTGCATAAAGTTTTTTTTACCCCTTAAAATCCTGTTGTAGAATTTAAGTCAGAATTTATATTCAGTCTTTGATTTTAGAAATTTACATGATTGAATTAAACTCTTTTTTTTTTTCAAATTCGGTAGAAAATATTCAGTTATTTTTCAGACTTTTTCTTTCCTTTAGATTTGGAAATTTCTTTGATCATCTGTGTAGGTTCTCAGTCGTCCAGGTCATCTTATCCAAAGCAGTAACATTTTCTAACTTAACACATTTAATTTAACAGATTTCAGCCCCACATTAGGTGTTGGCTCTGTTTCTCTCCCGCAGCTGTAAACTGTATTAGTCGGAGGATAATTAAAGACATGGAATTTATTTACTTCTACTCAGCAGAAAACCATTCATCTTTCCATTCACATCCACAGACACTGTGTGTTACCTCAGCCTTTGGGCATCGCAGGTGTCGCCATCCGACGCCTGAACACAAGTCACAAAGTGTCCCCGTGGAGCCAGCTCGCTGACAAAGGCCTCGTACACACTCTGGCTAAAATTAGGGGGGTTGTCACTGGTGTCAGTAACAGTCACAGTGACACTGACATCACTGCTGAGAGCAGGGTCCCCGCTGTCTGTCGCCCTGACGATGAAGTTGTAGCTCTGGACCAGCTCGTAGTCGAGCGGGCGTGACGTGAATACCAACCCGCTGCTGCTGTGGACGTTGAAGAAGTCGCTGCTGTTGTTAACATCAGATAGGATCTGGTAACTCACAATAGCGTTTTTCTCCGAGTCCTGGTCCTGAGCAAACACCTGCAGTGAGATTTACATTAAACATTTCACTCCGTTCGTGCATTATTCATCCTTTGACTCCTGACAGCTGCAGTATTGAGTGCAAACAGAAACACAGTCACATTAAAGCAAAACAAAACAGGTTTGTCCAGAATTATAGGCCTGGGATCAGAGACTGGAAAGAATAACACAACTCAGACGAGAGGAAGTTCAAAAAGGCAGTAATAAAAACAGAAGTGGAGGAAGCAGAAGAAATGTGTTTGATATTGAAAAGTTAATGGAAGGAGCGCTACACACATTCAAGTCGAGGCCTACAACTGTGAACCAAGCAGTGGTCGGGACCACAGGAGGACGTGTCTCTGAGTGTTGTAGAGTTCAGGATAAATTAGGAAATCAAGATGATTAAAGAGAGGCTTATTATCAAAGAAAATACATCTAATATTTTACGTATGGGAATTACTCTGCTTAGAACACTATGCATTGGAAAAATATCTCCATGACAACCGTAGATTTCAGCTAATTTTGAGCCAGAATAAACCAGTAACAGGTTAAAGATATGTTCAAGTGGATCGACCAGATCATTCACTCAACAGTAGGACTTGTTGTTTTACTTCTTTTAAGAATTCATGTCAAGAAGAAAAGCCTGAATCCATCATCAAACTTTTGCTCTATTTTTCTAAATTTAAAACGTGTGGCCTCTTTCTGTTTTTGCAGTGTAGGCACCTGTGTAGGCACTTATTATGACAATCACTTTGTTCTAGTGCGACACCAGAGCTAATTTATAAAAATTTACACTTCACGGCTCCAGATGATTCACCTAATTAGTTTGTAATTAGTCAAAAAGCCAGCCAATGAGCCATAAAGCCTAAGAAAACAAACAGAAGAGAAACTCCAGTTTCTGATGGTTTAAAGTCTGCTCATGTCATGGAGGGGGCGGTCGGTGGTCTGGTGGGCTGAAAATCGGAGAAAGTTCAAGTCCCGGACTTCATATATACTTTTTTGTTCTGTTACAGGTTTGAAAGCATTTGTAGAACATCATCAGTGGCTCACATTAATGTTCTAGATCTGTTAAGAGCACCACCTAGAGTCTGAATTTGGGACTTTGTCAACTATGTTGTACTCTGGCCAGAACTGCTGGTTTTCATATCAGAAATGCAAAACCACTTCCTCAAGCCTGAGTATGTTATCAACCATTATGATCATCGGTGATGAAGATTATCTCCTACCTTACCTTCTGTATCCTTTTAAAATTTAATCTCACATTTAAATAGCAGACTAAAGAGACTGATTAAAGGAGACAATATGTCTCGGAATCCTTTTGCACCAACTGTTTCTCATCTGTTATTCACCAAAGGTCAAGAGCTTCCACTGGGAAATTCATGGGGAAAATATCACATTGTATCCTCATACATAAATTATATGGCATCTAATATTCATACACTGTGCGTTTTGTGAGTAAAAAAATAATTTGGGGAGAGTACACACTGGCCCGCCTCGCCAAGCAAACAGACACACACGCACGAAAACAAACACAAACCTGTAACACTGTTGTTCCAATCATGGCGTTTTCGGGAAGCACAGCGGCGTAGGAGTTCCTCTGAAACACTGGTGGGTTATCGTTTACGTCCAGTACAACAACGTCTACATCCACCTCCGACCTGGCGCCCGTTAGCGTATCCGCGGCCTTCACCGTGAGCCTGTAGTACTGCGTGGTCTCGTAGTCTAATGGATGAACCACGTTGATGATCCCTGAGTCAAAACCGATGTCAAACTGAAGGGACGGGTCTCCGTCACTGATAGTGAAGATGATGGTCTGGCCTTCAGGACTGCTGGCGTTTATGGACAGGACGGAGGAGGAGACGGAAACGTCCTCTCTGACTGTGACACCGTAGAAGGACTTGTCAAAAACCGGCATGGCTTTGTTGACTACGGTCACTGGAAGCTCCACCTCAGTGGACAGAGGAGGGAGTCCACCATCAGTGGCCACGATGACCAGTCTGTACTCTCCCTTGGACAAGTCGGACTCAAAGGCTCTCTTTAGGCTGAGCTCACCTGTCATAGCATTCATCTAGAATGGAAAAAAATGGCGCAAAATTAGCCCGGACATTAGAGAAATGCAACAATTCTAAAGCTCTAAAAATATCATTACAGGTGCAATGCAACATGAGAAAGATGAAGGTTTGACCTGAAAGTTCCTGTGCTGCTCCTTGAGACTGTAGGTCAACTCTCCGTTCAGACCATCGTCTCGATCAGTGGCTGAGACTCTGAAAATAGCAGATCCTGGATCTGCTTCCACTTGTACAGCAGCGTAATAAGGCAGGTTGACAAACTCCGGAGCGTTGTCATTCACGTCCTCCACCTGGAGAAGACGTTAGGTGTCATTCACGTCCTCCACCTGGAGAAGAGGCTGTAGGTCAGATTGTTTTACGTTTCCTACTCATAATCCTACAATATCTTGGCTAAAATTTAGCTAACATTGACACAATATAACTTTAATTTTCTTTTTGTTATTTTCACTGACTTTAGTTGTTCTTAGCCAAATGTTCATTTTAATATAGGTTAACTTTCATATTTACTTTTGGCTAACCTGTGTTAGCTGGCATTTGTTATACGTTGGATCCGTTTTTTTCCCCGGGTAACGTTCGAATATATTTTCCATATTTCTGCTTGTTGTTTTTTCGACTATAATTATAATAAAATATATATATATATAATAATAAAAAAAAATACCTGACGCTTTAATCACATTACAAAAACCACACACGAGATGAAGTGAGACTAATCTGCGCCTCGAATGAGAAATTGATTAAGATCATTTTTAAATCAGGGAACTCTTCACGGTTGTCAGGAAGTGCAGAGCACACTCACAGTGAGCAGTTCTGTTTGTTTGGTAATCACAGCGGAAAAAATCAGTCAGTCTACAGTCAGGCCGTGTCAGCCGTGAGCAAACATCATTAATGACTCACGCACACACGGCCGTGAGCAAACATCATTAATGACTCATACACTCACGCACGCACACACGTGTTTTCACTCCCACCTGCACTTGTACAGTGACCCTGGCAACTCGGAGTATTTCATCCTCTCTGTTAACCTCCACCACCAGCTCATATCTCTCCTTCTCCTCTCGATCGAAAGGCACACCGGTGGTGACCACGACTCCGCAGGTCGGCCGGATGATGAAGAGTCCACCGGGGTTAAGGAGGGTGTATTTCAGAGGTTCATTGAGACGGTGGCCCACCGTGTTCACAACGGTCACTAAAGTGACATTAGGTGTGTTCTCTGGGAGGAAGGCGGTGTAGACGGGGGAGGTGAAGAGGAGGCCGTTGTCGACGACTTCTCGAACCAGGACTGTTACTGATGCTGTGCTGGAGAAACGTCCGTCCCATACCTGCAAATTAAACAAGAACGAAAGGCTAATAAGGTTGCTTTCTGCAACATATTGCCCCCTGCTGCTCCTATAAATTATTAAAATGATAAAACACGTCCTGCTAACAATACTACACAATGCATTAGGGTAAATAGCTGGAGTAAATCAACAAAAAGACACCGTTCTGACCCTGTGCTCTCAGCTCCCAGTGGAAATCACTGCAGAACAGTAGCTGAATCCATTTGCATGCTAAAGATCAGAGCTAGCGACAGGACACGCAGAAAATAGAGTTACCTTCACACCAAAACGAAGACTGTCCTTATTGAGATTTGGATTAACCACGGTCACGACTCCAGTGAGCGGCTCCACAGAGAAAAAATCAACATTGTTCTCCACCAGGGAGTAAAGTAGAGGAGGTGTGCCGGACTTGTCGGGGTTCGAGGACAAATCTGGGGTCGTATCAGGGTCAAAGGCATCAACCCTAATGACCTGGACGCCCACGTAGGTGGGCAGGAGGAGGACGGTTTCATACATAACCTGGGAAAACCTTGGGGGTGAGTCGTTAATGTTGATCACCTACAGAGAGGAAGAGACACAGAGACAAATCACAGAGGGAGTGGTTTATGAGGCAGTGGAAGCCGGTTGATGTGGGCTTTTTCTTTTTACCTTTATGAGTACTTCTGCAGGCCAGTCAGCAGATCTGGGTGGCTGACCACTGTCTTCAACATGAACCCGGAACACAAACTCTGAAAATGTCTCATAGTCCAGGCTGGAAATTGTTCTGAAATATAAAAACCAGGGTCAGGACTTAGCTGAGGGTCAAAGCAGAGACAGTAAATTGTGTCTTTTCCCCTAGAACCTTCTACTAAATCGAATTGTGTCTTTTCCCCTAGAACCTTCTATTAAATCGATATCTATGTCCCTGTAAACTTGGTAATTAAATGTGCACAAGTTATTTTAACTTTATTTTGTGAAGATATAAACATTTAAACCCTCATAAAAAATTCAAATTAAACCCATCAATGCTCTGATGTATGGTAACACTGCCTAACAGTTACAGAAAAAAAACAAACAAACTAAAAGTTAGTTAGAAGTTTGTCAACATAAAAATATAAATGACATTGCAAACAAACTAAAAGTTAGTTAGAAGTTAGTCAACATAAAAATATAAATGACATTGAACACAGACACGGTCATTCTTCGTCTACGTCACCGTACCGTATGGAGCCAGTCCCTGAGTCCACGCTAAAGAACAGGCGAGCCGTGTCTTCTACGATCTGAAACTTCAGCAGAGCGTTGTGATTGTGGTCCCTGTCTGTGGCCTGGATCACTAAAGGGTTCCCGTCCTCCCCGAGGACCACACTGTTGACTGGGGCAGCTTCGCTGATTTCACCCACATATCTGATAAAACAGAGAAAATGCTGAGGTGAGTGAGGCTCCAACCACAGCTTTTTTTTGTGGGTGGACTTTCAGACTTTCAGCAACACTGGTACCTGGTTTGTTTAAAGACCGGCGTGTTATCGTTGACATCTCCAACCTGGACCACAACACTGGTATTGGCCTCTAGTCTAGCCATGCTTAGGGCCTGCACTACCAGAACGTAGGATTGGGTTTGCTGTCGAAACAAAGATGAGAAAACGTTAGGTTAGAAAGAGCTATCGAAAGTACGTGATGGGAAGTCCATCCATCAGTAAGAGGAGGGGATCCAACCAGTGACCTCCATACTAGCCACTGAATGACACTTTAGCCTGGAGTGCTTTATTTATGTCCAAAAACCAGTGACCTCCATACTAGCCACTGAACGACACTTTAGCCTGGAGTTACAGAGTGCTTCATTTATGTCCAAAAATTGTTGTTGTTTTTTTTTTTAAGGAAGTGCACCTTTTGTTTTCTTATTTTTGTGAAGTGAAAAGACCAAAGACAAGTACAAAATTTAAGGGGTGTCTCTCAAATCTCAGTGTCAGGGACTGTAGAGGAAGATAAATTACTTTGGTGAAATACCTTACTAGCCTTCGTATCGGACCTGATAAAGATTATAGCACCTGATGGAAACCTAACCTTGAGCGGAGTGTTTGTGATGCAGCCATTAGAACAGGACAGATTGCAGCGATGGAGAGGAGACTAGATTATACCGAGTGTCAAATGTGAAGGCTGTGACACGGTGGTTCCTGAAAGTGGACAATTATTCAGAGAGGACCTCAAATGTTATCCATGCACTACTTCAAGAAGCAAAAAGTAAAACTTTTTGAACTGAATCTCATCAAGTCGTCACTGCAGCCTCTGTTTCTCTGTGTTGCGCGAGGATGTGGCATTCGTATTTGAAAAAAGGCTGGAGGAGTTGTTTTCCTGCTCTTCAGAAATCAACAAAACAGAAATTCTGTCCTGAGGTGATCAAACATTTCCATACGACAATCTACATGCACGAGTGTCTACAATGAGTTTGGGGCAGATGGTGCGAAATTGTCACCGAGCTTGTGCTGCAAAATGTTACGGACGAACCTCAAAGTCAAGTGTTCTGCGAGTGCTGATGACTCCGGTGTGATGGTTTATGATGAAGCAGCGCTCATCGTTCCCTCTGATGATGGTGTAGACGAGAGGTGAACGACTGCGGGCAACGACGGTTGTCACATACGTCCCAGTAGTAGAATTCTCCAATATCTGAGGGAAAATGTCATTGTTGGAGGGTCAGAAATGGGCAGGACAATGAGTTTAAAATGTTCAAATTAGCCATTCAAATTCCCATTCTTGGAACTTTTATTAGCTCTGTAAAATATAATGTTAGAACTTAGGGAGGAAAAAATGTCATCTGTAAGAGGCACACGTCTGGCTTAAAAAAAGTTAAATGACTCAAAATGACTAAATATGCTAAATATTGGCAGAAAATGTGTTTTATTTTGAAAATTACTAATCAAAAACAACAAACAACAATACTTAAAAAAAAATCAAAAACAACAAACAACAATACTTACTAAAATTCTAAAACTATCTAAAACTAATTTAAAAAAACAAAATACATGAAGCTAAAAATGTTGGTTAAAATTTTAAACATGAGATTTGCCATTATTGCTAATGGAAAATTGTTATTTTCCTTCCCTGTAAAATCAGCAGCTCATTCTTCCTTATCATATTTGACATAAGTGTCCTTGCTTTCTAAGGTAAGATGTTTTTCTAGCAGCCCTCTCTGCTCATTCTGCTCCATCCCTGTGTTCTCTTACCTCAGCCTGATATTCGCTGCGTGTAAATTTCGGCGTGGAAAACTCGGAGAGGATCAGGGAAATGTGAACAAAAGACGAGGCTATTAATGGAGGAAATCCACTGTCTGTGACTCCGACTGTGAGGGAATAGGAGCCCACACAGGTGGGATCCAGATCCCTGGCAATGAAGATAATGCCGGTGGCATTATCAATGGAAAACACACCGCCGCTGTTTCCTGAAAGCAGACACATCAACAGCAGCAGCAAGGTCACGGAGTAAAGAGAACAATGTGTTTCCTGCATTATTGAACAGGGGAGAAAGTGGAACGAGGAACTCTCCGATGATATTTCTTAGTATTGAGTACAGGATAACATTAATTGCCTCTTACTTTATCCACCCGTTGACACTATGATAATGTGACTCAGCTCTGAATACTGATTGACTGACCTGGCCAACCAAACGAATTGATTTTCAGTAGATTTTTTAATCTCAACTAGATGGAAAATCTAAACATACTCTTCACAGAGAGAAGTTTTGCACTGTTGAGTCGTTGTCTTGTTTACCAGAGACCCCAAAATTTACGCATGGATTGGACAATGTTCATAAAAATGACGCCTACTTACTTTTTCTCTGTAATCGTGACATTATATATACTGGAAACCAGCAAATTAAAATGAGGCAAGAAGTTCCTACACTGACCTGAGGTGGCGCTGTTTGGCTATTTTGCTAATGTTCATGGCTACGACTCCAGAATCTCTTTTAGAAAAATATTTTTGTTGGTAAATATTTGGGCTTGAACTGACTTAGTAATGTTTCAAATTTTCATGTTCTGGAGTTTGACTGATATTCAATTGTTCCGAAAGAATGAGACGAAAAACAAAAAGAGAACGTTTTTACATCAGCTGGTGCACAGGCGCTCATAAAGACTGCAGATAGCATCAAACCTGATTCTATGGTGTACATTAGCAGCCCATTAATCCCACTGTCTTTGTCCAAAGCTGTCACTTGAAGGACAGACGTTCCGACAGGGGAGGACTCGTAGGTCACTGCTTCATACGCCGTGCTGGTGAAGTATGGGATGTTATCATTGGAGTCCTCCACCGCCACCAGGATCCGAGCCAGGTCGCGGTTAAATGGGAATTCTTGATCCTTGACCTAGAGCAGCATCAGGCAAAATGAGAGTTGCATACACACAGGGTGGCAGGAGGCAATAAACGTAAAAGAAAAAATGTAGCTAAAATTAAGTGAGGCAGGCAGAGCTGCCAAGAGGTGCATTACTTGGAAGAGAGCACAGGGAAAAAACACACATTCAGTCTAATAGTAAAAGCTAAACAAGCACCCACACACAGAGTGGAGCAACATAACTTCCCCTCACCATGATAGTCAGGATGTGCTGTGTTCTGGTTTCATAGTCCAGCCGGTCTGCGGTGTAGACCACCCCGGTACCCGGGTTGACCCTGAACAGCCTCATACTGGCCGGGTCTACGCTGCTGTAGATGGAGAAGCTCAAACGCGCACGTTCGTCCAGGTCGGACGCTCGAACCCGTAGGAGCTCCGTGTCTGCGGGTACGTCCTCCGACACGCTGACGTCGTAGGCGGTCTGCGAGAAGACCGGAGGGTTGTCGTTGCTGTCCAGTACCCTGATGAACACCTGGGGGACAATAGGTGGAGGGTTATTTTGCAAAATTGGTGACTTGTTTTTTTTAAGAAAAGAAAACGACTTTGAAATAGTGCCATCAATGGATTCGAATGTAATTAATGGTGTGATCGTGTCAAACTCAAGGCCCGAGGGCTAAATTCAAGCCGTTTGGTGTGGCCCGTGGGAGCTTAAAAACCTTTTACTTTAATTAGTAAAAATTAAGTACATAGTTTCATTGTGTACCACTGTGGCCCGGTACCAAATGATCTATGGACTGGTACTGGTCCGTGGACCGGGGGTTGGAGACCCCTGATCTATGCAGTCTTCCAGTTACTGTGTTGCATTAACTGCTAATTAATCACATCTCTGTGATCAACACTGAACACACAGGAGACGTGGCCTTTTTTGATAACGCGGTGCTTCTTCAGTACATGACTAATAAATGGCAAACCCATTGTTTACGCTGATTTTTTTAAAGCCTTTAATTGTCCGAGAAGACACGGGGTAATTATGGGATTTATAAAAATTCTTGACCTTTACTATCGCGGGATAATCCCATTAATCCAATGATATGAAGGATATTCCTTAAAAGGCTGACCTGGAATGCCACCCAAAGGCAGCAGCAGCAGCAGCAGCAGCACAGGAAATGTCAAAGGCAGAGTATTTTTTTTTCCATAGTCAGCAAGAGATAATTTCCCCCCCAAAAAGAGGGGAGAGCAGGGAAGGGAGGGAGGAGGAGAGATGGGAGTAAACAGCTCGCAAGGAAGAGGTAACAATAATTGAATGTGATGGGGGTCTGGGAGTGTATGAATAGCTGTGCCAGTGCATAACAAATTGAAAGTGTGAGTAACCTGTGCCGTGGCGGACTTGGTGCCATCTGTCACCTGGATAGACATGTTGTACACAGACTGGGCCTCGGCATCTAAGGGCTTGGCCACCACCAGAGTGGCTACGCCGACTTGAAGGTCGAACTGCATGTCAAAGCTCCCTGGAAGTGCACACAAACATACACACAGGACCCGTTAAAGTCTTTCAGTATTCACGTTGTGTACTAAACTCAGGAGCACTAAGTTATTACTGTGTAATTGTTTTGGCCAGGTGCCTGCGTCTGGGGCTGGAGGGTGTGCGAAATAAACCAAAATGAACTGAAATGCAATGCATCGCAGCACCGGACGCAGGCGGCAGCCAGAGAGCTGTTCACGGCTGCAGCAACATCTGTCTTATCGCTCCGAAACACAACTCATCTCAGAGATCAAAAAACCCGCAGCCGGGCCTTTTTCCGCCGGCAGAGAGTGTACAGTTTAGAGGCTTAATGTTTGATTAAAGCCAGAGGCCAGAGTTGATGTGCGTTAGGTATTCAGCACCATCCCGCGTCTCACTTCACCGTCCCTCTCGAGATATCCAGTCCGCAGCATATGAATACTGATTGGGCATTTTTTTTGCAGACGCACTGATGCGTGCTGAGTTGAGACGGACCGCAGGAATTTATAGGTTTTATATTGGTTGTTGTTGTTTTCTTTTTTAAGGTGGAGGATGTTCAACAATTCACCACGGGAAAACTGTCTCACTGCATTAGGAAAATAGAAACAACAGTGTGGAGGATCTGAATAAACACGTTTACAACACGACTGCAGGAGTGTAGATACAGCACAGGGAATAAGGGAATAAGCAAAAAGAAATTAGTAAAATGGAGAACATTGGGCTAATTATTAGCTGACACAGCAATAAGTTAGTGAATATTTTGCAAATTGATACTAAAACATAAAACAGAAAGAGCAGGACTAACCAAAGAAACTTTTCAAGTTTCAAAAAGAAAAGTTTTTTTTAACAAAAAGGTATGGAAACACATTACAAACTGTGTCCAGATGTACTCTAGTTTGATGATGGAGATGGAGAAATATAATAATGTTAAGTATTGCAGTCAGAGAGTCAGGCTAGGTTCAGACTGGGATACCTCAGGGATCAACTCTGGGCCCCTTCTAGATTGCAATGGTAATGTACACAATGAAAGATGAGGTCAAACCTGAGGCTCAGTGGACCATAGTGGACCACAGTGAGAGAAAGCTGAGCTGAAGTTGACAAATCTGTTGGTTTTGAGATTTCTATCAGGACATGATGGAGAATCCAGCTTCCAGTTTTGAAAAAAAGATAGAAAAAATGTATAGATACAAGGAATGAGAGCATGAATATTTGGTTTAAACAAAACAAATGATTGGATGAGGTGAGAGCGGATGGGACATTTCTGGACAATAAATATAGACAAATACCACCAGGAAACCTTCTCCTCAAACTGGATTCAAACCTGTAACCTTTGTGAGGCGTCAGTGATGTACTAGCTCTCCTGACTGCAGTCCATCTCCTCCATATCTACTCCCCAGCAGTGCTGTGGCCGAACTAATGATAAAACCTGTCCTGCATAGGAAAACATACACTTGTGGTGTTTGTTTGCAAAAAAAAATCCTTTTTGTAAACTCCGATCGATCTGTGCTGCCCGTGGGTACACCAGATCCTGCTGCCGCTGCCTGACGCATTTCTCTGAATTTTACAGTTTCTCTAAAACCCGAGGCAACGGAGAAAAGCGGCGGAGCTAAATGTGCCTTTTTACCAGACCTGTGTCAAGTGAGCAGTTTCTTCCACACGCATTTTGCGGAATGTAAAACATCTCTCGGGCCAGTCGTCCTCCTGAGAAGAAGATATAACAAAAAGAGAGTCAAAGTAAGAACGGGGGAGGAAGATATTTTCCGTTTAACTGCAGGGAACGAAGGGTATTCAAGGTCTGCATCATTTACACTTCATACAGCGCTGTGCCAAGTCGACATCCTTCACATACATAAGCGTTATTAAGTAATGCAAACAGACACACACATTGGAATATTCCAGCACAGGATGGGAAATGTTATTCTCTCATGAATGATAATTCAAATCCAGCTCCAGAAAGTTCCAGAGAAAACTACCGTCTTACTTTCAGTGAAGAGAGAGAGAAAAAAGAAATGTTAATGATTTTTTCTCCCCTCTGTACAATTATCCCCTCTGGTGTCATAAAAACTTCAACACATTTGCCCCTTTTCCTGCATTTTATAAAAAAAGATTGATGGAAAATGTTGTTCATTTCATCACTGAAATCAAAGAAACTGATTGTGATAATTAAAAACTGAGATGAATCAGATATTATTGTCTTTACTAAATGAGAGCGGCAGGCTTTCGCTGTTTGATTTGGAAAAAAAAAACCCTGAAGAAATTGTGCAGACTTTGCCCTTTGCTGCTGTATAATTACTCTAAACAACAGAATGCACCGGGGGCATTTGGATTTGAATGGGCTAATTTTGATCAGATCCCTGAGAGGAAGTGGAAACAACATCTGGAAAAATGGTGGTGAGGAGCGGCGGAAGCACTGAACACAGATTCAGAGATTGTTTTCGTTTTTCTAATTACAACATGACTTTTCTGCTACAACATCATTTTTATCTCATAGAAATTTGATCTTTTCTCACATTTAATCCCACAAGGCGGTCTCAAGATAGTTGGACTTTGATGTATTCCTGTTTATGTGCTGAACTGTTCAGCATTACTATTCCAAAAATCCTGGAAATCTCTTCCCATCACCTCCAACAAAATGACAAGACAAGCAGGAGACACATCCTGCATACTTTTCAAAATTCATTGCTAAGTTTTTTTTTTTTTTTACTCTCTTGTTACTCACAGTTTACAGCTGTGTTTAAAACATAGGCTCGGGGCCAGACCCTGTACGTGTCTTCACTTTATGTGGCACGATTATATCCTCACAGAAAAATTAAATTAATCAATATGAGGCAGAATAATAAACCTAACTAGATAAGGGTTTACAGCCTAATCTATAACTGAAGCACAATTTGAAAAAAAAAAAGTGAAAATTAAAAAAGTGAAATTTAACGGTGTTTCAGGAGCTACAGTATTAGTTAAAGATTTGCATTTTCATTAAGATATAAAAGTATGACATCAAAGGTATGGAAGTCTAAAAGTCAAGAGCTCATCAGTCATTAACCCTTTAACACTGATGTATATGTATGTACTATTTTAAGTATAGTTTCTATATATTTATATATATATATATATACTATATTTTTTCTGTATATTTTCAAGCTATGTTCAAAGAGAAGTACACCGATGTTTTTAATCATTTTTGGAATTTGAATTAGCTCATTTTGAAAATAACTTCTGACTTAGAGAAATGGGGAAAGTTGGTCTTGAGGAGCTGCGGGAGTCGATTCACTAACTTTTCCTGCTCCGGACATTCCTCAAAGGAAACATAATGAATCCCAAAAATCAATCGGAGGCAGAAAAACGAGCCTGGTTAATTGCATCTACTGCACATGGTTTTTTAGTAAGTAAGAGTAAAAGGTTTGCATTGACTTCAGTGATGGAGCTACACTACAGGGCAGAGCTGCTGGTTCAATCCCCATTCTTTCTGTATGAGGTCGACCTCTTCTGCCTGTTTGTCTTTGAGACTTTTATTGATAAAAGTCTGGATAGTTTTCTGACATTCTTTGTTGATTTTTTTTATTTGTTTGTCTGAAGTCGTTTCCTTTTGGTAAAGAAAAAAACATTTGGAGCTGGAGCTGAAATCAGGTGCAAATGTTCAGAACATTTTAGAAAACTTTGACGAGATGTTCCAAAGAGACGCAGATCTCATCTTTACTGGTGTTTTGGTATAATAGGACAGACTTGTTGAAGTAATGAAGTCTTTGTTTTAAATCTCCTCAGTATCCGTGCTCTTCTGAAGTACAAGGACAACAGCACTTTGTTCAAACTTTTCTACGGCACGCTGTGAACAGCGCTGTTTGCTTTGGCTCTCGCAAACAGTCCCAACTAAATAAATAAAAACACCATCAAGATACTTTAACTGTGCAAACAGTTCCATTAATCAAATGCAGCATGTTTTATTCATCCCCCAGGAAGCTCGTCAAGGTTACAGCTGCTCTCTGTGTGACTGACGGCTCCACATTTTCATTAATGTGTCGCTTTAAGTGCAATTCAAACATAAAATATGATCATCGGTCGTTGCTTTGCGCGTTGTTTTGTCGGAAACATTTCAATAATGAGTGCGACGATAATGAAAACAATGCATATGTATGATTTTGAACGACATTTTTTTTTTCTCTTACCCACGATGTTAAACCAGACAGGTGTCGTGGACTGACTGATCGCCACCACGCCCACCGGCTGAGCCACGCCAGCTGTTTCGGAAATGGAGAAATTGTAGTACCTCTGAGTGAACGATAGGGGCAGAGGTGAGGGTACAGGTTTGCGAATCCACTCGATGTGAAGTTTGACCGTTGACCACAGCGGCGGATTTCCGCCGTCCTCTGCCTTTATCTGCCAGAAGGAACAATGGTGTAAATCCATACAGGAGCCAATTAGGTTTGACATGAGACGACGTTAGCATCGGCGCAGCCGTTTAGATTTACAATTGATCCCCAAGTCCACGTGAGGGAGCAGATAAGTATTCGAGTCAAGCAGACGTCGAGAATATATTAAAAATCGCACACGTTCGACACCGGTGGTCAAAACCGACACTCAGGAAATCCATACACTAAATTTACATACACCTGACCCCCCCGCACCCCCCTCACCCCCACCCTCAGACGACACCCACCCCCCAGTCCATTAGAGAAATTTCATATTGACCTTAAAAATTGATCTGAGCCCATTACCCAGCGTGTCTGTCCCCACCCGACTCCTAAAACCTCCGCCTGCCTTTTAGGACACAGTGGGAAGATCATTCATCAAAGTAAAGAAGCCAAATCTACTAAGGGCAGAAAAGAAAAAAAAAATTAAATATAATTTAAAATATGATAAATTATAATGTGCCATGTCAGTAGACAAGGCAATTCAGTTATGAGCTCCTTTCCACTAAAAATATGGGCACCATCTGTACTCCTTCAGTCATTTATTATCCGCTGCTTCAGTCTGGAAGGCTGCGGGTCTAATCTGTGGATCTAATCTGGATGGTTGGGCCAGGCTGTGTGGACAGTTGACCAGTCGTACTGCAGGGTCAACACATGGGCACAGAAGGCCCAATTAAATGTAGATTTGAGCCAATTCAGATTAGGATTAGCAGAAGAAGCTAATTAACTTTAGCCCAGTTAAGTCCAGCTGAGTTCTTCAGCTGCCACTGTACTGATGTAGTTCTGTCATTTTGATGTTGTACACAGGGTTAGGTAAGTGACAGTAGCCAAAAATTAATATTATCTATTCAAAAGTGACTTCACATTGACAAGGAAAAGAGCTAAAACCTAAAGTTAGCCCCAGGGAACAAGTAAGTTGGCCAAAAATATTGAAATAGTGTGCCAGTAATCCGACTAAATGTGTATAAATTCAGCCAAAGAATAGTAAAAGTATTTTTAAAAAATGATTGAAAATATATACATATTACAAATCAGCTCTGGCCAATATAAAAAGTTAAAAATACAGAAAGCTAGCTAGTTAACGTGTCCAAATATCTACATGAAAAAGTGAAAATGTACGTGTCCCGAGAATATCTTAAATTAGCCACAGAGATGTAGACATTTCAAAAGGCTTGAGGTATGTCACAATGTAAAAAAATTACATTTACATTTATGTATTCAGGGGCTGTTTTATCTGAAGTGACATGATTAGCAATCAAGCTACAAAGAGGAGCTCTTGAAAGGAGACGACGAGTCAGGAGAGAAGGATAAACCTTTAAAGATTTCTCTAAAATTATCCAGAATATTCCATTGATTTACATTTCACATTGTCAAAAAAAAAAAAAAAAATATAATTTCAAACATTAATTTTCTGCCATAACGCAAGTCTATTCATCTGAGTAATTGCCAGTTAAAAGTCGTGTGTATGTTTGCTCTCTGCCAACTTTGTACTTCCTGACACTGGAGCTCCATAAACTCATGGCAACGAAACCCGTCGTGAGTTTGTGGAAATTAAAAAATATTAATAACACAGCACTTCAAAGCAACGTCCTTCCAAAAAGTGAGGCCACAATATTATCCTATAAAAAAAGTACTGTTCATCTTTGTGTTTTTATTTGAGCTGGAACTCCTCACTTGGCCACATCTTCAGTGCGAAACACCATCAATAACAAAAGGACAAACTGTAAAAAAAAATAAAACATTTACGAGTACTTTTTAAAATATTAAAAAACTCACGGTGAGGATGTCGTAGCTCCCTGCTGTCACCATCTTCCTCGACGACACCATCCCGGTCCTGGGGTCGATGGTGAACTTCTCGTCCTCGTTGCCCTCCAGGATGCTGTAGGTGATGTTGCTGTTCGCGCCCGCGTCCCGGTCGTAAGCGAAGACGCGGTAGACGGGCTCACCGCGTCGGTTGCGGTCTCGCTCAGGGAGGCTGATGTGGTAAAAGGCTTCTGGGAATGTTGGCGGGTTGTCGTTCTGGTCCTGGACGTGGACTATGACCAACACAGTGGACTGACGAGTGGTCACTGGGCCGTCGATGACCGTTACCTGAAAAGACAATGACGTAGGATTCTGACTTTGAGTGGCTCGTGGTACGAGTGAGAGGGCTGTTTATTTGTCTTGGAATACATTTATGAAGATTTTAAATCATCTTTTTCACAGTGTGGATTTAGCTGTAAGAGCTTGAGGGCTGAGCTCACAGGAAATCTCTCTCTATTATTGATCCCCTGGAGGCAGAGGCAGAGGTCTGATCACTGATCAATGGGGTGTGATGAGGGTGAGCACGGCTGCTGCCAACCTCCCTGCTCACCAGACTATTAATTACAGAGCAGCCGGTGTGGTATGCATGCACCGGCACTGCTGCTGAAATGTCAGCACAGGGCAGGACAGGGACACGTATCAACCAGGGACTTCTGTCTTCAATTTTAAACACTTTTCAGAAGCGCTGGTGTAAAGGAGACCGGACCAGTCTCTGTTTGTACAGTGGACCGAGACAAAAGTCACTCCTTGGAGCGCGACGTCTTTTAAACCTTGATAGAAATTCTCTGAATGACAAGGGAAGGAGATTTAAAGGAGGCGGCGAGTATCCACCGGGGAAGGAGATTTAAAGGAGGCGGCGAGAATCCACCAGTCTGTTTTCGTGACATTATTCTGAGCCGTGACTTTAAAACTCTCTAAAGGAACATTCAAAAACGTTCCTTCAATGTTGGTTGCTTCCTGAACCTGCTTCCAATCCTGAACAGATTTGATGTCAGTTTTGGCACTCAGAGTTCAATCAGTTTTAAGTAGGTTCTCAGTATTTAAAATGCAGCCCCAAACCATTACAGAGCCTATGCAGTGCAGCCCCAAACCATTACAGAGCCTATACAGTTGAGTTACTTAAAAAATATATATATATTTAATATATTCAAACTGAGAGTGAATCACAACTTGATAAGAGCTCCTAATCTCCAGCGTATTTTGTTTTTCCTTTTTCTTAAGACATGTTCATCTGCGAGCCTTAGATTTAGACTTTTCTGATTGAGCCGACTCATTACATTCATATATCGTCTCCATAACTGATGGCAGATTACTTTCCTATTAGTCCACTGTTCTATTCAGGGACACTGTCATACTGTCTGGGACATTGTGTGATCTTTCACTTTGGATCAGTGGATCAACCAATCCCCATAAACCATGTTTTATAACCACATAACATTTCAAGAAATGAATACCGTGCGTCTCGATCTTAGCAGTTTTATTTACTGTGTTCCGTCCTACTACAATATGTCTGCAACTTCGGGAAAACGTGTTCAAAGGAGTGAAGAAATCAAAAGAGAATTTCTGAACTCACAGAAGGCTTGTGCAAGGACTGGACGACTCAAGGCGTGAAAGTGATTCTTCTGGGATTGTATTTGTAAAATATAAGTGTATCTGCATCTTTAAGGCTAGGATATAAAAAAACAGGGCTCAAGACTTAAGCATGCCATAAATGTTCTATATATACATGAATATATGTAGTGGTGGATGCAGACGACTGTCTGAAATATTTACTAACTTCATTTTGCGGTGCATTGTGATAAGCTTTGTTCTTATTAAAAGCCGGCTGCAAGGAAAGAATTATTGACCCCAGACAAGTGCATTGGCAATAATATAATCAAAACAACCAACGCAGCAGCACAGTGGGTCAACTACAGGTTAGTCCGTTCAATATTACAGAGAGAGTGACTGTAGAGTCGACAGACTTTTTAATAAACGACGCAGGAAAGTCCTGGGAAGCAGGATGTTTTTGTGCAGGAATCTGTGATTATCAGCCTCATCTGCATGCAGAGCAACAGGAGCCACTAAAATGGTAATCGGGGAGCCATCTGTATGCCCGATGACTGTGCTTATCAAATGCCGAGCAGAGCAAGTCTTCTCCTTCCTGCTCTCATTCCTGCCCGGAGAAGATAACCAATGATGAATGATTACATTCAGGAAAATCCTAAACCTGGGACCCAAAACCACGGCCATTCATCACAGTTTATGGAGCCTTAAAGGCCCTGCCAGCGTTGTCCTCCACCATGTCTTTGTTAATATAGAGCTGCAGCAGCAGGTGGCAGCGGCAGATAAATAATAATAATGCCATAAGTCTTTGAGTAACGTCAACTTTTTCAACTGTACCTCTAAGAAGTGCTCGGCCTGTTGTTCTCTGTCCAGTTTCCTCGCCGTCGTCGTGATCAGACCTGAAATCGTGAGAAGAGCAAACAAACTCACACTGAGGTGAAGGAGAACATCTGGAAGCTGCTGCACTCGTTCTGTATGAATTTCAATTAGGTTTTCTAAGGGGTTTTGTATTAAGTAAAAAATAAATTGAGGAAAAAAAAAAAAGAATCACTAAAAAATATTTATCCAGAGACAGCTGCAGATTAGCTCACAGTGGTAGAATATAATTCTTTATTATTTTTATAATATTAAAAGCCAAATATCAGCATAAAAGAAAAATATGAACAATGGTAGATGAATAATTAAACAACTATTGTAAAGAAATTAAATTAGTAATAAGAAAACCTAGAAATAATATATTATTATTATTATGTTCTTCATAAAACTACTTATTATGGCCAAGGCATTAAGAAATGTTTGCTATCACTGTCACAAAATTAAAAACAAAACAGTTTCTAAAATATAATGATGTTTTTATATCAGTCAATTATTGCACATGAAAAACGGAACAATAAAATTCTCCGTCACTCTGCAGAGTTTTACTGCAGACTCTGAAAGATCATTTGTCTTTATGTCGTTTTAATCCAGACCTGTAAAGTCCAATCCTTTACAGACTGTCGTTATGTTCACGCCTTCGACGATAGCACGACACCCAGAGACAGAAGAATGTTTTCATATCTCACCAGAGTGGAGTGGAATGTTATCAAACACCAGGATAATCCCTGGAAGCCTTAAGATTTCATCTGAAGTTCAATATTGTTTCAGGGTTTGAATGATGCTGCTATTTAAAAAAAAAAATCCAACGTTTTGTGTGACTAATTTGATTCTTCAATTGTTAAAAAAAATCATTAAAATCTAAATAATATCTGTTCTAAATGGAGCCTTCACCCATAAATCTTCATGACTTCTTTTTTATCTGCGTATTTGATTGGCTGTCCAAACTGTGGGATCAAGAACAACCGCCCGCCTCTTCAGTGCACGCTGTTCTAACAACCGCAGCCTGCAGCAGTGATGGCAGTTTGGCACATGCTCACATAGCAGCGGACAGCTGAGGGTCATTGAATTGGCCAACATGTCACCACCAGGACAGAAAGAAAAGGAGCGCAGCTATTGATAGGCGCTTTAATCGAACCCAGATATTCTAATGAGGAGCCCGCGGGCTGCATGACAGATCACAGCAACAACAGCGGCTACAAATGCACCATGCACAAGCAAAACATTATTCTGGCCCTCGCAGCCGGGAGGAAACGCAGGCATTTTTTTATACTGTGTGTAGTTTTTGTGATAGTCTGAGCTGCTCTGTGTTTCCAACGTGAAACAAATGTCTTTGGATCCTATTCGTGAGAGCGTCCAAACACAGTGAAATGATCACATTTGTCTCGGCCGCGATCTTCAGATCGTATAAATACCAGACAATAATATTGTACTCATACGAGTACCAGCTGTACTATTCACTTTTTTTTTTCTTCTTCTTCTTTTTGGGCTGCAACTGGAATGTTCCAGGAGCTGCTGGGGTTGTATGCCAACGTGTCACTGAATCCTAATTAGCTTCTGGTAGAAGCATATGAAGTTAGCATATGTTTAAGCTAGGAAATGCTAAAAATAAACAAGTAAATAGTTGCAAAAATCTTTACCGCACTAATCAAAATGTTACCCCAAAGATTAGGAAGGAAATGTGACCTCTGTTTTTAACCCATCACCAAAGTGAACAGTAGGCAGCTTAAGGCGCCCGGGGAGCAGTGAGTGTGGATGGTGCCATGCTCAGTGGCAACATGGCAGCTAGTGGACTCAAACCTAAACCCTTCCGGACCTAAGTTCGCTTCCTAAACAACTAAGCCACAACTGCCCCTTCAAAAAAAAAAGCGAAACGCTTCATGAATTTGCGTGTCATATCTTTCCGATTTTCGTGTATGTTACTGCAAATATTTAATTACACTCGTATGTAAATTGAATTCATGGCACGGACATCATGCATTAAGTATAGAGCCATCATACAGGGTGACATACGTATATGCACGTTGACATGAATATGCATACTGTGTGTGTTTTCATGAAGAAACGAAGACAGCGATTGATGCTAATGTGTTGTTTACTGGGTAACGCGTTACATCAGTGGCGCTGCATCTGTTAGCTTAATCATAGTATCTGTGCATTGGCAGTCGACAACAGCAGCGAACAAGGCCACTCATGTAATCTCCGTCGTGCCTCTGCATATCACAGTGTCACCTTGAGCGGACACGCTGGCTAACTTCAATTAGGCAAATTAGGAGAAAAATCCGGAGCTGCGGTCACAAGATGCAGGAGAGGGGATTGCAGGGTGCGGAGACGATCTCGTTCAGCATGAACGCAGAGCCACTCAGATGAAAATCGATGATCTACACCTCGCACAACATCTGCACCTGGACGAGCCTCCAATCTAATTGGAATTTGCAAAAAAATCACTGAAAATATTCTCCTGCTGGCGTTGGCACGTGCGTTTATGTAAAGGTTCACTGGTCTGTTTTATAATATTCCACGCAATTAAACTGAGTATTTGCTAAAAGGAGGGAGGAGGAAGTTGGTGGAAAACAAGTTAAAAAACAAGTTTAAAGCGTTTTTTGGGGGGTTGGGGTTTTTTTTAAAAGCCTTAAATGTGCCAGAAATATCTTTTCAAATGCGACCCTTTCACTAGAGGTGTATAGTGTTGTTTTGTTTCAACGGTCTATGCCCCTCTGACTGTATTTTTGCAAAAGTTTTGGTTTAAAAAAACAGTATATAATTACTGGTTTTACCATAGTATGTGTAGCTAAAAGGTAGAAAATATAGCAGAATAGTTAATTTGGTAATATTGTTTTTAAAAAGGCAGAGTAACAAGAAGGCAAACTAGTTGGAATATCCACAAAATGCCACAATGATGGGCTAAATATATAACAATTAGCATGAAACAACATTGACGTTAGCTAAAGTGGCTAATAAATGCCCCAAATATTTAAAATATTACAGTGAGCTCAAAAAACTGACACCACAGAAAGGTGTGTGTGTCATTTTATATTCCAGTTCTTCCCTGATTTATTCTCTAGAGCGGCACCAACAGGCTCGTGTAGGCCGGTGCACACTGCTGAGCAAATCTGCTGATCCCACTGCTGCAACAAAACCAACAGAATCACAGGGAAGGTTGGAAAAAGGTCAGAGAGTCGCTGTCACCGGGTGACGGCGAGTACAAGAAGCTGTGCATGGAACATCCTGTGACAACACTTATCTGCTGTGTTTTCATCCTCACAGGAGGTCGGCTACACACACACACACACACACGCAGTCTGTCACTGCACGTTTAAACACTCACTCAGCGTTCTGCTTCGGTGCACGCTGGGAAAAAAAGCTGCAGCATCGTAAAGCCGTCAAATTGACACTTCCAATGTGGAAAATGTGGAAGAAAGTGAATTTTGAGAAACGATTTAGGACGTGAAGAGGCTTTCAGCTCAGGTCAGAGTGCAGCTGGCACCTGCACGCTCAAATCAAATCAGCCCGCTCACTCTGGAACACTAATGTTTTATTTTTCCGAGACTGTGTAAACAATGAGGCGCTGATTCACTTCTGAATACATCTCTGATTTATTCGGGACTCATTACCAGACTAATAGACCGCCACTGTCAATTCCATTACCCTGACATTTATTATGATGATTGTACTCAGATACAGAACGCAGGATAAGATGCACAATCACATTCGTTATTTATTAGCGCCTGAGTGTGTTGCTGAAGCTAATCTGAAGCTGGGCCTCGGAGGGAAAAACACAGCATGAAATATTAAAAGCCAATCACTCAGTGTTAGACGGACAGTCACTTTGTCACAGGGTGGAGTCTGTTCAGCAGATAGTCATCAATACTGCTGCCCCCTGTGACCAACAGCAGAGCGGTGACTAACAGAGAACTGGGTCTGGGTCACGGGCACAGGAGCCGGGGCTCAGGTGGCTGCAATATTCACACACACACACACGAGAACACATGAAGTCCAGATAGATCGACTGTTGAGCCAAGGCTACTGACCACAGTTCCGTTTTGTGGGTTTGATGAAGTCAAACCTCCAGCACCAACAGCGTGGACTGATAAACATCCTGCTTCGCTCTAATTCTTCTTATTTATTTCCACTTTAAAAAAAAAAATCTCCTCAGCCTCGGCCAAAACTTGATGTGATCGGTGACATCTTTGGGAGTTGCCGTTGGGTCGTAAAGAGAACTTCTGCATATCAGTCCTTCCATTATCTATATTGCTTTTACTTGGAGGGTCAGAGGAGGAGGAAGAGGAGGAGGAAGACGAGGAGGAGGAGGAGGAGGAGGAGCTGCAGCCAGTGCCAAATAAAAGTGGACAAGTCGTCGGTCTGTCTTAAGACCCTTCACTAAATTTTAAACCAGGAACAAGTTCTTTATCGCCGGGTGTAAAGGTCTGGAGGTGCATTAGCTGCCACCTCGGTATCAGACGTGACGCCGACTAAATGTCAGCCGCTGCACTTGGCTTTTTGGGGTTATTTATGTGGAAAGTTTCAATAAAGGGGAGGCGGGTATGCTTGGAATGCAAAGATCAGAGCGGCGTCTCAGTTTGGGCCGCTTCGCTCTTGATCAAAGTTTTAATCGGTGAGTCTGACAGTGTAGGAGCTCAACGTTGATCTCGCTGACTTTAACACCACTCCTGAATTCTGATCCTCACCCTGCAGCTCCGTCCAGCCTGATGGAGAAACCACTGAAGGCTAAATGGAACCGGTCCCAACTTTTTTCGTCGTTGAATTTCTCATTCAGCGTTTGTTTTCCACAAGTTCACAAAAGAGGTGATAAACAACCCAAGGCTGTCAGATCATCATTTCACAGATTCGGGCTCTTCAAGGCGCCGTCTTGATCCTGTATGTAGGCAGCGGGGGCTTAAGAAGAAGGCAGTATGTTCTGAAGGAAGAATCTGACTCCTAATCCCAGTTTATACTCCCAAAACCTTCAACCGGCCCGAGAATTTTTTAAACATTGTTCCATGAAGAGGAGCGTTCTGTTGTTTCACATTCCCACAGGTCACACAACATAATAAACATTTTTAATTTTGAAAACATATGTTGTAGAGTTGTTGTAGACGATGTTAATTCCAGTTTAGGCAAAAATGTACGTATTTCGGCCCAATCCAAAGTGTGGGTCGAGGCCCAACATTGGCACTTTGACTGGTGTTTTGAATCATTCTGTACTACAAAGAAACTAGATGTACTAGACAATAGTCTTCTTCTGATCACTTTTAATAACATTATAACTTTTATTTAGCCATTTCAAGCTAATTGTTAACTCTGAGGCTAGTGATGCTAGTTTTCTTTGGTATGTTGTGGGTAACATCTAACTATATATTCTATATTGACTATTTTTTATGGTATTTCTACACATTTCTTTGTAATATTACACCAAATATTTTGTTGCGTCTAGGCTAATCTTTTTAGCGTTTCTTTGCCTGTGATTTATATTTGGTTATCTTTCCTTTGTTAAGCTAATCTTTTGATTATTTTGTTTTGGGTTTTTAACTCCCTTTGACATCTAACTAAAAGTAGATTGAGGCTAGTGATACTAGTTTTCTTTGGTATGTTGTGGGTAACATCTAACTATATATTCTATATTGACTATTTTTTATGGTATTTCTACACATTTCTTTGTAATATTACACCAAATATTTCGTTGCGTCTAGGCTAATCTTTTTAGTGTTTCTTTGCCTGTGATTTATATTTGGTTATCTTTCCTTTGTTAAGCTAATCTTTTGATTATTTTGTTTTGGGTTTTTAACTTCCTTAGCTAAACTTGACATCTAACTAAAAGTATAGTGGTTTTAATTTAAAGTGTTCATTATTCTACTGATTTTTAAATGTTAAATGTTGTTTGTACTTTTGAAATTTCCAAACCTAAGTGGCTCGTATTGATTTCCATTTAATTCAAGTAAAGCAAATTATCAGCAGTTGATTAAAATTTCCCTCTTCAGTTTGTGGTGTGGGGTTCGATAGTTTTACGGAAATCAAGAATGAAGTACGAAATGACTCCAACCAAGAATGAAAACAAATCTGTCTGTAGTTATTAACATTCAAATGGTGCCTGCATTAGTGCATGTACGTGTGTGTGTGTGTGTGTGTGTGTTTGTTTCTTACCTGTTTTCGAGTGGATGGAGAAGAAATTCTGTGGGTTGCCAGCTGTGATGCGATAACTCAGACGGCTGGGTACGGAGGTGAGGTCAGGGTCCTGGGCCTGGACACGGATGACGGACACGTCCTTTGGAGAGTTCTCCATGACGACAGGATGGTAGATGGGATCTGAGGTGAGGGGAGCGTTGTCGTTCACGTCTTCCACCTGAGAACAGGAGGTCATAAATGTCGGGGAAGGAAGAAAAGACAAGTGTTTTTGTTCTTGCGTTACTTGAACTCTCCTTCCTGTGTCAGATGATTCTGCAGATTAGAGCAGAATTATGATGTTTTGGTTTTACCTCAGCTGAACTGGTTTATTTATTACATCATTTCCTGGCGAAATCACAGCTTTTCTTGACCAGCTGAAATTCCTAATGCTATTCCCCCATAGTCACTTTGGGGCTACTTTGGGCTAACCTTTAGCTGTGGCTAAAGATAGCCATGCTCAGTCACTTGTTATTTTGTTATGTTGTGTAACTTCATTTTCTTCATTTTTATTATTATTATTTTTTAACTTAACTAATTTTAATTAATTACATTGTTTGATATCTATAATATATTTTTTTAACATCTCATCTTTAGCCAAACTTTTGTGAGCTAATATATAAGTACCGTATACTTAATAGTTAATATGTATAATTTAAGGCTGATTTTATTGATTTTTTTTGCAATTTGTTGTTGAAAAGTTTTTTTTAATTGCTATATAATTTTTAACATTTAATCACAGCTACCTTTTACCTCTTCCTTTAGCTTTATGTGGCGTATTATTGGCAAACTTTTTGGAAACATTTTTCATTATTTTGACAGTTACTGCCGCCGGCTTAGTTTTATAGGTTTATTTTATCGACTTCTGCACTACTGGTGAGTTTACTATTAGCTCAAACTCCTTTTCTCACAAAGATTTTTGTCAAACTTCATCACTATGTTAATGCACATTATTGGTTTGTGCTGTGGCTCAGTAAATAGTTCAGAGCTGCCTTTTTTTTACCTCTGTGATTTTGTGGTAAGCATGCATAAAATAATCAAATATACCAGCTCATATATTTATTTGTTTATATATGTATTTATGTATATATTGGTATGTATATTAATGTAGGGTTGCTGTGTTTGTAAACTCTGTAAGCTCTGCTCTGCTTATCCACTGATTTAATGTCCTAAACAGGCCATGAAATAGAGCACAGAGTTGGTTTGGGATCATGTGCCATCCATCAGAAAAGGGAATTTATTTCCCATGAAATGTCATAGATGTCACTCTTCAAATGCACGGCCGTTTAATTTGCCTTCTCCCAGCATGGATGTGGAATATTTATAGTAAACACAGTGTTGATGGAGTGTCTGCTCCGAGGCAGACTGAGCCAAGACACCGCTGTGGCCCGGCTGAATGAGGAGAACCTGGGTCTGATTAATCTTCCTGGTTGAGTTTGTGCTGCAACCGGAGCAGCCGATCACTTAACACTACACCTGAGTTTCCTGCAGCCAGTAAAAAAAAAAAAAAAAGCTGTGGATTTTTCTTTTTTACTTCATGCTGAGTGGAGTTCATCCTCAAAGGTAGAGCAGTGGTGCAGCAGTGACGGGTTGAGTGTTTAGGCAGTGGATTAGTTAGTGCTGAACAAAATCGAAGCCGAGGTTTTTCTCTTTTTTTTTTTTTTAATTCACCCTGTTTTTCTCTGGAGTGAACATCCTCATCACGAGCGACCAGCACAAAAGACCAAAGTCACGTCCCCGGACAAATTCCAGCTCTTTCCACGTCCATTGTCTCGTCTTTTCAGCACTTGATATCGTTAAGCTCTAATTTGGACAGACCTCTGGCTTCTCTTTTCTAATTTGATTTAGTTTCACATCGGCTATTTCACTATTTAAAATTCTTATCCTAATTATAGCTTTTTCTAAGCTGATCATAGATTTTCATGGTTTAAAGATAAAGATAAAGATTATTTTTCTAAACTGCTAGATTTGAAAAATGTGGATATTCCTTATTTTATTATTTGGGTTTTTTTTTGTATTTTTTATGGCAAACTATGTGAAAGGCTTTCACTATTTGTGATTTACTCTCAAACACATTTTTGAACTAATTATGTGCTAACATTTCTTTTAGCTAAAAGCTTTTATTTTGGATAATAAATCTACAACTTAGAGAATAATTTCCATATTTATTCAGAATTTAAGGCTCACTATTAGATACGTATGTTTCCTATATTTTTGCCAAACGTTAGCTATGTTCTAGCTAACTACCAGATTGGATTGGGTCAAGGTTTATTAATCTCCAATTTATAGAGACTCAGATTATCATTATATTAACTAGTTCATCATCTGCTGTAAAACAGTGACGAAATAAGAAATGTTTGTTAAATCAAAAAGCACTAAATTCAGGGTCAAATCGTACATTTATTTGGAGCACTTGCTTTGTGCCTGTGTAAGAAAATTGATGTAATGTGGAATATTTTATTTTGTCAAAGAGGAATAGAAAAGACAACATGACAAATATGAGGGTGGGCTGATGGTGAGGTTCATTACAGTGGGCAGGATAATTGCCAGCCTTCTGTAATACTGTACAGCGAAATGACATCATGAACTGTCACGGGTCCAAGTGAACAGCACCAGAATAGAACGTCATTAGCATTCATCATCCGTCTGCAGCGGGACGGTTGTAAAAAACGAAGCCAAGTGAAAATTGCACATCAATGACCTCTATTTGTGTTTGGCTCCAGTGATGTCACTTCATGCTGCTTTCCTATTGATTGGTTTTTTAAGATGTACAATCAATAGGAGGTTGGCTGTCTCTGGTGACAAGACAGTGATAAGAGAGAGCTGTGAAACGCTTTCATCACTGCGGTGGGATCCACCACAGAAGAAGAAGAAGAAGAAGAAGAAGACACCATCTTTAACTCCAACCTTTAACTGAGGATTTGTGCTAAGGCTGAAAATCCCCAATTAAGGCGTTCGCATGTTTGAGAAAATCTGATTTGGGGAATAAAGTTCATGCTTAAAATTCCGCTGCAGTTCTACTGAACCGGTCAATAGACCCCTGACTTATGTTCAGGATTAGAAAAAGTAACTAAAGAGTTAGTCAGAAAGATAGATATAATGCCAATGAATCCATATTAACATTAAGAATAAGACGGGACATTCAAGGAATTCCTAAATATCTTACAGAAGCAAGAAAAAAAATACATTTAGCCAAAACAGAGCAGATAAAACGAAATGCCAAGATAGGTGTAGCATTAGCCAGATAAATATGTAATAACAGACCTGGATGAAGACTTGGATGGAGGCAGAGCGTGGAGGAACTCCAGTGTCAGTGGCGTGGACCGTGAGCCAATAGGAGTCTTTAATCTCACAGTCCAGGACAGCTGCAGTGTAAATTACACCTGTTGAAACGGCAAAAGAGAGATTAATATAGCTGGCACAGAGGCACAGGTGTGAGTGTGTGAGTGTGTGTGTATTCTCTGTCATCGCTACAACACAACCTGAGGAGTAAAAGTTCCCAGAGAAGTTTCCGGAACAAACTCTGTGTCCTCTTGGCTCCAGTGACATTCAGCAGCATTAGTGCTGGAGCTGCAGTCACCTCTAATGTTTCTGCTCTTCTCCAGCTAATCACAGCTGACCACAGCCACTGCTGCTCCAATGCTAAACACGACGTCAACTGACACACACACACACACAACACACACACACCAGGTGGATTGTGTTAAGAGGCCCTGCAGGAATATTTCAGGGATATCCCTGAAAACAAACCTCAGACTAAAACAAATCTAATCCTAATCCCCCTCCACCGTCATCGTCATCATCGTCGCCATCATCGTCGTCGTCGTCGTCTGTCTGCAGTGATCCTGCCGTCTGTTGGTGTTTTTACTTTTTTCCACTTTCTTTGGCAGGAGGTAGTAAAAGGCTTAAGAGTGAAACGACTTACCACTAAGGGGCAATATTGCAGCTCAAAGTCCACCAACTACTCAAAACTAAAGGTAGAAAAAGTGACAGAGGAGAACGAGCAGAATTATTAGCGTTCAGCTAAAGGATTTCGGAAGAGACTTTAGGTAATAAGACTTTAAAAAAAGAACAAAAGGAGTTGATTGGTTGATGTTTAAAACCAGGACTGATCCATATATGGGTAAGGTTTCCTTCAGAGAGTCCTGTCCTGTCCCTGCACTGACACAAAGACACTGACGGTGTCTTTGTTATTGGTCTTAGAGCAGCTTCGACTGGACAACCACACTACACACACTCTGGCGTCTCTTTCCGTTAGCATCCGCACCAGCATCAGTTAGCATTCCGTTAGCATCAGCACCAGCAGCACCGTCCACAGCAACACATAAAAGCCAGACACGCCCTCAGACGTCACTTCGTATTCTGGGCTGCGTTTACTGCCCCCTGTATCTGTACACTGTCCGTTGCAGCGAGGCCTGACGCAGCAAGGTCAGCAGGGAAAATCTAATTGGCCGTCATAAAACACATTTCTGCACTGACACAAAGACACGGACGGTGTCTTTGTTATTGGTCTTAGAGCAGCTTCGACTGGACAACCACACCACACACACTCTGGCGTCTCTTTCCGTTAGCATCCGCACCAGCATCAGTTAGCATTCCGTTAGCATCAGCACCAGCAGCACCGTCCACAGCAACACATAAAAGCCAGACACGCCCTCAGACGTCACTTCGTATTCTGGGCTGCGTTTACTGCCCCCTGTATCTGTACACTGTCCGTTGCAGCGAGGCCTGACGCAGCAAGGTCAGCAGGGAAAATCTAATTGGCCGTCATAAAACACATTTATATACATTACAGTTAGATGGCGTCGAACAGCAGTAAATAACTGCAGGCAGATTTGGGAGTGAGCAGAACGAGCTGCTGCTGCTGCTGCTGCTGCTGCTGCTGCTGCCGCTGCTGCTGCACGTTATCAAACCTGCAGATGGCTGTGAAATTACAGCAGCTCCACGTTTCACTCACTCCCAGCAGAGTTTGACAGCGAGACTTCAGCCGTGGGAACGGACTTGTTAGGAGCTGAGACACTACAGAGTGGTCCACTCCCACAGAGTTTACACAGGAGTCTGGGAACGACATCACTGTCCACGCTGTGGTGCATGGGTTAACGTTGAAATTACCACTAACCGCAGCCTAATCCTAAACCTTTTAATACCACTCAGGTATTTGTTGTAAGTATTTCAGTTCTTTAGATATCTTTTTAAAATGTCTCTTTTTTTTCTCTACCTATGTAGCCAAAGGTAATTTGACCTGTCAATCAAACTTTCACTGATGTACGGTGCCACACTTTGACCTTATTTCCGGTGCAAACTTAATACAGTTTCCAGCTTCCACAGCCGCATGTCAACGGTTTTACCTTTTCATCTGAAAGAATCCCAACGATATGTCAGATTATGATAAATCTACACTCAGCAAAAGCCGGTGCGAGCACGGAGCATGAAAGAGCGGTCGCTGAAACGCATCCCGGGCTCCGTCGTCCTTGACCACGTTGTCCTTTTCAGACCACATCAGAAAGAAAAAGCTCCAAACCGAGACATGAGGAAACCAAAGCTGGCTCTTTGAAAAGCTCTTTGAACTGTCGCTGAGTTCAATATAAATCAGACCAGACAGCAGCCATTCCGCTCATAAATATCTCACTTCAAAGGGTGAACACAACAAAACCGTACAGGCGACAACATATTTTCTAATTTACAAGTTCACAGTACTCTTCAGTTTCAGGACAAATTTATTACCAGAGATATATCGCTGTGTTTTCAGTGTTTCCTGAGAGCTCCGTAAATAACAGTGTTATGAATGGACAGAATTACACTTTTATTGTCATCATTCGTTGTTTTATTTCTAATCTGACAAAACTCCAAAATAGATATATATACAGTATATACTGTACATGACATTACTGCCATGATCCTTTAGGTATTTTGTTTTTTTTTAAGCTCATTTGTTGTTATATGTTTTTCATATTCCTGACGAACCTGTTACTGATTGTTTTTAATCGTGTCCTCCAACTTTGTCTGCATCTTATTCCTTTTGGCAGCCATTTTACAGAAAACGTTATATTTCAGCCATATTTCCTATTATTTCTGACACATTTGACCCAATCACTTCTAGTGCCTGTCATGTTTAATTAGAGGTAATTACCATTTTGTCTGACTTGTCATTACAAAGTATTATTACATTAACACTTTATTCATTTGAGCGGCGGCTCAATAATTTGGACCCTTCCTCAGTATGCTGATTATTTGGACATTAAGTACAACCATTTGTCTTTCTCATAAATAATTGCATTTCTTTAGGGAGAATAACAATGTTGTCCTCGACAGAAGGTCCACACTCATCTGTCAAGTCTATTCAGCCTCCATTCTGTTCTTGAGGGACAGCTTTAGGGTCCTAACACCAAATTAATTCAAACATATCAAACAATCAATCATCAGATTGATGAGAAAACACACTGGGTCTGGGTCTGCATCTTTGTAGCCTGGGTTTTTCTTTTTTTCTGTTGTTGTTGTTTTCTTTTGTTTTTTTTCTGGCTGAATGTAGAATAGATTACTTTTAAAAGTGTGTTTGCCTGTAAATTAAAGAATGCTTTGTCCTGGCTGTGACAAATCCTCCGGCTCGCAAAGCCACTAATAGAGGAGCAGGGGCTTCAGACAGCTGCTGGCTGAGAAATTGCAGGGCCTCGTTTTCCCCCCTCCAACCAATGACAAGAATACCAATTTCTGTTCAAAGTGCAGGAGAGCTAAGTGTTGGAGCCAGACGAGATCCTGCTTTCTATACCTTCCACCCACAGCAGTGAGTCATCTTAACAATTTAAATATCAAGAGTAGAGCGGTAAAAAATGGAGCAGTCATAAATGATAGATATGACAGATACGGTAATGGAGGTGTCGTTGGTGAGGAATCACAGAACCCAGAGAGGAGATAGATTTGAAGAAGACCAAATTTATGCAGGCAAAACAAAAGGGATTTCTCAACTTTCTTCTGTCTTTATTCCCCTTTTTCCCCCTCTGTCTGTCCCACTTCCTCTTCAGTGATGTGCAAACTTTTTAAGAAGAGACAGATTCAATAATGTAAAAACACCAGAGGGCCATCGGCTGCTGCTATGATATTTAAAACTGGTAAAAAAAAAAAAAGTTGTCAAAGAGAAACAGCTTTATTCGCCACAAGCCTGTCAGTTTTGTACACATTTATAAAAAAAACATCAAGTTTGTATCATACACAACAGTTAGGGAGCTAATAGTTAGTCTATTAGATGCCAAAAGCTGGTGAAAAAATAATTTAAAAAGCTAAATATTAATTATAAATTCAGCAAAATCGCATGAATAATTTTACATGAATATATAACGTACTGTTATCTTAAATTTATTACCATAGTGGCTTAACGTTAGCCAAAGCATCAGCTAAGATTTTTTTTTTTTAAAAAAGTGCTGAAGGTTAGCCTCGAAACAAAGCACGTAAGGTAAATTTAAAGGTAAAGTTAGAATGTTAGCAAAGAACTTAACGTTGGTACATGACTAGCATCGTGGCAACCACAAAAACGATATGGACCACAATTTTGACCCACTCGATGTAGACAGTCTCAACTACAAGAGTCACTGATTGACTTTAAAGGGTTATAAACGTTCTTTATCTTTGATTCCAAAGGGACCCTGTTCCAAAACAAACCCCAACTTCCAATGGAAACAAAATCAAATAAAAACATCTTTGACAATAGTTTTTTTTTCCTTTCTGCCACTATTTTTTTTAATCTCCTGCAGACTCCCACCCTGCATCCTCTCGCTTCCACACTCTCCGCTTCACTTCCGCTCCCCACTGCCTTCACTTTCTGCTCTAACAAGTTCTCTGATTTCCCCAGGAAAATCTAAAACCTCTGCCCGTCTCTGTTGCTCCATGCTGAGGCCATCGTGGCCCAGAGAGTCCCGGCTGCAGGAACTATTTACAGAAAGGTGGAGGGATCTATATACAGAAAATAAATCCTAAAAAAATATAAACATGCTCTCTATCTCCAGCTTCCTGACAGACACCTGGAGGTTTTGTTTGGAAAATATCCTGATTTTTAAATTTTTTTATACTCACTTCCCCCCCAGACAGAAATCCAGCTCCAGTTGAAGAAAAACAGCCCCAAAGCACAACACTGCCACCTCAGTGCTGTACACTGGGTATGTTTTTTTCATGACATGCGCTCTACTTTTTGAAATCCTCACCAAAAACACTAGTCTCATCAGACTTTTCTTCCCCACAAACTGCCTGCATCTTATTTCATGCCTAGATTAGATTAGAACTTTTCTGCAGCCTCCCAGAACTGTTTGAAAAAACTGTCCTTTTCACTCCTCACTCTTCAGCCACTGTTCATGCTAACCATGTTCATTCACGTTTTTTTTTTCTCTATCTTTGGTAATTCTTCCTAAGATCACAACGATAACTGTAAAAGCGTTAGCCACAGCCACTGCACTTGGTAGCAGCTGTGTACTGACTGGTACTTAGCATTGGTTTATTGGTGACATTCTGTGCCGGCCCATCTGTATTTCCGACCTTTGCTCTTACAGATACAGTCAATAATAATTAGCCTAGTTAAAGGTCAGACGTCAGTCGACCAGTACAGTAGTTATCGCTGTTGCTTTTTGACTATCATCTGCCATTTTTTGCCATTTTTTTTAAATCAGACTAGTCAACACACTTCTTATCTATTTGACTGATGTGATTTTTTTTACCACATTAAAAAATTAAAAATTAACCAAATATGCCTAATGCCAAACACACAGTGAGGTTGAATGTGTCGGCGGCACAGCTGCATATTTTACAGTAGGTTTTCTGAAAGTTAACTACTATTTTTTTCATCTTTCACGGAGCATTAAAACCTTCTATCATGACAGAATCAAGGACATTTTGCTCCGACTCATTGTAATTTCTGACCCTGATGAGCTGTTAGCGGCACTTAAACGTTACACCTGCAGTGTGGGCCTTTACACATCACGCTGCTTCACTGACTTCACTGCACCCAGTGGTATCATATAAGGTAAAGAGTCTCACTGAGTGGCAGGCTAATTTTAGGGCTTTTTCTGTAGCATGGACACTCACAGACAGACGAGATTAGGTTGGTCAGCTTCAGGACCACGGACAGAGACAAATGATCTCAGAAGTTCTCCGTCTCCTGCTCCGATGGGAAACTTAAAATAATGCTGACTTCTGCCTCGCTTTCTTGATATTTGTAAAGCAGTCGGAGGGCGGGTCTCATGTCCGAGCCAATATCTCTGTGCTCACACGAATCCTATTTATTTGATGGGAATAAAGAAGATAGCAAATGCCAAGAACTTTTCTTGTATTAAAATATGGCTGACTGCACAATGACACTGGCATTTCATATACTGCATGAGCAGATACGGTGTCTGTAATTGCACTTGAAATATCAAGATATGGGAATAAATGTCCTGGTGAAACACATAGTTAAGAATGCAAAGCCTGAGTGGGAAAATGTCCATACAGGCGTCTGTACCACACGCTGTTGCTTTAAATTATTAGCTACAACACGGCACAGCACAAGTTCTGCAGCTTGAAAAATAGAGATCCGAAAAATGACAATTTAATCAACAAAAGAGAACTTAATGATAGTATTCAAACTCACGTGCAAAGGTAGAACAAAAAGGTTTGTCAAAGTAAACCTTTCAATAGCTAAAATGAAATGAACAAAAGCCAAAAACAAAACAAAAATCCCAATTCAGCCAAGAGACAGAGTACTGTTAGTAATAGAAGATAAATGGGAAAATTTGAAAATTTGTATAAATCAAGGAAAAAAGGTGAATATGTTGCTAAAACTCAAAATGCTAAAAAGTCAAAATGTAACAAAAAAAAATAGTGGGAAAAAGCAAATAGTTAGAAGCTAAAAAGACGACGCTAAAAGCTAAAGACGACGACCGATCCCCCAAAATATTTGTTAAAATTGGCACAAAAATAACAAAAAGATTCAGCAACAAATACCTCAAGCTTATTCTAAAAGTTGAACTTTAGCTACAAGTCAATTTGACCAAAAAGCCTCTGTCCTGACTTCCTGTCCTGTATTGTCCTGCTTGTTGTCGTCTGAGACACCTCTGTGAAGGTCACAGACGTGGGTCTGCACTTGTTAAGGTCTGTTGTTCCGTGAGGTAGAGCCTTGATCAATGTGATCCGTGCAGCTCTAGATCAGTTGTAGTGCGTGGCCTGAGGCCAGTCTAGCTGCCACGCTGCCCTCATTACTGTAATGATCTGCTCTGTAAACAGCTCCCACGTGAGGCTCCGTCAACACCCTGACTCTGACTCTGACTCTGACTCTGACTTTGATGCCGTCCTCACATTCTCTACAACTGTCTTCCTGGAAGGCACGCCTGCATTCAGTGAACACAAAGAGTTTGTTATTACCACAGGTCCATACTCCCATGACCTGGTGCTGAAAGAAATTTTCTTAAAATTCTTTTGAAAATTATGTTGCTTTGTGATTTTTTATCTAGGTTCTAGACTACATTTGATCTCCAGATAACATTTTCATGTCTTTGTTTTGCTTTCAGTCAGTGTTTTATTGTTGTTTTAATTATAATTACAATTCAGATCAATTGCATAAATCAACTGCATAAATCTGACATCTAAAAAAAAAAGAATATGAAAAATTAAACGAGTTAAATCTCAGAATTATTCTTTGAGGTAATATTATGAGATCATGATTTTTATGTGATGCAGTGTAAAATGAAGAAATGCTGGAATAAAAATTGAATTAAAAAAGATTCTAATGGGACTAATCTTAAACTCAATCTGATATTTTATATTTTTAATTGTTAAGATTGAAGTCATAATTCTTTTATTTACATTTTACAATACATGTTACTGTAATAAATATTTAAGTCTGCGTCTCTGTATGTCAGAAATTGACTTTTTACTGACTTATTTATTCTGACCGATCTCACCAACAAGTGAATGACCTGTGTTTGTCTCACAGTAACATCGTCATAGAAATAATCAGATGTCAACTGATGTTGGCTGATTAGTTTCCGTCACTGGTGCAGACGTGCCCCCAGCAGGTCGCTGTACTGTATTGAATTATCACTTGACATAAACAAGGCTCAGCATCGATTTTTGTGTCGCACCTGTGTCTTCATCGATGGAGAAAGTGCCGACTCCGCTGCCTCCTCCAATGGTGTATCTCAAGGCGCCGTCGCGGCCCTCGTCCTCGTCCTGAGCGCTGACTGTCAGGACGTTCGTGCCCACGCGCCAGTTCTCCTTCACTGAGCCTCTTACGGCAAAGTCACTGAAGTAGGGCGCATATAGATTCTCACTGACATCCAGCACCTGATGAACAGTGAAACCAATGTAAAATGAATGCAGGGAGGAGAGATGTGGTGGGTCACACAGATAACATTCAAGTCATAATCCCAGATTAACTTAATTGCGCTGTGGTGTAAAACCACTGACCCGTAAATGACGAGCTTTAATAAAATAATGGAATTATGCCCGTAAATGATTTATGCGTGAACTGAAAGGGATAGAACAACCAATTAAGTTAATGTGTAAAGTAATGAGTATAAATTATGTCTCTCTGTTTGTTCACATTTATAAATAGAGATTTTTAAATGGAAAAGCTCTATTTATCAAAATCTATAAAATATAAACCATGCAGTTATTACCTGCTGGCATCGAGTCTTCTTTTTTGACCTATTTTAGCTATTGCTGCAGTATTAGCAAACCTTTTTGCTGTTTATGGCTGGTGTTTTTTTTTTTTTGCTTCTATTGCTGCAGTATTAGCAAACCTTTTAGCTGTTCATGGCTGGTGTTTTTGGTTTTTTTTTGCTCACTTTTTATTTGTTTAATGGGAGTCACATGTTTTTTAAAAAACTTTTTCACATTTTTAAAAATTTGTTTATTTTAAATAATGTGCAAAATAGCAGCGAAGATTTAAAATTTCATTTTTCACTTAAGCACTTGATCATTTTGTCTGGTGTGTTGGTGTTACCCACCTCTACCTCCACAAACGTCTGACTTCTGAGACTTGGTTCGCCCCTGTCCTCGGCAAGTACCGACAGATTAAAAACCTGCTGTGTTTCAAAGTCCAGTTCTTTTGAAATCCTCAAGAACCCACTCACAGCGCTGATCTGCATAAATTAAAAAAAATGTCAGGTAGAAATTAATCAGATTTATGGACAATATAAATGCCTATCTTTCCTACCTCAAAAGTTTTGTTGAAGTCATCAATCAGGGAGTATCGAACTTGTCCTCCAGAACCGATGTCTGGGTCTTGGGCCTGCACCCAGGTGATCACAGCTCCTGGTGGGAGGTCCTCTAAAACTCGAGCACTGTAACTGCTGGGAATGAAAGCTGGAGCGCAATCGTTGACGTCCTCAACGGTCAGACTCAGAGTGGTCACCGAAGACCTCTGAGCTCCTTTCTCGGCCCGGTCTCTCACCTCAACCTTCAATGTAAATGCTGGCGTTGTTTCCCTGTCTAGTAAACTGCTAACAAATACACTTCCCGTATCACGATCGATCCCAAACTGAGGGGCGGGGGTCAGCATGGTGTAGGTGAGCTGTCCGTTTGGCCCCAAGTCTCTGTCGAACGCTGCGATCGTAATAACTTCCAGACCGACGGGTGAATTTTCTTTCACAACAGCTGAATACCCGTCTTGATGAAACTGAGGGTCGTTGTCGTTGGCATCTTCAACAATCACAGTAAGCAGTCTCCAACTGGACAGCTGCGGAACGCCCTGGTCGTATATGGTGATGTTAAGAAAAAAACGATCCAAACGTTCACGGTCAAGCGGCTCCAGAACAGTGATCAACCCAGTTTCCATGTTGATGATGAAGCAGTTTTCTTTGTTGCCGTCAGATATGGAGAAAAGAACGCGGCCGTTGAAGCCGGCGTCACCATCTCTGGCTCGGACCTGAAATACGCTGGCACCCGCAGGAAGGTCTTCTCTGACCAGAATACTAGTGGGGAGAGCCTCAAACTGTGGCGCCTGTTTGTTCACAGAGAAGACGTCTGTACTTTGCTCGTCTGGTCGTGGTCTGGCCTTAGCAGAGGCTTTGGAAAGCATTTTTTCCGCCAACAGCTGTGCCACTCTGGTCTCTTTGCAGGTGAACGACCTGGGTGGAATTCTGCCCCTCACCACTGACACGTTCACAAACGTGGGCTCAGAGAAAAGCTCCCCGTCGGTCGCGATAACTTTAAAATTGAAAATTCCAGTTTTGATGTTTTCTACTGCCAAGGATCTTTTCAGAGACAAAGCCCCAGAATCTGGATTAATCTGAAAATAGTCCAAATCGTTGCCTGACAGAATCTGATACTTTACCATTTCCAGCTCGTCTATGTCGACGACAGACAAGGCGACAATGGTTTGACCCACGGGGAAGTCACGGCTTATCATCCCCCTGCAGGAAACCCTCTCAAAAAGAGGCCGGTTGTCATTGATATTGATCAGACGAACGGTGACGTTGACCTCGCTCTCCCGTCTGTAGGGTGAACCCCAGTCTGACGCTCGCACTGCAAAAGTATAAATGTCATCTGATGACTCATAGTCCAGGTCTTTTGTGACCCTCACCTCACCAGAGTCTGGGTCGATGGCAAATGGAAGCGACTCTTCTCCACTGATGGTATGAGTGACACGGCCATTCTCTCCTTTATCATGATCCACGGCAGACACCACAAGAAGAACCGTGCCTATAGGTGTGCTCTCGTTGAAAGCAACGTCGTAGAACGGCCTGTTGAACACAGGGGAATTGTCATTTGCGTCCTCTATAATAATTTGAACCGTTGTTTGCTCCTGGCTAATAGTTTCGACTACTTTTAGCTCCATAAAATCCTGCGATATTGTCTTCAGGTGCCTTGTGGTGGTAATAACTCCTGTCAAATAGTTAATTTCAAAGTACACAGGGTCTGAGAGGCTGCTGAAGCTGTAATTGACACTCGGAGATGCTGGCGTGACTTTAACCACCTCCACAATGGTCCCTGGGGGAGCTATTTCACTCAGCTTAGCTACGTAAACACCCTTATGGAATTTTGGCAGCAGCGGTTCTGGCTTTGTGAGCTGCAGCTGAACCACTTGGATGTTTGAGAGCTTGGCAGGTATTCCTCTGTCTTTGGCCTGAAAGGTTAAATTGCAGCCATAAGGGAAAGTGTCCCAATCAACAAACTCTGTGGTTTTAACTCTGTACTCATTCCCTAAAGGTGAGCGATCAACCACAAATTGTTCCAAGGGGTCACCCTCAATAATGGACACCCACTCGATGTCACCGGACACTCCTTCGTCTCTGTCCTCCACAGTCACTACAGCATATATTGGGTCACTGTCCATCCACGATGGAACAACAGCTACTGCGCTGAGTACGGGAGCAAATTCATTGACCCGCTGCACGGTCAGGACCAGTCTGGCCGTGCCACTGACGCCAGTGTTCCCGTAGAGTTTCATCCCTCTGTCAACCACCTGCACCTCCAACTCAAAGCGGTCCTGCTTGTCCACACTGGGCTGACCTGTGAGGGTGATGACCCCGCTGGTTGGATGAACAGCAAAGTCTTTAACTTTGTCTCCAAAAAAGTAGTAAAACTCTCCATTGGAGCCCATGTCAGCATCCGTGGCTGTAACACGTCCGATGCTGGCTCCCAGAGGGGCATTTTCAGGGACAACAAATGAATAAGAGACCGGGGAGAAAAGAGGTCGGAGGTCATTGGTATCCAGCACCTTAATATAAACAGTGGCCAAAGCCTCCAAGCCTCCCTGGGCTGATGCTTTGACAATCAGTGTGTAATTGTCCTGGACTTCTCGATTCAACATGCCACTGTCTCCTCCCTTGGTGTGAATACGGAGAAAGCAAAAGTCTCCCATTACAAACTCTTCAGCCTCGAAGATTCCCTCGTCGTCTCTGGACACAATGGAATAACTAATGCTTAAGGATCGAGGCGGAGCCAGAATTATTCCCATTTTTACGTCACTTCTGGTATACGTTCTTGTAGCAGAGTTCTCTGATATGCAGGCATTATAGACCGGCTGCGTGAAGAGGAGGAGGCCGGGTCCTGCCCTTGGTTCTGGCAAGAACTGAGCATGAGTTGGGGTAAAACAGAAGAGTATGACGTATAAATGGAATAGCTGAGAGAAACTAGGTTGAAGAAGCATTTTTCCCAACCAATGATTCTTCGCCATCATTTCATCACGCAGTTAGCCTGTATATGGGGGAAAATGAAAAAAAAAAAAGTTGAGTGGTTTAGTTGGTGGTTTGTCAGAGTCATGTACAACTGGAAGAATAAAAAGAGTGTGAGGCAAAAGTTGCAAAGACATTTCAGGGGCATTTCTGATCACAATGTGGTTGTCACAGCATATTCAATGTTGAGCTGCTACTGTTTGCATTCAGACAGTGTGAACACTGCACCCGAAGGCTCAGAAGCAAAGACTGTCATGTCTTTAAACAGAGAACATCCAAAGCACAGTGCACTCACACAGCCTGAGTGGAACGGCAGAGATGAACAACACTCACTGTTGCTGAACAAAGATTTATTCTTTTCCTTAACCCAGTGACAACTAGGGATGTGTCAAATTCACAAAAGAAGAATCTTTTTCTGCTGCTCCCTTCTTTAGGGGTCTCCATAGTGGGTAATCCACATATGTGATTTGCGCACATATTTCTACAGACACAGCATTTTTGTTCAGAATTTTGTTCAGGCTTAGGATCGCCATGCCTTACGTATGAATATGGTGAGCAATTCTGGTTGAGTTCTTCTGCATGAAGACATATTTGTATGCAGCTGGAATCAAACCCCTAACCTTCTGGTTGAAAGAATACCCTGTCTACCCACTGATCTATGACTGCGGACTCCACAGAGTCAAAAGAACATTTTTCTCAAAAGACAATATTGTGAGGTTGCGGTGGATCAATAGTCAGAGTTTGTTGTCTTTGAAAGGGGGGAAAAAAAAAAGATTTGACCCAAGGCTTCACAACTCAGCATGCCAATGTGTCCCTGGGCAGAACAATTAAGCCTGGTCGCCCCTGCCAGATGTGTCTGCAGAGTTTATATATAACGGAGTGTAGTGTTGAATCACGTTGCTCAGTTAACAAGATGAGAAAAGCACGGTATTTACTAATTAACATGTTTAGAAAAATGGATGAATGTACAAGAATTTAATGAAAAGATTAATTAACTGGGAAGACACGATGATAGTGAAACTAAAATTAGCAGAAACAGTCCTTTTATCCTTTGTTTCCTTACTCTACACATTTTTACATCAGGTACAGAACTGTCCTCTACAAAAGTCTTACAGTGCATTAAACCAAAATAGCATTTTTTTTCTCATCTTTGAATGCAGTGCAGCAATTCACAAACACACACATGGCAGAGTTATGTGTTTTTTTCTTTTTTTTTTTTACCTCTAAAACATGTCCACTGACACCTGGGTTTGAGCTCATCTGTTCAGTGGTCACATGGGTTTAACGTTAAATTAGAAGTGTTAAGTTCATGACTTTAATAAAAAATAACTAAAACACATAATTAGTTCTTTTTTAATAAACTTTATAACGTGTTCCTACCATGGAAACAGAAATGGAAAAGTGATTAAATGATTTGGCTTTTACAGACAGAGGGATGTAAATGCCTGGTTTTACTGGTACATTTTTAAAATGACTAAACATTACATAAACAGTAGATCATGAAGTTGTAAATATCTGCATTACACATGCAATACATTACATAAACAGTAGATCATGAAGTGGGTCACCTCTGCACTACACATGCAATTTCTACTTATATCATGAGCATTAGTAAACAAACAAACAAACAAAACAGATTAACAGCTCTGTGTGTCGTGCTGTACAGAGCCTTACTTTTTATAACGACAGAAAATGTAGAACTATATTAAATCAACCTGGAATCTGAATAAGGGAACAACATGAAGTGGGTCACATGCACATGTGTCCAATTAGAACAATTTAGTTTACGTTTTCACCCGACCTGATACTAATGAATTATAAATGGATACACTGTAATATAATATCACTACCTGGTCCCTTATAGTAAACGCTCCATAATGTAATCTATTGAGCGTTTTTCTTTTTCTTCCCTAAGGACCATAAATAAAAAGTCATTAAATGTTGTCAATGAAGAATTAGGACGACGACAACCCTAGTATTTGATCAATTCTAATAGATACTAGCCCGGTACTACACATGCATGCACACAAATATAAAACTACATTTTTTACATTGCACCAACTAGGTTCTCGTAGAGACACACGGTGTCCCCGGAGATGCAGGAGAGCATTTATCTTCTCCGGTGATGATGCACGAACCTCTGTGCCAGAAATGCACAGAGTTTATTGCAGCCATAATCTGAGGTCTGCGCCTTCATCAAGTGTTAATTAGCATTATTACAAGTATTGACTGGGTCCCACACTTTCTTTTCTTACCTTTGGACGCAGCAGCTGTGATCACCCAAAGTAAATTCCTTTCCATTCTGTCTCCTGTAGTTTTTCCCAAACGAAAAAGGCAAAACAGTGGCGCAGAAATCGGAAATGCTTTGCCAAAAAAAAAAAAAAAAAATTAACGTGTATGGCTCCCAAAAGGGCTACTCGTCTGCAGACATCCTCCAAAACTAAACAGCTATTGCCCCAGTTTTCGTGCACCTGGCCACTGTAACCCCGAGTGCTTTGGTGCAGAATTCGGGATTTTTCTGTGAGCATGTACAAGATAAATGTGAAATGTTCCTTTTTCCGTTAGATTAAAAGTCGTAGACGGATGTGATCCGAAGGACGAGCAGTTTTTAAGCCAAGTTTGTGAGCCGTCACCATCAGTTGTGTCGCCGGAGCCAGTGTGGGACCACAGTGCGCTCAGGATACAGAACGAGAGACGAGGAGAACACGAGCACCGTCGGATTTTGCCGAGCGCCTCCGGCAAAACCCGGAAGTGCGAATTTATTGCCGTTGGATGTTTGACAAGAGGAAATCTAATTTTGAAACGATTTTGTGAGATGAGTTAGTCATAATTACAGCATAGTGTGTGTATTATTTTTGGAGCACTTACAAAATGTTCTCCGTTTTTTTTTTACAGAAAAGTAACTTTCATACAGTTAACCATAAATTAAAGATATAGTCCAGAATATTTCGTTAGGTGAGGTTTTTATAAATAGCTGAGTTAAAATATTATCACTGCTGCGGACAGAAAAATCCCCTTTTTATGTAAGACAGTTAAATCCTATGTTAATACTAGTGAAAATGCATTTATTTGGCGTTTTAAACTTATGCTATATTTTAAAACCCCACCTGCAAAAACTAAAATATTTATTTTACTAGATATAATACTATGAGAAACTTGTTCAATAAAAGATTCTTGAGTAATAGTACTACTCTTATGAGTTTCTTTAAATCCACCTATCACATTTCTGTAGTGAATTAAATAATTATATGAGAATTCCTGCAGCAGCCTCCAAGTCAATAACTAACTTGCGGAGCAAAGATGTAGAGTCCTGAAGGATACAGAAGTGTAATTGTGCAATAAAAGAGAGAATCGGGTCATTTGGAGGGATCATTTAGTTAGACACCAGAAAGTCTTGGCTGCGGTGAACAACAGAACATGCACATAGTGAGGAGATTGTCAAGGAATGTGAAATAAAATTGGAAGGTCAATTCCCATGATATGTAGCTATGACTGAAGACAGAGTTTGAGGTTACAGATAAGGATGAGTCTGTAAGAGTATCTGATCAAATATGTGCTACAGGAAATTTGTCTGCAAAGGAAGGGAAAAGGGGGAGAAATAAGAAGGAGGCAGCATTTTGCAGGAACGGAGAATAGTGTGGAAAAGGAGGAAGAGCCAATCAATTCCCCATTTACTCCAGATGAATTGAAAAGAGCTATTTGTAAAACTGGAAACACATCCTGCAGACGTATCAAAGCCCAGCATCAGATATGCTGTATATTGTTAAGACGTCTTACAATGGGGCATTTGGCTCTTTATAATGGATAATACTGTAGAGGAGAGAAGGAGAGCTGTCTATTTCTACGAGGATGAGAGCAACTCCAAAAGCCCTTAAACCTTTTACAAAAGCTCTTGTATATGTATATTATATATATTTATAGATTGATAACAGAAGGTCAGATTTACATGTAAACCCTGTGTCTTTGGTTGTTTTAAAAGTAATATGATATGAGGTATAAAGAAATCATTTTGACAGGTTTTAAGTTAGTGGTTGTTGAACCATCCATTGGAATTGTGTACATATAATACTGAATGTAAAGGGATACAAAGGGTAGCTCACCTTCAAATAGTTCACAATACCAATATGACCTAAAAAGTATCCTTTGGGAGCAGAACAGTATCAAGAAAATGTTTATTGACAATATAAATCACAACACAAGCCTTCGTTTCCACAGCAGAGCTTTTTTTTCACAAGATTTCGTCTATGAGTATAGTCGGCTTTGTCCATTTTTATCTAAAGTCTTTGCTCTAAACTAAGCCTTTAGTTGTAAAGAAGTGCTCTGGAGGGAATGAATTATTTAATGAGTTTCATTTAATTCTCTTTGATACAAACTTAACATGGTCTGAGAATTAAAATAAAAAAATAATCACAGAAAGCTATAAATATCACTACGGGTCAGACGAGGGCAAACTGCTCTGTATGTATATGGATTTATGGATTAACAAAATAATTCTGGTGGATATGCTTGACAAAATACAAGTCCAAGTTATCAAGAGTGTGTTGCAAGCCAAAACCAACCCCTAGGCCAGCCAAGCAAGTACAGGCAGCAGAGATGTCACTGTAGATATTAGAATGAAACAGTGTCTGACTAATTACTCAGCTAACTTTAAAGGACACAGACCCATAGTGGAGCAAGAATGTGGGCAATAAAAATAACCTTTGGGTGGGTGAGTAGGCTGTACACAAATGAAATGTGGACACATTTTATAAGTCTCCAAGCATTTTATTCCATGCCGTTGAACATTAATGCTCAGCGCACAGGTGTATACAGAGAGCACTAATTAGCCGGGGTTGCCGACTCTATTCCAGTCAGGGGAAAAATTCCCAATACGACAGTGGCTGGAAGTCAACACAAAGACAATACTTTTAACCCCATGGTAGTGCTCTGAAAAAGTACAACCTCGTCTGCAGAGATGTAAAAGAACATGCCTGAATTTTTTATGATTAATGATGATGAATGAAAAAAGTAATAACCCTAAATGAGATTTGGTTTTCCATTTTTAATATACGATATCATCTCGATATTCATATATAAGCAAGGTCACTCAACTCCGTTTCTTAAACTATCTTTTTCAGTGTCTTACAGTCACATCATTCATCAACACGTCAGTTGGGTATAAGAGTTCTGGAAAGTAGAGACGACATAGATCCGCCGTTTGCGCAGACCATAAATCAAATCAATAGTGTGAAGAGAAGCAACAAGAAAGTGGAGAAAAGACTCTCATGACTCAAACAAAGTGCAGTTTTAAGAAAATATAGTTTACTCAACAAAGTTTATTCAACTGTTACAGTAGTAGTTAATAATAATAAAAAAGAGATTTGGTCATATAGGTTATAAAATGAAATTATGAACACAACCACTGACACCATAACTGTATTTGTACTGTAACTCTTCTTCCAACATGAAATTATCATTTTAAACGCCTGACATAAACAATAACTGTCGGCATACATATTATTTTTCTTTTCTCTTACTGATATAACACCATTTACCATGTATGCATTTCATTCCTGTGTTTGTGTTGTTAAAGCTAAACATGATGTTTTTAAACCATAAACAATGGTTTGACCAACAGTTGCTACATTCAAACAAATAAATAAAACTCTATTGCAATATGTTACTGACCTATTGTTACCTAAAGTACGTGTGCGTTATCCTTTATTTTAAAACAGTAGTCCTGAATGTACTGCTTACTGCATGATTGGTATATTGGTTGTATATTGGTTAGATTTTATTTTGATTTTTATTTGCAGAATATGATTATTGAATGGATGTACTAAGGCTCTAATGTATATTGAATGGATGTACTAAGGCTCTAATATGTTTATGCTGCAGTTACATGAATCAAGCACTTTGATATGTTTACATGTATTTGTGTTTAAATAGGCTAAGGACACCAAATGTTTCTAAATTCTACACAGAGTACCATTGAACAAGTCTTTATACAATCAGTTCCTGTAAAAAAGAAATAGAAAAGATTGAGGTTTAGTGTCAAGAAAGAAAACGCTTTGATTAACCCGTTGTGGGTTAAACTATCCACAACGTATTTCCTTTGATTTTATTGATCAGACATAACAAATGGAAAGGTGGTTGTTTTGTCTTCCTGAACATCTAAACCAATAGGTGGCGGTAGCGAGCCTGTTACACCGTTTAACGACTTGTAGAGTAAGTCGCTATCAGTTTGAGCTCCTGCAGCGGTGTTTGTGTGCCTGACTCTTACACACGAGGTCTTTTACGGCTCGTTTTAAACCTTACTACCAGTTCTGACATTTTATTCGTTCACTATGTCCGTCTTATGTTATAATAAGGGATGTGGACAGAGATTTGACCCGGAAAACAACCCAGACGGTAAGTACTTTGTATGAGTTCAACTATTAGTGCACCCGGTGTGTTAGCATGCTAGCCTGTGGTCATCTAGAAATTTCCATAGACATCAGACCCGACAGGATAAGCGGAAGCTAACCTGAAGTTAGCTCACTGGATAACACAGTGTTATGGCTTAATAAATGAATTTCTGTTTAGGCTGATAACACACGGTTTAAAATTAAGTGTCAGCGATGCTTGTTGCTAGTATCATCCTTGGTATCTGTGGTGAATATGACGTTTAATGCTAAGCGTTTCAAGTGTCCGGAGCAGCGGAAACGCCGAAAGTTCTAAAGACTCGTAATGTAATGTATAATTACAGCAATATTTACCCGACATTCCCAAATATCAGATATGTTTTCAGTATTGGTAATAGTGTGTACATCTAAGAACGGACACTAGAAAGGATAGTAGAAATATAATTACAGCAATATTTACCCGACATCCCCAAATATCAGATATGTTTTCAGTAGTGGTAATAGTGTGTACGTCTAAGAACGGACACTAGAAAGGATATTAGAAAACGACGATGTTCAGTTCATTGTTTTACCTTAAAAAGGGTACCTTATATAGTTCATACTGTTCTAGTGTCCTATCAGTAAAGAAGGATTAATCCAAAGAAAGTGTCATTCTTGTCAATTATTGGTGTTACAGTAGAGGAGGTTAAGGAGGGACCGAGACTGGATGAATATGCTCAGCTGTGGAGAATGTAAAAAGGGTCAGTTTAAAAAAGAAAATCGAGAGCCGAGTAGTTACTTCCGCTACACCTTGTCGTTTACCTTTTAGTCAGAACGAAACTTCTGCACAAAAAATATTTTTATTTAAAATACATCAAAATATTAGAATATCATCCTGTGGGTAATTAGCAAATTGTTAAATTGTGAATTTCCTTACTGTGGGATGAATAAGGGATTCCTAATCTCAATCTTATTTTGTGATCTTAGTATTTGAATACATGTTTGTGGTTGTTTCAGTCGTACAGCTTTATGACTATATGGCACCAAGATATAATTCTGACATGTATTATTGTCTTGGAGCTTTCTCATTCAGTTCTTTTTCGTTTTTTCCTTTCTTTTTTAGAACATTTAGGAATCACTTATACTAATCTTACCTTAAACATAATATCTGGCTAAAAATGTTACCTCTTACGTTTGTGTTCTGTATTGTTTTTAACAAATACATAACAGTGGTAGAGAGAAAACAAAATTGTCATTGCTTTTGTGTCCATATCTGATATTTCAGCAATGTAACTTGTGCACCCAGACTATTTTGAACAGTTACTTTATCTTAAAATTCTTTGCAAAGGTCTACAGTTTATCCAGTAGATCTTTGTTCTTGACGGGCAGCTTATCAAACATAATTTAACTTTGAAGGCAATACCATTGTCTTTTTCTGCCATGGCCAAAACTGCGGTGAGCTCCTTATTTTCATTTGTAAGATATGGAAGATTTCTCCCTAGAGGAGTAGAGGCTAATTTCCATTTTAATAGGATGCCCCTTTTCATAACTGTAATGTATATTACTATTACCTTTCTGTCGCAGATCTTTATCTATGGTATTAGCACAAATCGGCCAAGGCTCAGGCTGCACTGTATCGAAAATAATCCTTCATTTATCTTGTCATCCACCAAAATTTCTCTATTCATTTCAATGTGAAGTCCCAGCGGACTGGACTTGGAGTTTTGTTGGAAATCTTTGGTCTCTCATCATGGAAGCTTCTCCAATGCCAGACTGATTTGTCCGTTAAGAATGTTTCCTGAAATAATAGCAACGTTAACTGTGCCCTACTTGTTGAGTAAGGCACATCTAAAATTATAATAATAATTATAATTTGCTTTGAAAGCAGACCTAAATCCTTTGGTTTTCTTTGAAGGGAAGGGGAATCATTCTGTCTGGCCAATTACTTTATCTTCAAATATTCTGCCCTTGACCAGGACAAATGCAAATCTTGTAATCCATTTTACCCTAGTGGATATTATGTTTACTTTAAAATGTAAATTTAATGTAGAAGGCTATAGAGCTCTTTTTAATGGTAAAGTTTTGGTCAAACATGTAAAGTAGAGGTATCCTCAGATAGATATCTTTTCTAAATGTATATTGTTTTTGTTATTGGATTTATACATTCTGTGTACTTCTATGGCCCTAAGTTGTTTTTCAATGTGTCTCAATTCACAATTATCCTTAATTGATTGAATTTGCTCACCAATATCCTATTTTTATCATGCACAACGTCTGATATTAGGTTAAGCATTAGTCATCTGAAAACATTACTCCAACATTAATTTTACCACAGTGCCATACACTTTAATTATTCACTATTGCAATTTACACATTATTTTCAGTTTCTGTTATTGATCACTTTTGCAGTTTTCTTTTATTTATATCCTTTAAAATTTTATAGACCAGTGTATTAATTTCCTGTTATATTTCTATTAAAAAGTATTGTTGTGTACAGATCTCTTATTTAGTTTGACCCTGATGCTGAGTCTGTGGAATATAGTCTGTCAAAGGAAAGTACAAACAGAGTCTTAAGTTCACAATAATAGTGTTAAAACGAGCTTCATATTTAAAAAAAACAAAACATCCTTATTCACTGTGGAATATAGTCTGTCAAAGGAAAGCACAAACAGACCAAAACATTTCACATACTGATTTTGACAGGTCTTAAGGTCTTAAGTTCACAATAATGGTGTTAAAAGGAGCTTCATATTTTTAAAAAACAAAACGTCCTTATTCATTTTTTTATCCTTAAAAGTTTCAAACTAAGAAAGTGAAGTTGCTTGTGTTTCTTATACAACCAGGCTTTGCAACACTGAGCAAATTAATTTGTAGTCTTTCCCAATTAGGGCTTAATACATCACGAAACTAGATATTCATTAAAAGTTAGCTGGAGAAGTTACCAATCTGCAAACAGTCAAGTGTGTATGTTGTTCACTGCCATTGTTGTTAAGCTGAAAACACTATTGTCACATTCTCTTTTCCTCTTAGTTATTTAATGTTTTTTTTTTTTTTTTTTTTTTACAGACTCCTGCACCTATCATCCAGGAGTCCCCGTTTTCCACGATGCACTGAAGGTACAAATGGCTGAAAACGCACCGTCAGCTCACGTTTTGTTGTCCTGTCCTCGTAAAGTTAAAGTTACTGCTTGTGCAATCTCTTCCAGGGATGGTCCTGCTGCAAAAGAAGAACAACCGACTTCTCAGACTTCCTCAGCATTGCTGTAAGTCGTCCTCCGTCCATTTTAATCCCTTGTGGTCATGTTTCTATTGTCTATTGTGTTCACATGTATCCGGTGTTGCTCTAACTGTGATCCTGTTGAGATAAGCATTTGTTGTATGTGAGTTTATAGTCACTGCTCTTCTCTCAGGGCTGCACCAAAGGTCCTCATAACAAGGAGAAGCCACCAGAGCCGGTGAAACCAGACGTCACGTCCTCAGGAGAAAAAAAAGAGGGAGATGACCAGAAACCAAAGTATAAGGAGTACATCATCTGTGCACCAAAGCCCCAGAAGGCCATTTTTAGACCAAGGTTGTTTTCACTGCATGTGCTTTTAAGCTATTCATTTTGTTTTTTGTTCTGTTTTTTTAAAGCAGTGGTATGAACATGCAGGTAATTGAATTTTGGAACCAAACGGCCATAGAGAGTCAGTTAAAAACTAAATCTTTGACACTTGCATATTGCTATACTTTGTGCATAACTTTAAGCCTCTTGACTGGTTTCCCTTTTGGGTTTCTTTAAGCAATTTTACTTGCTAACTCACTATGACATTCCAGGGCTTTTTTTCATTTCAGTATGTGGGTGTCTGTCTGTACTGAATGTTGAAGCTAGATATTCAAAATATGGTATGGGATTCATAAAAGGAAAGGTGCAATATTAAAGAGATTAGAATAAGGCTGGAATGATCAAAGAAATTCTGAGCATCCAAAGAAGAGTCAAAGGCGATCTGTAGTCTTTTACCCATGGTGCTTCTCACCACAGTTCAAAAGAGAGAGCACTGCTGAAGTCACTGGAGAGATTACTATTGAACAAAGAAACTCTTTTCATCTAGTCTGTTGGTCTTTAGCTCACTTTCCTCCGCAGCACTAATTGTCTAATGACTTTATCAATAGACTACAAGACCTTTCACCTGATGAAGGATTTTTTTTCTGTGACTTTGTTAATGTGTTTTATTTGTAACCATTGCAGTTCAGATGAGCCCATGGTGAGATTGCAGCATAAAATATCTGCTTCTCTGAGGCAGGCACTGGAGAAACTGAAGCTGACCGAAGATGCAGCAGAGAAGAAAGGTGAGGCTGAGATTTTCATTTCAGAAAATCTGTTTGATTGCTGTAAAATGTTCCATTGCATTTTCCCACTGAGTGAATTACAATGTGTTTGATAAAGTGTTTCAGAAACATGCAACAAGTTTTAGCTCTTACCCTATTTTGTAAATAAGTAATACGCCTGATGGTATGTTCTTCTTTAGCTTATTTAGATGAGACTATGGTGTTACATTTTTGCCATGTATAAATAAGCATCTTCCTGCACTGACTATTGGTTGTCATTTGACCTTTTTATTAATCTATCTTATAATGTATTATTTATGGGCTAACCTTTAGTCTTTTAGTCAAAGTTTAATGCTCTCTCAAGCTTCAACCCTTTTTCATCTCCATGAATCTTATTTTCTGTACATGTCTCACTTTTTTCCCTGTAATTTTTTTTACTGCAGCTCTCCATCATGGATCAGCATCTGCTTGTTGTTAGAGTATAAGAGAAGGTCATGTTGACGGGGAAAGTTAATGAAATATTTCCCACATCGTCCCATCTCTGTCATTTACATCATGGTACTTCATATCAAGCTGACAGGAACAGGACAATGTGTCATAACTGGATTCGATGTTTCCTGACACTCTTCAGAGTTTGTTTGTTACTGTGTGTGTCTCCATCTTTTAGAGGAAGACAGCGACGAGATCAAAATTGGAACATCCTGTAAAAACGGAGGTTGCACCAAAGTAGGTCATTGTTTAAAAAAAAAATTCACAGAAAATTGACTTGGGGTTGTTTGGAAAAGCGTTACAAAACTCACACTTTTGCCACGCTTTGACTACACTGGGTCGAATGTTTTAATTTCAGGAGCAAATCCAATTTGCATACATGAAAAACGTGAAGTAATTGGACAGTTAACACATTTCCCTCCCTCCCTTTTTGAGCACTATTTGTTTAAAGGCTTATAGCCCCCACGCAGTTGCTTTATTAAAAACACTTAATTAAAGCCGAGACTTGGCACTTACAAGCAGCCTTTACTATAATGTGAATTAAATATGCTGATGCCTGGAGCCTAAAGAAGAAAATGTTTGCATGCATGGAAGTTTTTCTGGGGCCTGACAGTATTTGAAGGATAAAATAAAAAATGGCAAAGCAGCTGTAGGTGAGGGGTGCACACAATATTCTGAATCGGAATTGAGACTGTAAGAACTGCATTTTCTCAGCTTCTTAGTAATGAAGTTGCATGTAAATACACACATTATAGTTCCTAATGTTTGCTTTTTTTTAATAAGGCTTTTTAATTTTTAAAATCTGATCATGTAAAACCTATTTAATGACTGATTGGCCCTTGACAGATATTCTACAGATGGATGAAATTCATGAACATAAAACATTTTGACACACTGAAGACTCAAATCTACAATTTATGAACAGTGTATATTATTGATAACTTCTGTTGGTTTCTTTAGAGTTTTGAAGGACCTTCCAGTGACTCAGACGTTTGTCTTTACCATTCTGGATGTCCCATTTTTCATGAAGGGTAAGCATATTTAAAAGATCACGGTGTGTTTGTAAGTATTAGACAGAGAGGCATATGAACAAACTGTTAACTGCTTACATAGCAGAAACACTGGGTCATCAGCATGTGTGTTTGCCTCCTGAGGGACCTGTTCATTGACCTGGTCTGCATCCTTTCCTTTATCTTCCAGGATGAAATACTGGAGCTGCTGTAAAAGGAAAACTTCTGACTTTAACACCTTCCTCTCTCAGGAAGGCTGCACCAGTGGAACACATCTTTGGAGGAAAAAAGATGCTGTAAGTTTCTCACCCTCCACCCAACCACTGGATGTGGTGCAAACCAGGGCTGCGACTTCAGTGAGAGAAGTGTGATGCATGAAAATCTTTCTGCAGGATAAACAAGTGGTTCCATGTCGGTTTGACTGGCACCAGACGGGGTCACAGGTCATCATCTCTATCTACGCTAAAAACGCTGTACCTGAGCTGAGCTTTGTGGATGCAAACAGCACTACGGTGAGGGAAAAGAAAATAGCTGAATTAACTAAATAACAAAATATTCCTTCTTCTTAACAATCTCCTCTTCTGTTCCCCAGCTTAACATACATATTATATTTGACGGAGAAAAGGTATTTGAGCAGAAAATCAGCCTGTGGGGTGTAAGTACAGCATCACTTCTAAAAATCTAAAAGGTTATTTTATTTTGAAGGACGTCCGTTGTTTCAAAACCATGTATTACAACAAAGATAGACTTAGCGGTAAAGGTGACTCCTTTTATAATTCACTCAGACATTTCCTCGACGTCTGACCTGTGTGTTGGCAAAATAAACTATAGGCTGTGGATTTCTTTAAAAAAATGTAGGCAAATGTCCACACTTCAGTGCACGCCTGAAGGCAGCTTAATTTACTCCTAAATATACAACACCAATTAAAGTGAGGCTGCCTCTAATGAAGTGCTGTGTGTCAGGCCAACTTATCTGTCTTCACCTTATAGCAGAAAAATGATACAGCTGCTTTTTTTCAGTCAGTGTGAGGCTTAGTTTGATGTGTTTTTGTTTGCTGCCAAAGCTGGAGTTGACAAATAAAATAGAACAGCAGAAACTCTCTTTAATTGGTTAAAGACATTTCTTATCCCTTTTCTCTTCTTTTTATCTGTTTAGCCAGTTTCTCTCCTGACACCACTGCTGGTTGTTAACTTTCAATTTAATCCTGACCCTTTTTCATTTGGTGAAAGCTCTGGGGATTTTCTTTTTTTTTTGATTGAATGAGAACACCATCCTTAGGCTAAATTGTATTTGTTTTGACACACCTTAAGTAGTATATGATATTGTATGGTATTCTTTACCTTGATATAATTTCAAGCTGCTATTTTCAATTTCTTTTTGTTTTTATCTTAATCTCATGTTGCACAAAATTAACATCCTATATATTTCATTCTATTGTTTTTATCTTAATCTCATGTTGCACTTGTAAATTAAAGTCCTATATATTTCATTCTGAACACCAAAAATTATTGACTTATTTTCTTGCCACAGGTGATCGACGTGAATAAAAGTATAGTGAACATGATGGCGGCTAAGGTTGAAGTTGCCATGAAGAAGTCGGAGCCCATGTCGTGGGCTCGTCTGGACCTTCCTCCTCCTGTTCCCCCGCCCAAAGAGGATGAGAAGAAGACAGAAGAAGAGGCTGATAGTGAAAGTGAAAGTGAATGATAAAGAATTTAAGAACACATTTTCCATCTTTCACTGAAACTTAGGCAGCACAGACAATTCTGCTCGTATTTTAGGAGTCTCCTCTTTTGCTGACATGGAACTTCAGCCTTTATTCCTCAACATTTACAGCCACCATTTTGCTCGTTTATTCTCAATTTTGTGTCCTATATGTTCATTATTATTTTATTGTTGTGATTCACCTAAAATTTGTGGTTTTCAAAGAGATTTTCAGGTGAGATCTAAATAATTAGGGGGATCCCTGACTTTATTACAACCTTTAATCAGACTTATCTGCACTGAGATACTGTATGTCAGGGGCCCAGAATGGGACCAGGTTGTTTTGACACCCATAATGCCTTTTTTTGGACAGCTCATCCAAAAGGACCTCTGTTCTGAGCGCATTCTACTTCGAACTATTTTTCTATAAGAAAATTATTCCATCCAAACTTTTCATGCTTCTCATCACATTCTCTTATGTGGCATTCTTATTGGTTTTTTTTTTTTATATTTGTTTTTTGGCGGGTTTCATCAGTTGTGTGAAGTCTTGCATTATTGTGTCCACATTATAATTTAAAGGTCTACCTGCATTTGTGTGATTAGAAAACTGCTGTGTTTTGTCTCCATTAGATCTGTGGAACTAAGATCTCAATGACGAATTTCTATTAATGATAGTATTAATAAGATTATTCATAATAGTGTTATAGCACATACTCAAATGAAATTCATGTTTGACACAATTCTCTTCCCACAAATGCCTCATTCCAGTGAAAGAAAATGTAGATTTTCCACAGGTTTTTAAAACAGTTCCAACTAATGTACTGTATATTTTATACGAGCTTCGCTTCCAAATGATCACTGCACTATCTGTCCTCATCACCAACGCTGCACCTTTTTAATGAGAATGTATACTGTAAAATCCCAGAGCTACATCTGAATATCAATCATTTTAAGCAGAGTACTGTATTATTAAAAAGCAGTCCTGACAGCATGTGTCAAGGCCCTGGAGACTTGGAAATAAATTTGGTTGGATGAGATTACGGTCTAATTCATTAGTGATCCCAGTTTAAAGAACCAGGCACCGATTTGGTGTTGCATTTTAAAAGTCAGACTTTTGCTGTTGGCATCAGTTTGTGTGGCTCTGTGCTCAACCATCTGTGTAACTTTCTTTATAAACAAGGATCGACAACAGGTTGTGTTAGCGCTGCAGCATTTCTTTCCTGTGATGCACAAAACTAGCATCTAAAAAAAAAAAGCTTCTGTTGTCGGTTGTTGTTGGTCAGAATAGTTTGTAAAGACTATGCAAAATTATCTTGTTGTTACTTTATCTTGTTCTGTACAGTTGTTCCTTGTAGCCCAACGACTTAGCGGGGGCAAATTATGCATGAAACTTCCATCATTTCCATTCTGTTCACTTCTTCCTGCACCAAAGTTTCAGAGTACCAGGAGCTGTCCCCGTTCTCTGGTTCTAGTTGCTGCAGCTGTTTTTCCATGGTTTCGTCAGTTGATGGCAGAGTCTTCTGACCACTGGAGCCTTGAGACTAGAAATGTCTCTCATGATTGTAAGTAGATTGTAAGTGACCTTTCAGTGACTATTTTGGAAGGAGACTAAGAGGATCAGTGACTTTATCAAATGCCGAAAGGTCTTAAACCAATACACGACACTGAGGACAGAATACTGAACTAAACTCTGAAGTAGTACGTGTCATGTTTTAATATGTTTGCAGGAACTACAGCTTCAGGTTAGCCACACCCAGGACCTGGATCTTCTTACAAAAGTTTTCCTCTGGGCAGCAGGTTGGTTTCTCTTCACTATTTTCTTTTCTGATTCCACTAAAAAACTGCACCTTCTTGTTTTTGTCACAGTGATGTGCTGACATTTTCTGCTAGAATTTAACAAAACGTTTTTCTTTCTGTGCTATTTATTTTTTATTGAAATTGTTTTTGTCTTGGTCCTATGCTGTTGCCAAGGTAACGATTCGCTCCAGCTGATTAAACTGCAATTTGCAGTATTTTAAGGTTCGCCTTTTGGGATCTGTTTTTTACTGCAAAAGAATAAAAAAGCTGTAGGTATATGGATTTTAACCTAAGAGGTTTTCTGACAATTGTTGGAATGCTTCACGGGTCGTGAAACCTTTATAACCTTCCTCTAAAGCTAAGGGGCGTCTTTTACTAAAACACACACACACAAAAAACAACCCAGAACAAACCTTCAATATTATATATTGACAGACAGTGAGGCAGCTGGAAAAACTTATAGTACAGTAGGTTAAAAAACTTTGTCAGTAAATTCAAATGTTAGTGCTTATGTGAATTCAAATGGTGAAATCATTACTTGATTGAAAAGCCTGAGAATCATGGCTGACTTGAGCAGCACATGTGAAGTCGCTGGTACACAGCCACATGAGAGCACCATGTGTTTACCCATACAATGTGTACGTATGTAAGTGTTAGATCGCGGTTTGATAGTTTTGGTAGTCAACGTCTCTGGGTTTATTGCTGGGAATAAGGGGCTGTCTTTCTTCAAGGCCATTGAAGTTTATCCATGGACTTCCTCTGGAGTTCCTCCGTTTCACTCTGAGAGCAGCAGCAGCAATGATTACTGCTGCTATTCCTCCTACCAGTGCTGCAACCAACATCCAGGGCCACATGTCCTGCATCTCCTCCAGGTATGGATGCATGTATTCTGACAGCCTCTGAGCTAAAAAAAAAAAAGTAAAATGTTTCTCTTGCTGTGGAGTAGAACAAATGTCAGGGATCATCGTCATGGAAGTTAACTTACCAGGATCAAGCAGGGAGGAGTACTCGTAGCCAAGCTCTTTGCTGGAAATGAAATAGTCTCTGTTTCTGTGGAGGGGCATGAAGGGCACCATGTGGTATTCACCGTTGTGACCAATAGGGGCATTGGACTCTGGATACTGGGATGGTGATGGTTGGTGTCTCCTCAGCCACTGTTCATAAATGCTGCCCGGAAAAGAAAAAAAAAATTGTCTGTTCAGCATGTTGGTCACTTGAAGCTAATTCACATTTTTGTCCTGACCTCGTGAACAACAACAGAGCCGCATCAGTGCAGTGACGTGGAACAGCTGATGTTGGACGGACTCTTACCTGTCGACGTAAGCATGGTGGAGCATGAATATGGGATCGTTGGCAGAGCCCTGCACGGAGGACATGGATCCGTTCATGAACACGTGCACAGATGCGTGCATGCCCAGCAGGGAACTGCTGCCTTGCCCGGTCTGAGCGTTCCCCAAACCTGCAAGGTAAGAAGAGACATTAAAACCTTTGACTATTGACATTGACACAACTTCTATAATTTCACTGTATTTTTTGGGGATATTTGTTGGACGTTCAAAGCTAACTTTAAAGTTAAAATTAAAGAAAGTATATTTACCCTGACCGGGAATAGAACCCGGGACCCAATCTCATGCACGTGGCAAGTTGAAATGATTTGACTGTCAAACCTATGCATTGGATACTGGTCATATAAAGTATTAAAAATGCAAGAAACTAATCTTGTATAACGGTCAGGGCAGCAGAAAACTGTCCGTGTGTGCGGTCGCAAATTGGCTATTGTACGCTTGCGCAGTTAACTCTGGGTGGACGTCAACACCTGCAGTTAGAGTGCCGAATCCTAATCACTAGACCGTTAGATGGAGCGTTAGTCACAGGTGATATATATATATTTATTTTTTAAACAACGTGTCTGGTATTTCTACAATATTTTATTCGTGCCGACCTTCCAGCGTGTTCCTGAAGCTCATATTGGCGCTGCGGTCCATGGGTCCAGTATCGTAGTTACTCAGACCCAGAGTGAACTCCACTTCAGTTGACGTTGGTAGTCTCTCTGCCAAGTTACGGTCGTGGTTCCCGGGATTACGGAGCAGCGGGCCCTCGTCCTCAGCGTTGCACAGCACACCTCTGGCGTTGTATTCCTCTGCCCTGGAGCAAAGAACCTTGACGGGCAAATACACAAAGTTGTTAAACTCCAAGCGCGACCTTATTTTAAGGACATATATATATATATTAAAAACAGATACAAATTGTTAATAAAAACCCAATAATAATAATAATAATGTTGGCACTATGTTAATTTAATAACCTGAACACAGGAGTGTGGGTCTCTGTGACCCTGTGATAGACCATCTATCAAGCTGCAGCTTCCACATTAACACTGAAAATGACTAAGCTGTAACATATTTATAAAATAACCAAAACATATGTTTTTTTTACCCTCCAGGAAGAGAAGACTGATCCAGGACTGAGAAGGTTCTCGTCATGGGGACTGCGGGCCCCCATCAGGTCGTCTGTGCACACATCGCAGTTCTGGGCGTCCCTCCAGTCCCAGTAGGGAATGCTGAAGCTCATGTCTCCGGTCAGTTTGCGGATCTCGTGCT